AAGGAAGTTAGCTGAGTTGCAAGCTATCGAAAAACTGAGGATACACAGTAAAGTATGTAGGTTTATATATCTCTAAGTACAAGTACCATGCCAGTCATGACACAACACATTGTGACATGTATCCACAGCAATCAACAATACAATCAGTCAAATAAATAAACAGAAGGGAGTCATATGGTGTCATATGATGGGAGCAGGGAGGCAATGAAGGCTATACCAGCTGGCACAATCAATGTGCAGCAAGGAGCCAGACACCAGAGCTATAGTACAACATACAAGCAACAAGAGTGAGTCATACAGAACAAGAAAGAAACAAATCATCCATCAGAGAAGGCAGTGGAACACCGGATCATGAAGGGGGTGCTGCAGTGACAGGTATTGGAAACACCCTGTCAACAGGAACGTCAGGCTCCTCAAGTAAGCGAGCCCCTAGGATGGTGATGGTTATTAATGATGTGACCAAGCATGTGACACACATGACTGTGAAGAGGCAAAAAAGGAAAGGCCCTTGAGCGAGGCATAACACAACCCTTCACACTATACTCATGTCATCCAATGAGAAACTAACTCTGGACTCTGTCATTTCCCAAGTCTTGATAGAAGAGAAGTCTTGCTGCACCTCTTCAGCACAAACTGCCCTCGTAACAAAGATGCCTAACAAAAAGGGAAAGAGGAATGACAAGAAAAAGAAAAAGGCTTGTGGCTATTGCAAGAAGACAAACCATGTCAAAGATGACTGCTACAAGAAGAAGGCTGATGAGGCAGCCAAGTCCCTGTCACAGGCTGAAAAGGATAATCCTAAGGAGGACAAACTTGTTGCTAAAGTCATGTGCATCTCACCTGCTGAAGACAGCACCCTATGGCCCTTCATGGCCACTGACAATGGCAAGAATCTACACATGCACTGGGTCATTGACTCTGGTGCCTCTGTGAATATGTGCTGTCAGCAGAAATGGTTCACTTCACTAAAGATGCTCTCACCCCCACAGCCTGTAGTCATTGGAAATGGGAGCACAATTCCTGCTACTGCCATCAGATGGATTGAACTTTGTATGGATCTTCCAAATGGGAAGACCAGTAGAATCCTACTACAGAAGGTCTATTTTGTTCCAGATCTCAGCACAAACCTCCTCTCAGTGGCATACCTTGCCACTAGAAATGTCCAAGTCACCTTCATGGGTGGAACATGCTCAATCACCAATGGTACAGACACTGTAGGTGTGGGTTGTTGTCAAGGCTCACTCTACATCCTTGCAGCAAGGACTCACTCTCCGAGTCATGGAGCACTTGTCGTACAAGGACCATCTCCACTACTTGACCCTACCCTTACTTTCCTGGCACTTGCAGCTGCAGCACCAAAGTCTGTAGCCACACTTGACTTGTGGCATCAATGACTTGGGCATGCAAATACAAAATCTGTGCTTAAACTGGTTAAAGTGGGAATGGTTGAAGGCATGGAGCTTACTGGCACTGAGCACTTGAACTCAGTATGCCAACCTTGCCTTGAAGGGAAGCAACACCATAAGGTGATACCCATCAGGTCAAACATTGAAAGCCCAACAGTACTCTACTAGACATACTCTGATGTATGTGGCCCCATGGAGACTACAGCCCAAACTGGACACTGCTACTTTGTAACCTTCATTGATGCTTGCTCACACCACCTTGTGGTTAAACTAATAAAATCCAAGGATGAAGTCTTCCCCTCAGTGAAAGACTACCTTGCTCGAGCTGAAGTCAAGACTGGCAAAAAAGCAAATTATTTTTGGAGTGACAGAGGTGGGGAGTATGGCTCAGATGAGTTCAAGGCCTACCTCAAGTCAAAAGGGGTCCACCACGAGAAGACAAATGCCTATACCCCACAGGAGAACGGTGTTACCAAGCAGATGAACCACACACTTGTTGAAAGTGCACAGGCAATGCTAAAAAACGCTGGACTGCCAAATAAATATTGGGGGGATGCTATCCAGTATGTGGCCTACCTAATCAACTGATCACTGACCTGTACTATCTCCAAGGATGTCACACCATATGAAGCCTTTACAGAGATTAAGCCATCACTGGCCCATATCTGAACCTTTGGCTGCACTGCACACATACATATACCTGAGGAAAAAAGAAAGAAGCTAGATGCAAAGTCCTTAAAATGCATTCATCTGGGCTTTGCAGAGAACAAGAAAGCATACCTATGCTTACACCAGCCCACTGGTCATGTCTTTGAATCCTGGGATGTAGTATTTGATGAGGGAAGCACAGCAGTGGGCCTAGATCACATCCAGATAGAAGAAGATCCTGCAGGCATGGTTAGTAAAACAGCAGACATAAGAGGGAATGCCCAAAAGGGCAATACATCGCACCTGGATACCATCAGGGCTTCAGGCATGGAAGGCCATGCTCACATGGAGTCTGATGATGGGGATCTTGAGTCTAGTGAGGGAGAGAGTGAAGATGTTGTCCATGAGGTCAAAATTGAGTCAAACAATGCACCTGATCACTCAGGATCAATGGTAGATCATTCCCCACAGCACTCAGAGGGTAACATGCCAGGCAGCAGCCAGAGTCCTAAAAAAGCGCTTGAAACAGCCTCAAAACCATCAGTAAAGCAAGCCAGGATGACGCTGAAACCTACCATGCATAAAGCAACACCCCTGCAGCCCTATCCAACTCCAATTCCACCTCGAGAGACCTGCAGGTCCACCAGAACATGAAAAGCACCACCTAGAGATGATGATTATTGCTTTTTCATCAATTCCTATGACAGGACAACCTTACCTAGTCAACAACTTGAGGTGCCAGAGGGTTCAGGTGCAGAGAGTGAGGGTGGAAGCCCCATCAACAAAGTCACTCGAGAGCGAGAGCATGCATGTGGCAACAGCAAGGCTGAGGTGGCTGAGACGAATGAGGAAGTGGCTTACAAAGCATCCACAACACATGACAATGAACCTTGCTCGTTCAACGATGCAATGTGAAGCACCGATGCAGATCAGTGGTACACTGCAATGATTGACAAATTACAGACCTTCAAGTCCATCAGACTGTATGAGGAAGTTGCCCTGCCTCCTGGCCATAAACTGATTGACTCGAAATGGGTCTACAAGATCAAGCAAGGGCTGACTGGTGAAATTGAGAGGTACAAGGCTTGTTTGGTAGCCAAAGGCTTTACACAGGTACACAGGATTGACTACACAGAGACATTTCCACCCGTCACCAAGTTTGCAACCATCCACATACTCCTGGCACTTGCCACTAAGTATAATCTCAAAATTCATCAGATGGATGTTAAATCTGCATTCCTAAATGGACTATTAGATGAAGAAATATACCTTCGCCCCCCTCTGGGCTGTCCTTCTGACAGCAACAAAGTCTGGCAGCTGTTACGAGCACTCTATGGCCTTAAACAGGCCCCCAAGTCATGGTACTCTCATCTTTGGACTGTTTTCAAATCCCTGGGTTTCACTTGAAGCCAGGCCGACCATAGCCTCTTCTTTAAAGTCGAGAATGGCATACTCATTGTTGTTGCTGTCTATGTAGTTGACAAGCTAATACTCTCAAAGTGCCACACAACCATTGAGCGCATCAAGGCTCAGCTCTCACAGGAGTACAAGATGAAAGATCTGGGGGAGGCATGTTGGATTTTAGGAATGGAGATACTTCATGACCATGATAAAGGTATCATACAGCTCTCACAGAAGAGATATGTCGAGAGTATTCTCGAGTGCTTTGGAATGAGCAAGGGGTGAGCCATTGTGACCCCCATCAAGCCTAACCTAAAGCTCAAAAAACTAGAAATTCCAGAGGCTGACACCAAGTCATACCAGGGCACTCTCAGAGCCCTTATGTATGCAATGCTAGCAACAAGGCCCAACCTTGCCTTTACTGTAGGCATGTTGAGCCATCATGCTGCATGCCCTGGGCATGAACACTCTACTGTGCTAAAGTGCATTCTTCACTATCTGCGATGCACCCCTGATGTCTGTCTTACCTATAAGCAAGACTCAAATGCATGCATGATCAGGTATGTAGATGCAGATTGGGCAGCAGATATCAATGACTGCCACTCTGTTACTGGCTATACTTTCATCCTTTCTGGTGGAGTTGTTAGCTGGTCATCAAAAAAGCAATTGTCTGTTGCTCTCTCAAGTACAGAAGCTGAGTACATGGCTGCAGGTGCTGCCACAAAGGAAGCTATCTGGATTCGTACCCTAGTCCTCAAACTCAAGACTGTGCTGTCACATGAACCCACTCCCCTCCTCATTGACAATCAATCTGCTATCTCACTGGCTTGAAATGCAATGTTCCACAACCACACAAAACATATTGCGATCTGTCATCACTTCATATGAAAGAAGGTGGATTCTGGAGAAGTAGTCGTCAACTATGTGTCTACCAATGACCAGGTGGCTGATGTGCTGACTAAGGGTGTGTCTAGGGAGAAGCATGTTTGTTTCTCTGAAGCTATGGGTATTATTTTCTTTTAATTCCTTCTTGACTATACTCGTTGAAGGGGCATGTTGGAGTTTATCACTTTTACCTTAGTTGTGGTTCACCAAGCACAGCATTATGTAATCCAAAAGTGGACACTTAGCAGTTTATTTTTTTTCCTTACTGCACCTCAGCTTCAACCAACTTGAAGTCTGAGGTGGGACTCCTTCCATTCATTATATTGGAACACTTACTTACCTACCTACAGTATATTCCTCTCTATAGACTTGACAATCCTGCAGCTCGTCATCCTCCAAAAAAGGTGAGCCTTGCTATTGAAAGGTGCATCAACTTCGCTGTCAAGATCAATGGGCTGATCAGCACCATCTGCCCCACCCACATCCCAATGCTCCAAAATTACAGATTAGCTGGCACTAATGGTTCATCCAGGGGGGCCATACCTCTTCATCTTTTTTCAGCACTGGGGTATAAAGCCAAACAACCACATTCTCATGCCAGTGCTTCACCTTCACAGCATCAATGAGTGCCTCATAACCAGCTTCATCAGCAACTTTCTTTCATGGGGTGCCTTGTGCTTGATTCTCAAACTTCCATTTGAACTTCAAGACTGGAAGTGCTGACACTTGACAAGACAAGGCTTTTGCGACACGAGACTTGAAGGAGAAAAAAGCAGAAGTGGTATCACACTTGAAGGGTCCCTTGGAGGTGATTTTGGTCACCGAGACCTTTGTAGATTTCCCACCTGGTTTTCGAGAGTCCGGAGAGGTAGCCCACACTTGAACATAGACTGTGAACAGTCGTGGTTCGTCTACAGGTGCATCTATTGTTGAACAGTCTTCCTCTGCACTCAGATCTGCCTGAACTTTCGTTTTCTTTCGTTGCTTGGGTTCGCATTGTGCAGCTTTAGTTCTCTGGTTAACCACATGAGTAGCAGTAAACTGTGGTGGATTGCAGTAGTGCACACCTTTTTCGATGATTTCTGCAGTAATGATTCATCCTCTGAGCGTGAAATTGAGCTGCATTCAGGCTGCTTTTGCCCACACAAAGTTCTAAATGACATCAGGTTGAGGTTGATGAATGCAGTCCCAGAACCTTTTCCTTGATGGAAAGCAGTCAGTAATAATGCATAGATGAAAGTTATCAGTTACCATTTGACTCTTTGCTATCTGATTGCCACTGATCCTCTACCTCAACACCATCAGGCTCATCTGCAGCTCCAGCATCACTCATGGCTGTGAAGTCTTGCTCCTCACAGCTGCTCTCAGCACTGTCAGTTTGGCCAATCATGTTACAGTGGAATTCTTGTGCTTGAAGGGACTCAGCGTGTTGCAAAGTTCCATCCAGAATCTCGACCTGTGCTGTCGGCACTGGCTCTGAAACCATGGGTGTTGCGGAAAGCGGAAGAGCCAGAAGCTTGTCGACCTTGTCATCATCTGCTGGGGGAAGGTCTCGACGTCGGTTTATTTTGATTGTGAGTTTCTCTCGCTGCTGTTTGGCCATCGCTGGTAGTACGTAGACAAATGAAGGCGACGAAAGTGCACATTCCTACATTTCCATATCGGGCAAAGCTCACGACGCGCTCACAAATATTCTGTGATTGACATTATGTTCGCAAACCGCTGTAATGTAATAGGGTTACAGAGAACAAACTTGAAGTGTATGACGATGTGTGCACAGATAGTGGTGATTACGTAATGCTGTGAAAACCCACTCCAAAATTCGCCATTATCACTCAGCACTGGGTCAGATGGCAACAAGGACAAAACGTGCGGCCACTCAGATTCCTGATCTTCCACCTGAATTATGGGACCACATTTTCGATTTTGCAACTTATGTGCCCTATACACTAGTCCCTGAGATCTTCGAAAAATCAACCTTCATCGGACCCTGTTACAATCAACAATATCACCCTAAACTTCGGGCTGCCCTCGTTACGAAACGATACTTAGTTCGTGTATGCAGACGGTGGTGGCACATAGCCATCCGTCACCTCTACCGAGCCATTTATATTGGTAGAGCTCGATGTCTTTCTTCGCTTTGCGCCACGCTACAGAAATACGCGATAGGGAAGGGAACTGTAGCAGGAGCCGAACCTCTCGGACGGTGGACGCAGCGATTGGACGTTGTCATTCGTGATCATCTTACTCGTGCAGATACGGAAGCTGACTATTATTTGGCCGATATCATCAAGTGTCTGCCTAACATTGCCATTGTTTCGTTTGCAATGACGTTTATCCCTGGTAACGTTCTCCCAACACCGCTGTTTGGTATCGTCGATGCCTTGCGATACTCTGCATCTTCGATCCGCATCCTTGATTGGACAACACCCGCAAAGCCTGCGGTATCTGAACTCGTGGAGCTGTTGAAGAGCCTTCCTCGATTGCACACCTTCCATTGCCCTTACCTTTCGTGGGGGAATGAAAAATTCCCCACTTCTATCCTCTCCTCGGTCAACACACTCGCTCTTACCTTTGGACCTCCGTTAGCTGAAATCGACGCGGAGAACACGTCCATAAGTCTTCGGAAAATCATTCTTGATACGCGGTGGGATGTAGGTTTGTGGGAGGAGTTTATGGACATCTACGGGACATTCCTCACTTCGATCCATTTTGACTGCAACAACTTCACACGAAATCTCACTGACTACCTGGACATGGTGAATCGGCAGTGCCCAAATCTCCTCCAGATGACCATCTGTGTGGAAGAGTTCTCAAGCATATCCTTCGTTGATTCACCTCTTCCTTCCGTTGGATACCTGGGTCTCATGTCCCAAAAATTCCAAGAAACGAGATCCGGGTATCGAAAGCTGTTCTCGAGTCTTGCCATTCTCAATGCCGTGGTTCCCACACTTCGGGTGGTCCAACTTTTAGACTGCCATAATGTGCAGTGCCTTCTCACGAGGCACTCTCGAGTTGTCACCCGTGCTTTAGAGCATGAGCTTGCAGGAAGTAACTTCCGCATAGTAGACCACGAGGGGAATCTGTTATCAGGTGCGTGTAGGTTTTGGTCTTGTACTTCCTACTCACACCCATTAATTGCACAGACAGTCTCCCGGTCATGCAAAAAGCATGAAGGTACTTACCAGGAATGGAAAACGCACGTGACTTTTCTTATCGTGCTCTCTGTAGTCCGTTGGAGGTCTGAGCAAATGTGTAGTACCTTTTGCACATCCCTGCGGCTTATTCTCGGATTCAATTCCTTGTAGCTATCTTGTTCTCTTCGTCCATATGACGTGTTGACTGAAAAACAGTTACCTTGATGGCGGCGCAGTTGATGTTGAACATGGTAAGGAAGTCTATGCATATTTTGCACGGCCGAGAACAACCACGCGATCTCTATGCTTATCTAGTAACTGGTACTAGTGTTCAAGTTGAGCCCACCGGCAGAGATGTCTACAGAGTTCGGATGCAAAGCCTGTATTTCGCAACGAGATCAGTTCATGACACGTAGAAATTTTGCTCAGTGGTTGCACACAATGTCCCTGGTAATAGCAATCCTGACAGAACCAAGACAACTAGGCTTCTGACGTCAGTCAATCATACCAGCTACAAGAGAGAAGCCTGACTCCTCGACTTCTCAGTATGTTCCACACGGTTACTAGTGCATATCTGCGCCTATGGACTTTTGCAGGGAATCTTCTCAATTACATCACGTCAAGTCGTCTTTCAATTCAGATGGCTATCATTTCAGACAGCATATCAATGGAGTGGTTTGCAAGTGAGCCAGACTGTCCTCGGCAACCTAAGTCTAAGTAAGCGCATACTTTTTCGCTGGCGGGTTCTTTCCGGGTAGGGTCACAGCTTCGTGCAGACGCAGATAACTGAGCTCAACTAGTTTTTTTGCTATTCGAATATTTAAATTTGCGGACTTAATACCGGCTTCTTATGGTCTTTCCCTGGTATATTGTTTCACCTGCATCCATGAGGGTGACACCGCTGCATGTAGCACCTCAGCCTCTGTGGCATGAGCTGAGAAGGTAAAAGCATTTAATGCCCTCAATTATCTTAGGTACCGTATACAACATTAATGTGAAAATCATGACAGTCATTCGTATTGGGGGCTCGTACTACACCTGTGCTCTTATCAACGCTTCCTACTACCCCACCGACTTCGGTTGGAAAGGTCGAAGCTCAGAGAAAGCATAAAAGGCCGCCCTCCATAGGCAAAGAACTTCCCAATCCACATCTCGATTTTCCAACACAGGAATCTCACCCGCATCGTTAAAGTGGCTTCTCAGGAAAGCACCATAGACGCGAGCTCGAAACGTTGGAACATCTGTATGGGGATCTGTGCATTGTGGCTATTTTGGCTACCTCAGATAGTCGGAAAATCAGGAAAACAGTGTAGAGGGGTAATTGGGATTCGAGGACAACGACTAGGTCTGGCTGACAGGATGGGTTTGCGCTGTGCAAAAATTGTGCAGAAAACATTATGGAACGGTGCAGAATAAGAACCGTTTGTCGATGACTTTACCTACATAATAGGACATGGGCTTGTGGAATCCAGGGCCGTAACAGCGGCGCAGAAATTTTGGATACAAGACTAATCAGTGGTCTCTGTTCACCACGCACGGTGCGCCCGGCAGGCTTTAGACAACGTGCTAGGCTGCCATGGCTAAGGTGGTCATATCGTGTGACCTAGTCCGCGAATTGCAGTGACTATGTGATGGTAGTCTGAAGGTAATAGCGAAGAACACCGACAAGGGAGTGACTATGTATGTAATGCCATGCTTGCTTATGTAAATAATTCCCATTTTCTCTGGTTCAGCTTCCTAATAGGCTTTCTGAACTTACGCGCCCTACGTGCTAGTCCCTAAGATCTTTGAAAAATTCAAGCATCCTCGGACCCCCCTACAATTGAAAATATCACCCTGCACTTCAGGCTGCCCTCGTCACCAAACGGTACTTGGTTCGCGTGTGCAGGCAGTGGTAGCACGTGGCCATCCGCCGTCTCTACCGAGCCGTTTACATTGGAAAAGTGCGATGTCTTTCTTTGCTTTACACCATGCTGCTGAAATACTCGACAAGAAAGGTAACTGTGGCAGAAGCCGAACCTTTCGGACAGTGGACAACGGTTAGATGTTACTATTCGTGATCATCCTACCGGTGCAGATACAGAACCTGTTTGGTATCTGGTTGTAATCATCGAGTGTGTGCCTAATATTGAAATCGTTCGTTCGCAATATAGTCTACCCCTGACAATGTCCCACCGACGATGTCTAGTATGCTCAATGCTTTGCGATACTCTGTATCTTCGATACCTGTCCTTGACTGGACAACACTACCTCAAAACCTCCACGATACGAACTTGTGGAGTTGTTGGAGAGCCTTTCTCGATTGCACACCTTCCATTGTCCGTACCTGTCGTGGGATAGCGAATATTTCCCCATTTCTATCCTCTCCCCTGTCAACACACTCACACCTACATTTGGACCCCCGTTGGCTAAAATCTACGCGGAGAGCACGTCCATCAGTCTTTGGAAAGTCATTTTCGATACACGGTGGAGTCTAATTTCGTGGGAGAGCTTTATGCACGACTACGGAACATTCCTCACTTCGATTCATTTTGACCACATTAACTCCGCGCAGGATCTCAGTGACTATTTCGACATGGTGAATCGATGGTGTCTAAATCTCTAGATGACTATTCGTGTTGCTGTATTTTTGGGTATGCCCTTCGCTGATTCACTTTTCCCTCCCGTCGGATATCTGGGGCTCGTAGCCCGAGAATTCCAAGAAACCAGATCCCCCCATCGAAGGCCGTTCTTGAGTCTTGCCTTTCTCGCTGTCATGACGCCTGCACTTCAGGTGGTCCAGCTTTTGTGCCCCCGTAATGGGCAGCGCCTGCTCACCCACCGTCAAGTGATCACCCATGCTTTATCGCACGAGCTTGCAGGAAGTAAGTTCCGTGTAGTAGACCACGAAGGGAATCTATTGTCAGGTGCGTGTGTGCTTCGGCCTTGTACTTCTTACTCATTCCCGTCGTGCAGACAGGCCCAGGACCATGTGACGAACGAGTGTGAAGACGTCAGGAACGGAAGTGGCAGGGACTTCTCCACTTCTTTGGAACTTTGTATGCGTATGGTGGCGGGATCAAATCAGCACTTCTGGCCTATTTGTGCGGACACGAGGGAAGAACGAGAAAGTAGACGCGTTCGCTGATAACGTCTGATGAACGGCGCAGAAAACGACATTTTCCAGTCTTGAGCCACTGCGGGCACTTAACTTACATCTCCAAAAGGGGAGTGAGAAGAGTAGGTCAGAGTAAGTGCAATGATTCCATGTCTACATCAGTGATACATGAACATGTCCTTGTCATAGTTAAAAAGTCCGAGGCTGAACAGTAAGCAAGAAGATATCTAGTATCTGAAGGATGTAATGTCCGAAGGTGAAAGGCTAGTCCATCAGTCCACCTGAAGTCGATTATCCGTTAGCGCAGCATCACCTTAAGGGATGGGGTACGAACCAAAGAGCTACCACCACACTTCTTTGGCTCATGCGCTGATCCCACAGTAAGAGGCGTCCACTTGTGTCGACTGCACGTTAATTCTGCCAAGCTCGGAAGCCAGATTTCCTGTCAGCGTATTCATCGCAGCTTGCGCGATGTTAAACCCCTCTAGCGACACATCCACTGCGAGAATATAGATACTCGTGCTGCCGTATGTGACGTTGTAGCACGTCCCGCATCCAGGAGAGTCCCAGCCCGTAACGGTGTACACGCCCCCGACGTTGGGAAAGTTGGGCAGCTCTCCAAGCGTATTGTACCCCTTGGTTTCAAGTCCATATTCACCATCCGAGCAGGCTAGATTAGAGAGGAGTCCGGAGGAATTGTCGTACGCGGTATCGTAGGACAGAGTTTGTGTTGTTGTTTGGGAGAATGCAGGGAGAGCGAGCGCAAGCAAGGAGAAGATGGAGGATGCGAACTTCATTGTGGAGGTGAGTGGAGTATCTGAAGGGCACAATGCGAGTGCTTTGTGAGGGATTTGAAAGAAGCTGACCGAATGGTTTTGTCTGAGGACCACAAGCCACAGAAGCATCCTCCTTTATACGATTCAACTATCGGCGAAAGGCAGGTCAAAGAAGCCGTTCGGCAGGCATCGGGAGAATGTGACATTCACCCTGCCCCAGCGGGGATTCTCTTTGACACCGTGCCCATCAGAGCAGTGGACGCGGACAGTAGGCTAACGGAAAGCAACACAGCAACACAGGCCTGCCAAGTGTCAATTGTGATGCGGAAATGAAAGTAAACGTATTAAGGAATCAGGCCCAGTGCCGCGGCCTGCATCCGAAAGGCGAGTCGAGTGCATCGATGATCATGGTCCGTTACCCGCACGGGCTTGGGTCGATGTCAGTAAGCACACGTACTAGTTAGGCATGCATGCGGGTGCCCACGTGAACACTAGGTGACCCGAGCCTGTCGTCGCTCTTTCGTGGGGGAAGTTCGCGGTTAGCCCGAAAGGAATTCATTGGCGGGCATCTATGCCCTACTGCGGGAAGATAATTTTAAAGTCTAACGACAATTCAAGAGGGGTGTAGCAACTTATTTTCCTGCCAGATATAATACGCATTGCTTGATGGCCGGAGCCCGTGGCTGGGTAGAGGGCATAAGTTTTCATAGGAGTCCTCGAAGGAGTTCCAACGTGGCTGTCGAGTCATATCCGGCCATAGGTGCCCGCCGAATGAGCTCGGCGAGCAGCTTGGCTGTGTAACCAACACGACTGGGGCGGTAAACTCAAATCGATGAAATGACGACGCACCACATGCTAGGAGGCCTCATGTCCCCTGGTCTTCGCGCGATCACTTCCCATTCCCCAATTACCTGATCATGACACTTGAAGTGCCTAAACATGATTGATGTCGAATCACTGCCAGCTAGGATACACTGCCGGTCGGGCCGCTTGCACACAGTGGCATTGCCAAACAGTGCTCAGCTGCAATTGGCGAACAAGAAATGTTCAGCTCGGCTGGCACGGACATGAAACGTGTCAGTCTCCCGGTCATCTTACTCCGATCATACTGAGTGCTCCGAGACCACATGGACATCATAGCGGCTATCTTTACTATTGTAGCAACGCAGAGGCGTCCACGGCCAGAGTTCCGCTGCAAAGATACATATTCCATATAATTTTCGTACAGTGCAAAAATGACTGTGCATAATAAATGTGCCATCTAAAGGGAAGCGAGAGTACGAGGAATGATTGGTACATAATTGCATTACTGATGCATGTAGTGGAAGAGGCAGTTCGAGTTTCAGTATCCTGGTAGCATGGACTCCAAAGTCTGGAAAAGGGAGCCGACCGCACGGCACCTTGGGCGGGTAGACTAACAACCTCGGTAAGAACGGGACGGTAGAACGGCAATGAAGTGATACACCACCATTCACTGAAGGAAACCGCAGTACGCCGGGTCCACAGGCGTCGACTGCACGTCCACCCTCCCCAATTGGGTTGACTGTCCGTCTGTCAAGTAATCCATTGCTTGCTGTGCAACATTAAACCCCTCCAACGCGCTGTCTACGGCAAGGACAGAAATCGACTTGTCCTCGTAGGTGAGGTTGTAGCAAGTTTTACAAGCGGGTGAGTTCCAGCCCGTGACAGTATACGCCCCTCCGACGTATGGGAAGTTTGGAACCTGTCCGAGCGTTGAGTACCCTAGGGTTTCCAGTCCATTGGAGCCGTTGGAGCACGCTAGGTAATCAAGAGATTCAGAGGAGTCATCGTAAACCGGATCATAGGAGAGGGTTTGTGTTGTGGTTTGGCAGAGTACGTGGAGGGTAAAGGTGGATAGGAAAACGAGGATAGATGCGAGCTTCATTTCGAACGTAGGACGTGATGAGGATATGGGCTTTGAACAGTGCAGGTGGTCGAAATTTCTCCAAGGTGGCCTCCCTTATATGCCTAGGTATCGGTGAATATTTGGCTGAATGTAGGACCGTGTCTGAAGTAGTGAAGGGTAGTATTTCCGAATATACACCGTGCGTTCATGGTCAGCAGACTGACGGGGCGGGCCATAATGCTTTTTCCAGGCTTCACGACTTCCATCCGAGCGGAAGGAAAATCCAAACACAGTACCACAAGTAATGTTTTCGATACAATAGCTGGATGGATCGTTAAGCCACTCACCAGTCTAGTATCAGCTTTACTGTAAACGCTCGGACAGAACCACACCGCAATCCGCTCGAAGCTCTTGGCAGCTGGAGTTATCAACACAGGTATTTCCGTCCCCCTTTGAGAGGGCGAAACAGGGCCGTACACCAAAAATACTGGCCTCTTGCAGAAATGTGGCGAGAAGCATGGAATGTAACAAAAAGGCCCAAGGTTCCTGGATAAAAACTGCTCATCAGGTCAGCGCAAGCCGGAGTTGATGGTATCTAGAAGGTAGCACGACAAAATTGGCACAAGCGATGCTGATGGGTGGAGTGTCGGGGATTTAAACCTCTCCTGGTAGAAGTTGGTCCGATAGCTTGCCAGCATGAAACGCAAAAGCCAGAATTGTACTCCTGCGAACAATGCAGGAGGGACGAGACATCCGGACTATGAGGTATGTGTCCTTAACTCGTCGTTTGTCTGCCACAGGGATGAGGGGAGCAGAACTAATGGATTGTGTGAGCTGGCTACATAAAATCTATGTCGTTTCTAGTTGTAATTAGCATAAATAAATATAAGCTAAAGTCGTCATTCAGGATGTGCAATAGACAACAAAGACAAGAAGGCTGCCTCACTGTCATATGCGAGTTATATCTCGAACCCGAGCGAACGCATGCATTCGACATGCTTCTTAAGAACTTCAGCGCACTGACCCTGGTCTCCACCTTTCTCAAGGAAGCAAGCGTCACGAGCGGCCTTTGTTTCTGGGCATGCGCAGCATCTAGACAAAACTGGACATGTCTGGTCTGTAGCAAAGCAAAATGGCAGACGTACGGCTTGAGACCCTTCGGGTTAAGAGGGTTCATTTTGGGATTTGTAGGGTCATACTTCTCCGGAGCTGGAGCTGGCGGTGATGGTGACCACCAGGAGAAGAACTAATAAACGCTCAGAACTCTTCCTCGACGACGACCTCTGCGCTGACTTACACTGGAGAACATTGCTACAAGGTTTCTGCCAACCGTCGCCGGGTCATTTCGTACGTTGTTCTGTTCCTTGCTTATGTAAGGTGCCAGCAGGCTCTAGCGAATACCGTCACCTTACTCGGGACAACTCATACTTACCTTTTATCAGGGTTTTGTCTTTGGTGGGTCTCGTGGCGAAGCAGATCGACGATGGCTGCGCGAACGTCGCTGTTGTCCAAAATATTCTGCGCGCTGGCTTCAACCGTTCTATTGGCCAGTCATGTAGCAGGCCAGTCGTGTTCAAACTTTGGCACTGCATCCTCCTCCAGCTGCCTATGCCCTCCTGGATTTGGTGGTTCGAACTGCTCGGAACCCGCTTGTGGCGGTACTATCTTTGACGGTTCAAATCGCACTCTCGCGTCATCGACGTCAGGAGGTTTTCCTAACCTGACAGCCTCTGGCTGCTCTTGCTCTAGCGGGTGGACTGGTACTGGGTGCAATGTATGTACTACTTCGTCCGCGTGTCAAACAGCGTGGGCCGCTGTCAATGGCAATGCCAGCGCAAGTGCTGGGCTAGCTGCGGCGTCGGGCGTAAACGACACCCTAGTTTGTAATACACAACCAACGGTATATGCAGCCGGTGAGATAAGCTGCCAGGTCAACGTACGTTCATACTATTTGCCCTAATCAGATGTGATCGAGTCTCATGTCGTCTCAGAATCCTACCTTGCAATCACTCTTCCCGTTGCAATCTAATTTGAATATTCTCCGCACCTACAACAGTTCGCTCTCTCCCTTGCACAATACTTCTGGCACTCTTCTTTCTCCAAATGGATCTTCGGCAGCGTATGCCCAACTCTTCTACGCCGGCGTCGAACAATTCTCGTGTACCGCCTCCCCCTGTACGCAGTCGACCTCGGGTTCAACAGACACATGGACTTGCTCCAATCTGCAATGCGCTTGCTTCGAGGGCACCGCATTCTGTGGAGGTGTTCCGTCTCTGAGCCTCAATGGTACTATAAACGCACTCAGTGGCAGCCTCACAGTTTCTTGCAACGGCGATACATGTAATTTCCAACAGGAGGTTCTCAACGGTCTCTTCGGCTCAAGTGGGTTGGCTTTGCAAGGATGCGTTTTCGGGGAATGCGTCAGTCAGGCTGTGATAGATTCCTCCAACGCGAATTCAACCTCGACTGGAAGTAATTCTTCACAGCTAGGCGGAGGTGTCATTGCTGGTCTTGCTGTCGTGGGTGCCTTACTCGGAGCTGGCATCATCGCTGTCGTATGGGGATTGTTCCTCCAACGCGCTGCGCGCAACAAGCCATTCGATGGTGGTGCAGCAGGTGGTATCGGCGTTCGTTGGTCAGACGTCTCCTATTTCATACGACCATCGGGCACATTCAAAGGTTCAATATTCTCTCCCTCCGGACATGCTAATGGAGAAAAAACTATCCTGGACGGCGTTAGCGGAACTATTGGTCCAGGGATGTTGATGGCTGTCCTCGGTCCCAGCGGTGCGGGGAAGACGACGTTGGTAGAATTGATCGCTGGGAAACCCAAGTCGGGGCTATTCACAGGCTCCATAACATTCCCTCCTCTGCCTGCTGGTAAACGCCCTCGTGTAGCATTCGTACCGCAGACGGATGTGCTGCCTGCATTCTTGACGGTCCGGGAGGCTTTGATATTCGCAGCGTCTCTACGCCTACCAGAATCGCTATCGGAAGAAAGGAAGGCGGCTATTGTCGACGCTGTGATTGAAAAACTAGGTTTGGAAGGTGTTGCAGAAACTAGGATTGGCGCGACAGATGGATCAGGCCGTGGCATCAGTGGGGGTGAGGCACGCCGAGTGAGTATCGGGTTGGAGCTTGTCGGATGCCCTGATATTCTCGTGTGTGATGAGCCAACGAGTGGTTTGGACTCTGTAAGTGCGTGGCGCGTCGTTTCCGTGCTTAAGGAAGTTGCGAGAGGAGGAGGCGGGTTATTCGGTGCCATAGAAGGCGAAAAGAATAATAGTCGAGGTGTTGCGGTTATTTGCAGCGTCCATCAACCAAGGTACGTTTCGAATATCGGGCCGGCGCTTCGTCTTATTTTGACCATAGCTCGCGACTTTACCATGCTTTTGACTCCGTTATGCTCCTTTCACACGGACGTGCGTTATATTCAGGCCCCGGTGGACTTGCGCCTGCCCAACACTTCAAGGTTATTCGTGATGCAGAGGTTGCACAAGATAGTATTTCAGAGATGCCAGAGTACGAAGAAGGATACAACGTCGCGGATTACCTCCTTGAGATCGCAAGTGTTGCTCCAGTCGGACTTTTCTCCTCTTCACGCGTGATGGAAAGCACTGTTAATCAGTCGCAAGACTTGAGTGGTCCCAGCGCGAGTCCAACCGCTGACGAAAAGCCTGCTGGTGCAGCCGATGTAGAAGCTTTATCGAATCGCAGCAAGCCATCCCGAGGCGACTACGCTACAACGTTCCTCACCCAATTTCAGGTGTTATGCGGGCGAGAATGGAAGATAATACGGCGGTAAGTACACCTTGCAGGGACCTGTGCATGTTACTGAATTGCGCTGGGTAGAGACAAGACGTTGTTCCTTACCCATGTTACAATAGCCGCTATTTTAGGGGTATTCTGTGGTGCGTTGGTTGCGGAGGTTTCATTCAACAACTGAAATAGCGGCCATGGTACAGGTGGACTGTATTTCCACACTGGTATCACCATCGCAGGCTTCCAGTCTCGAGTGGGATGTCTATTCTTCCTGGTGAGAGCATGTCCTGTCGTATTTATTGACGGCGACTGACAGACCGTAGGGATCATTGACCGCATTTTCGTCGTTGAGTGCATTGTATAATGTCGTGGAAGTTCGTTCGTTATTCGTTCGCGAACGGTCCAATTCATACTACAGGTAAGACCTTGATGTTTCTCACCATTCTATTTTCTGATGCCCCCTGAACAGTCCGACCGCGTGGTTGTTATCCCGAATTTTGTTCGATGTTATACCATTGCGAGTCCTTCCGACTATCATTGTATCGACCATGTGAGTCGCTTGGCAACTTCATGTTACCCGATTTTACCGTTTGATTTCCAGTACATATTGGATGGCAGGCTTGTCTCCCGAAGCTTCCAGGTTCTTCAAGTTCCTCTTCATTCTCGTATTGTACACGCTCGCCATGACCCTCTGGGTAAGCTTTACCATGTTCGCTGTGACATCTGTCGATCTCACCATTATTGCAGAACTTCTTCCTTGCCACTTCTTTCCGCAACGGCGGGATTGCAATTTTGATATCCGCCCTTTCGGCATTATACCAGATGACATATGCTGGCTTCTTCGTGCACTTGACGTCCATTCCGCCGGTGTTGAGGTGGCTCCAATGGCTTTGCCCCCTCAAGGTTAGTATCCGTGGCAGGAAAATTTGTTGTACTTATCCCCACGATGTCAGTTTTGCCTGGAGGCCCTTTCCGTAAACGAAGTTGGATCTGGACTCACGATCCAAGATACCTTGCAAGGTGTCCCCATCAGCATATCTGCAGCAGTCATGATGCAAATAGTAAGCACGACTTCTATCTGCTTGACAAGCCGGATTTTCTGATTTTTGTTACAATAGCTGTTTGGTTTCGACCTCAGCAGCTACTATAGAGATGTGCTCGTTTTGTTTGCTTTCATCGCTGGTTTAGGTCTGCTTGTGATCGGCGTGGTTTGGTACAAGGTTAGGGAACAGCGTTAAACGTCTTACGCGTTCCTACCGTTCTCTTCATTGCTTTTACTTCTGTTTTTGGGCTGCATTGTGTATGAGACATTGCTTTGACGTCTTTCCTTCTTTTGTCCTCTCCCATGTCCTGTGACCGTATTGACGATGATTCCTGTGCTTACCCTGTTTACACCTATGTCTAATTGACAGTAGCCAATTTTCTTTCTTGTCTTTGTAGGCTACGGCTTGCTTGTCCACTCGTTTGTTATATTCTGCTACCTCAACTGTAGCCGATTAGAGTCAGAGTCCTATCGTTGATACACAGCCACTGCTCTTCCTGTGTAGAAACCAGAACCAACATGGCAGAGCACCCGACGTTGCCAACCCATGGACATTGCCGTGGGCTTGGTCAAACCAACGGAATCGAAGAAGCAAACAAACAATTCTTCAATAGTGCTGGAATCGCAGAACACTACTCCGAACGCCCCGGCGCGTTAGAGTGCGCACGGAGGTTGGTAGCTGCGATGCTCAAGCTGTATCATTTCGCCGAGGAGGAAACAACGGTTATGGATTTTGCTTGTGGAACTGGTAAGTCAGCCATATCGATGGTGCCTACTTGCACCACCCCACGCGTAGAACCTACATACCACGCACATGATATGTAGGTCTTATATCCAGGGAACTCGCACCACATGCCAAGTCCATCGTGGGCGTCGATATCAGCCAGAATATGGTTGATATGTATAATCTCAGCGTTTACAATCAGGGCATCTCTCCTGACGAGATGAGGGCCGTGTGCATACCAGCGATAAAGGAGGATGAAGAGCATCTGAAGGGGATGACCTTTGACGTTATTGTGGTGAGTGGAGGATGTTATGTTCCTATTGTGAATGCGGACATAGGCGTGATGATCGGCGTTTTAGTGCGCAAATGCTTACCATCACTTCGCGTCGATCGACAGTGTCACCAAGTCCTTAGTTTCGTACCTTAAACAGGGGGCCTCGCTCCTGGTCGCAGATTTAATCAAGAGTCAGTCATCTGAAGAGATCTTTCCTTCTAACGCCCACCACATCGTGCCCCACACGGGTGGCTTCACTGCTGAAGAAGTTCGGAATGCCTTCGAAGGTGCCGGACTTCATAATTTCAGCTTCACGAAAGCAACGAACGCAATGCCTAGACACGCGACGGAGTCGGTGACCTTCTTCGTTGCCCGGGGAGACAAATGAAAGGAGAGATGAACTTCATGTGTGAGATTCTGGGTGACCGATATCTACAGTGGTCGTATCATATTCCTTGCGAGAACTTCGTCCGCTGGTACGTACGTAGCTTTCAGTCACAAATAAACTAATGCCCAGGAATAATACACGTCAATTACTTCAAGCAAAGAGTACCTCCAAAGCGCTTCTTAGTTATTTCATCCACCTTGGATTTCACCTCTCGGAAGGCTGCCCACCAACCCTTTCCTATCTTCTCCGAGGTCATCCGTTGTGTTACAACTTCAGTTTCTAGCAGATCGTCGTGCTCGTAGAACTCCCAATATCTGCGCAGCAGCACTAACCACCACTTCATCACGGCGATCGTTTTCTCCATTCCCGTATCCGATGTCTCAACACTCTGCACCAAGAACTTGCTGAAATACTCCACATCTTTCTGGTTCGGAGGGTCTTCCTTGAAGTTTTCGACCCAAGTTTCAATTACCCGCTGTACATCATCCGTCATCGTAAAGTACAGCTTCTCTCCTTTCTTTGGACCTTGCTGCTTTAAGAAAGGGTGTTGCGGGTGTTTGGCCAGAGGTGGGGGCTTTTTAGGATACACGCGAGTTTTTCTTTTCGCGTACTTGAGAACCGTCGGCTCAGTCAGCACTCCTCCATTCTTGAGATGTCGGGCCGTGATCAACTGCTCGCGTTGCACATCGACGGGCAGGGCCGCGAAAACCTCGGGGTCAATACCAAGCTCCCGGAGTTCATCCTCGGGAACGCGCACGGAGGAGAGGCCAACACGAGTGGGACGTTTGGTGAAAAGCGTGCTCTTTCGCGGAGAAATAGTGGTTTTGCTTCTAGGTGCAAGCTGCCTTGTGATCCGCTTGACGTCAGTGGTAGTTCCCTTCACTGGTATCCTTGGGCGGCGCTCAGCCGGAACAGGAGGGGGGTTGTCGGGTACAGGAGACTTGGAACGGCGTTCATATTCGTTCTCTAGCTCTCTACGGATGCTTTCCGGCAGTGCATCAAACACATCTCTGTCCACCTGAGAAAATGGAGGAATATCGTGCGCAGAGGCCTCCTCAGCTTTGGCAGTGCTATTCTCCTGTGATAGTACCATTTCTTGAGAAGGAGGCTGGACAACAATCTGCGGATGCTCAGTCGCGACTTGCATTGACTCAGCCTTGTGTTCTGGCATCTTGGGTCGCAGTGCAGGCTGGAAGGGCAGTCTCGCTTGTGCGGTACTCTCTACCGTGCCCGCCTTCTCTAACTTTTGGATTTGAATACCTATTCCCCGCAATTCCTTGGGATCGAAGTTAAAGGATAGGAGCAACTTCCAGGCATGGTCTCCTATATCTTTGCTATCACTAGTAGCCTGACCATGTATGTTGGAAAGAGCTGTCTGCTTATTGAAGGTCTCGCATATCCCATGCCCCAGGAACTAGATACTATGTTACTGAGTCATCGACAAGAGAAAGTTATGGTCTCTTGCCTTTGGTGCCTCTTTCGGCGCACTGGAGTCGCGCTTCATGATTTTCAGTGTCAGCGATCTGCCACGCACGGATATATTGTTCATTCGTCGCGCGACCTCTTCCGCCATCTGATAGATGAACGTCTCGGTTTGCTCGTTGTTTTCGAATCGGACGCCATACTTAATCTGGTTCGAAGACAAGCCTCAAACTGAAAAGGAGGGAAAGACGTACATTAATGTCGCACGACACAGATCTACGGGGTTTATCGGACTCAAGCTTGCGGTCGTCGATTCCCCTAATGGCTTTGTAAAGTGTCTCTCCAGTACCTTTTCCCAGCGCTTCACAAAGCTGTCCTTTGCTCTTCTTGGCTAACTCCCCCAGGTTTGCCGTACCAAGTTTTTCCTTCGCTTTCTCTCGCGTTGAATGTCCAAAGCCATGGAGGTCATCGATACCGAGTGGGTCGAGTACCCTTTGGACGTCGTCGCGCTTCAGATGAAAGAGTCCCGCAGGTTTGGCCTTCCTTGTAGCAATACGAGCCAGTTGGATGTTTTCTGCGATACCGATACTAACTGCACAAACTCCCAGTCAAACCACAGGGGGCAGGAAACTACCTTACACCTACCGTTACACCCGGTGGCTGCCTTCACTTCCTCCCTGATGGTCTGGGCCAACGCAAGGGCATGATCGTCCACAGGGATCGGGGTCTCTGCTCTCCGACTCTCCACGCTACGTGATACGTCCACTAACGCTTCGTCAACAGACACCGCCTGAAGATCGTCTGCATAACGCATAAGAATTGTATAGAATTGCAAAGAGAGATCTTTATATCTTTCACGGTAGCTCGTCAGACAGCAACCAAGACGAAGAACCTCATCCCGTACCTCTCGAATTCATAGGGTATCGTCACGACCGAAGGGCACAGTTGCCTTGCCTGTCGTAGACTGGCAAAGCCCTCGAACCATGGTGCACATGAGGGCTAGAAGAGACATACCTCATACCATTCTTGATGCCAAACGACCTCGCTTCGTAACTTGAGCTAGCAATTTCACTCGTACTCGACGCACCACCTTGATTTCCTTGTGAATGACAGACGACCACGGGTTTACCTCGCAATTGTGGCCGAGTAGTAAGCCCCGCAGAGACGAAGAAACAGTCAAAATCACAATGCATAATAACTCTCTCGTCGTTGACAGCTTTATGCTTTCCCTTGTTCTTGGTTGGAGATCTCAATATGAGCTCTGCGCCACCCATACTGACATCCGTCGTCGAGGTCGACTGAGCGCCCGCTTTCTCTCGTACAACTGGACCGTCCTTATTTTGCGAGTCGCCAAATTCTTCGCGTTCTGCACGTTCCTGAGCTTCCATGACGAGATTCCTAAGTTCTGCCTTCCACATCGAGAGATGGTGTAGACGCGAGTTCTTGTAATACCCCTCGATAAAGTCGGGTGCTATTGATGTGTGGGCTGCTCTCCACTGCGGATCAGCCATAACACGTTCGGCCATTTCGTTGGACCGTCCCAAAGCATAACCAGGGACTCGAACAGCGTCCTCATATGTGGCAGGATCGGTGGTATACAATGGACTGGGCGGCGACTTCGATCGAGAAACGGGGTCTTCCATCTCATTCCAATTGACCTGTACTTGAGGGTTGGGTGGTGGCGTAGATCTTGAGATAGACTTCAATGTGGTTTGTCCTACTGGAGAGCCCTGAGATGGCTCGGCTCTACCGCCGGGATGGAGAATATAGTCTGTCCAAGGAAGCAATGTGCCGGCAGCTGCGCTCTCGACAAGCCACTCAGGTCTCACGACTTTCATATGCTTGAATTCGCGAATCTTGGCAGGTGTGAGGGAGCATGTAATGATATGGGTTCTGTGGTAAACACTCAATATAACACGAGCATCGATAATAGGGAATTGAAATGCGAACACTAAAGATTTCTTGCTGAGATAAGACTGAAAGACGCCGCCATGCCTAACAATGAGTTTCCGCAATTCTTGCATGGATGGTCTCGTCCATCCATTTATCTTCTGTATGTCAGAAAACCATCTACCAAATTCACGAGAGAACAGACACGCACGTATATTGAAATTCCACGAAAGAGGCCGTTCTTTTCGTCAGATGTGCTCTCCAAACTGGTGTTCTGAATTTGCAACTTCGCGCGCTTGCGTTGCATGTACTCCCCCCACTGTCCAAAGTGGGAGGCCCCGTATATCTCAGCATTGGTTTCAGGTCCATTCAGATGATGCAGCGTCGTCTTTGAGGACTGCCCAAGGTCTTCAGGACTCTCGCTTCGGGAACGACTTCGCTTTGCGTTCGTCCTGGCCCCGCTACTGATAGGCTGTTCATTCGACAAATTGTTGGTATGTTCCATATGTCCCGCTCAAAACAAGATCAACTGCTGTGTGTATCCTTGCAAGGAGTTCATGACTGTGCGGATTGAAGCCAGATTGCTAACGTCAGCATGTTCCTAGAATGGCGAATCCGCGGCCGGAAAAGGCCGAACTCTAATACATCTGTCTCGTAGAGTCCAACTACGTAGCCAGTACATGTTGTGGCTATCATGCTGTAGTTCAACAAGGGGTGGATCATTAGTTCAAGTTCCAGCCACGTCCTTGCGGTGGTTCTAATATATGCCATTTCTATGGAGAAAGTTCGGGTACACATGTAATAGCCAGGCCGAGGCTTGCAGCGTCAATACGAAACGCGATCATCGCATTTTGCCTGGTCCACGAAATCGGTCAGTTGCACTGCACCATAAGACACCGGGGTTGTCATTGTCGGCAATTCTATGCTTCCCGTCATCTAGATTGGGCGCCTTAGGATCATTCCGGCCATTTTCAACCACGACGCCCAAGCCAAGTTTCATGGAATCATGTCAGTCTGATCCTCATACTTCAATATTCAAATTGTGTTCACAGCCGGGGGGCAAACCCCACCGTTGTCGGGGCGCCCCAGACCAGCACCCTTACAAGGTGGAAATAACTGTTGCAAGGTTATCAAGGATGAAACTAGACGGTTGGACATACAAGACTTTTGCACGTGAAAATCCATAGAGTGGGCAAGGAAAAGCCAAAACTATCATTCCGATACGGAAGCAAACAGCCTGGTTTCGTTGGGTCAGTACTTAACTAGTCGGCAATAGAGAATTTAATACATACAAGAAACAGAAACACGCACCCCAAACGGGTTCGACGATTAGCGTAGTACAGTAACGTATAACACCAGTAAAAAAAACATGCTATGACTACAGTGATTGAACCACAATACTGATGTCATCTAACCAGGGGACATCAAGGTCAAGTGTCAATGTCTTAGAAATGCTAACCGATTCGCCTCCGAGACCCTGCCATAGTAGTTGTAAAGCCCTATTAGGTGGTATCGTAGCAGAACGGCCACTAGCAACAGGCATACTTCGTAACCATCGGTCAATTACACTGCGCTGGTGCTGTCCACAGATATCGGTGAATCCGTCCGAACATAGTATGAGGTATCTTCGTAGAGGCCCCTGCGAGCGGTCTAGCGGAAAGTGTGTGACCTCGGGCACCGCAGAAATGTATGGCGGGGTCTTGTTCCGCACTAGGAATTCCTCCCACAGAGAAATATCGCGGTTACCCGGGAAGAGGTTATATAGGATGCGTCTCGTGAACTCCGGAGGCTGTTTAAATGGCGTGTCACCTAAACCTAGAGTTGCAAATAATCATCAGCTATGACATAGCGCAGAACATCGCGTGACGGCTACTGACATCGAAAAGGGGCAATAGCTCCCAAAACCCGATCATCGACGATACACTCCGATTCTCCTGGGTGTTCCCTTCGCACGCGCTCCACTTCGCGTTTATTCTGTCCGTTGTGCACCCGAGTCAAGACTTCATAACTCCAGACCTGAGGCGCAGTCTCTGATACCATAACTACCGTGAGACTTGATGATGAGCGAAGGCTCCACGAAATGAACCGTTTCTTCGCTTACCTCCTTGGCAATCGCCCAAATTAGCGAGCCACAAGTTAGTGTGATCAGGGTCGACAAGTGCTACAAGTGCAGTGGTACCATACATGCAAAGCCTTGCCCGTTTAAAGTTCTCTCCACCCACAAGTTGATCATTGAGGATGGTGTGGATCTGCTGATCGGGCATCCCTATAGCAGCATGTAAACCACCTGGAAATAGCTCCAGGACGTCATTGGCAATCGCATCGTCGAATGCGCGGATGGCACTGCTGAATACGTCCGCTATCAGCGGAGGGGGGACAATACGTCCACCATGCTTTTTGTCAAGGTCCTCCAGAAACTCGCGGACGATGATAGGTACGTGGTAAGCGGCGTGTTGCACGGTAGCGTCTCCAAGATGTCCTGGAAAATCAAACTCATTGAATATAGCTCCAGAGTGGAAAGTGTAGTCAATCAGACATACCATCGAATACAGCGGTGAGAGTCCATATTCGGCCGCCTACGTGCAGCTGCTGCATGGCGTAGCGGTCCTGACTTTTCGCACCAGAAAAGGGCTGAAAGTTGAGAGCGTCAGCTCTCCACTTCTCACCAGTACCATAAGCAAGGCTTTGAGGGTCGGATGCTAGCGACAACTTATTCCATGCCTCGGACGTCGTGAGATTGGTGAAGGCGCGGGGCCAGGGGCCATCCTCAGGACCACAGATACTTCCAGGAATCTCGTCATACCATGCCACGGATGGCGGTTGGGCTTCCTGCTGTTGCGCCAAGCCGCCTGAGCCAGCGAGCATGGCTGCGGGGAGGGAGAAGAGATCGGTGGACGAGCGATGTGGGGAATCGGGGAAGTGTTGGCCGAACATTCGCCCTGCCGCTTAATATGGACGGCATGTCCTGTACAGCACTTCCGGGATAGAGTTTCACCGTAACGGGGATTACTGAAAGCTGTGATATTATGCGCGCTCCTGAGAGTGCGTATTGCACACGTGGGGACGTTATGGCCCTATAAATTGGCGGACACAGTGTAACTGGTGACAAATTTGACTGCACCAATCGAGATATTCAGGACCACACTTACCGGAAACAACACCCAGCGAGTGCCATCGACGTACGCATGGCACTCTCAAATGAACAGCGGCTCAGGGAAATGGCAATTACCGCGCGTCAAGCGCGTCAGTGTGGTCAACCTGACATTTGGTGAGTAGCCGACTACATTAGCTTGTTTACGTAACACAACACACACACAGGGAAGATATACCATGGGTATGCTAATTGGATTGCATTGCTACACAAGGTCTGAGTCGTTTACATGTTACTGTATGTGCGAAGTATTAAAACGAATGAAATATACAATAGTACAAGGTCCAGCGGTGAGTGGAAATGAAAGAAGAATGCAAAAGAGTGATGAAAAATTTGCTAACCATTCTATGTAATTCCGCTAGATTAAGAGGGCGAGTATGAACCAGAAGAAAGGAAGACAACTCATTGACGAAATGGATTGCGTGATCCGCCCGTATTAACTGGCGTCACCCAGTATGATCCGATCTCGTCAGTAGCCTCCCGGACAGATGTTGCATATGCCTCTGCATCTGTAGGCGGTGGCTTCCGCGGCGTAAGTTCGCGCCTGAGAACGTTCGGCTTCTTGCACACGGACGAGGCGATAGTTGTGGTGGAGAATCGCGATGTCAACGGATTCGACTTCACAGGCTGTCGGGGTTCAGGCCCGTTACGCGGCATCCCTGTAACCTGGGAATAAAGCGACTCCCGAGACAAACGGTGAGAATCGTAGTCACAAGCCCCGTGGGACTTGCGATCGTGGAGCGACGGAAGGGGAGAAGGGCAACGGCTTGACCCCGCCCTAGAATACTCGTATGCCCCGATCAATTTCTCCAGTTCCCGATCGTGGTGCGCTTCTTCCGCGGCCCGGAGCTTCCAAAGAGCGATCTCTTCATTATCCGGAGGAGGTGGGTTTGGCGAGTGACGAAATAATCCCAGAAGACGCTGTCGCCAGTTTGTTTTTTGATCGAGAGCCTTGGCGGAAGCAAACGCGGCTGTTGCTTTGGCTCTTTTCTTCCGAGCACGTCGGCGCCAGCACCAAAGGAATGCCATAAATATAAAGGCGCAGCCAAGCGTCATTAACAAAATTTCCCACCACGACAGTGACTGACGAGTTGTCGTGGAAACAGGAGATGACAGGCCACTGATCGATGGCAAGGCAGCCGAACCACCGGTCGACGACGGGACCAGCACAAGTTCGGATAAACATGCGCCGAGACCAGGTACGATATTGGTTCCGCTACTGCAATTAGCCGCGACACAGGAACCCCCGCGGAGCACCTGACTCGAGCTCGAGCAAGCTAGACAATTACTTGGACCTGACCCCGAGCAACTCGAGCAACTGCTGTCACAAGACTGGCATGTGGACGAAGTGGCGTCGAAATACTGGTTTTGACTGCAGGTCGCCAAGCAACGGCCGTTGGTAAGTACGGGAAGTGTCTGGTTGCAGCTTGTGCATTGGTTGAAAGCCGAGCCGGAACAAGTTGCGCAGTCGGGATGGCATGCAACGCAAGCGCCCGAGGAGCTGAAAGCGTTGGATGGGCACGAGCTAACACACTGCCCATTCGATGCAAGCATGCTGTTCGCACATGTCAAACAATAACTGGCACTTCCAGAACAAGTGCTGCATGACGAGCTACAGGCTGCCAAACGCTCAGTCAGCAACATGGTCAAGGGATCGAAGCAGGGGTACATACCTGTGCAGGTAAGGTTGTCTGTGGGAGATAAAAATGTGCCCGAAGGACAGCTCTCGATGCAGTTGCCTTGATAAAGTACATAACCAGGCAAGCAACCAGTGCATTGGGCTTGGTTGGTAGTGGAGGCGACATTAAAGTTTGGTATCTGACAGGATGTACACTTGGGTCCACAAGCTGTAGATACAGTGAGAAAAACGGCCAACCTCCACGTGTAGTGGCAACTTACTATCACACTCGTGCTTATTGTTGTTGGCAATGAGGGAAGAACCCTGGCAGACACCAACGCTGTTGGTCTGCACACACGACCCATTGAGTGAGTAAGTCCCTGAAGCGCAAATTACACAATTATTCGAGGTTGACCCGGTACATGTTTGACACTCTGTAGCGCACGGCTCGCAACTTGTGCCGTTGCTGTAGCTGCCATCAGGACAAGTTGTGCCGCCAGAGGTCGTCTGGGAAGCAGCATCACACTTCGTACGATCGTTTGCATCCTGTGTGTAGCCAGATTTACACGTGATACAATCGCCCGAGCCATCAGCACACTGGGAACAACCGAGTTGGCAAACTGTAGCACAGTTAGCACAGGTACCATAGCGTTGAGATGATTCCTTACTTTCACAGTTACCCGATGAATCGAGGAAGTATCCAGTTGCACAAGCAGCACACTGGGTACCGTTGGATGCTGACGTCCAACCTGGAAGACAACTGCATTGCCCATTAGAGCCACACTGGCCATTGATACAGTTGCAACTCGATGGAGGATTCGTAACCGTCGTAGAAAGGCAACGACCGGATCCGGAAATTCCGTCATCACATGAAGTACAGCCAGACGGGCAAGGCAGGCACGATGGTCCATAGTGCCCAGATGCACACTGCTCACACGACGACCCGGAGAAACCCGAAGGGCACGAGCACGTCCCGGATGCAGTACAAACGCCACTCCCAGAACACGGTGGAGAACATGTTGAAGACTCAACTTTGACTAGTGACAAAGAGCCAGACACTCCAGCTGGAAGTTGGCTAACATCTGGGATTGAGTTCCAGAGAATAACGTGACTGTTTCCTGCAGTGACCTCTGCCCACACGTTACCAGAGAGGGCAAGAGATTCGGTGTTACTCAAGGAAGTTGAGGTATTTTGGGAAAGGCTTATGTACGAGCCTTCACCGGAGTAGAGCGCTTTCGGGTATGTTGCGATACCAGGCTGCAATTGGACAGTGAGGGGCAACGTCACCGAAGTATTGGCCGTCGAATTTGCGAATCCGGGTGAAGGAGAGAGGGTTGCCGAAGAGGATGTCAACAGTTCATTAAGTAGCTGAGGGTTCGTCGACGATGTGTATTGTCCAGGAAGCAAAAGTACGTCTGTGGAAATTCCAGAGGCGGAGAGCGTTGCGCCAACTGTGAACGAATAATTAGCAACGAGCTCCACCAGCTAGTTTGCAACACATACGAGTCGTATTCGAGTAACCTTGAAGGCATTGACCCGCAACGCAAAGAACAGTAGAAGATTGCGCGACTGCGAATACTTCAGCATGCTAGTCGGAATGCAAGGGCGCGGGTACTCACCAACAGACGCGCCGAAGGCAAGAGAAGCAGCGAGGATGCTTGCTAACATCCCGAGCGGTGAAGGAAAAGTGAACGTGAGGGTCGGTGAAGAAGGTTGGACAGAGAAGAAGAGCACAGGGCTCCGATAGGACGACACTGGGCTGAGTCCATCCCTTTTGTTGTGTCCCGAAAATAAAGGTGCCGGCCCGTTGCCAGCGCCAGCGAGAACAATGGACACTCGGAAAACAATAGAGCTCGGCTCACCGACAATTTCCTTTTTGGGAACAACATGGTGGCTGTGCAACGTTCATTTACACCATGTAGATTGCGTCGAAGTAATACTGTACAGATTGGTTGATGTGGGTACATATAAATGTCTTAATCTCGAGAAGCGATATGGTAGTGTAAGTAAGGGATGACTCATAACAAATCGGTTCATGGGATATCAGAAAATACCAGGACAAGACGTGTTTTTCGCAGTCGGTCATCGCGTAACGATACTCGCAGTGAACTAACGCAAAGTCACTGGCATCGGGGGTAGGGATGTAGGGAGTGGTTTCCAATGCATCCGCGATGGGTTGGGCGTGCCGTACTCCCAATCTTCTTCCTTATCTTCATCGTCTAGTTCATCCTCCCCGTCGCAATCCTCGACATATACACCAACACCAATCCCATCTTCGGGCTCGAGCAACACCTCCCGAACCCCACGTTTCTCTCGGCATTTCAACTTGTTCAAAGCAGCGACGAGGTCCTCTGCGAGTGCGACGGAGTTCGGCGGGTCCTCACGTATCTGCTCCCAACCAACTGGCGGCGATCCCGGTGGGGAAATGAGGAAATTCTTCTCCAACGGGGGAGGTTTGAGGAACTGATCCTCGGAGGTTGGTGAAGATGGACTGATAGTCGGATTTGGCTCTGCACGGTACACTCGGAGAATGGTTTGCTGCCTGTATAAAATAAGCATCACGCGCGGTCAAGGCGCGACCACACGTACCCATGAACCGGTTGGATGACCAAAGGGTCGCTGTTGGCCTTAGCCTGTTCCACAGACTCGACATCGTTGTATACCAAAAGTATACGGGAGAAACAAGATATCGGAACCCAATGAGCGATCTCCCCGTACACAGCAAAGTATTCACGAAGCGCCCAAAGGATAACCGGCTCAAAAAAGCTTCGTGGCACTTGGGTGATGATAAGCGTGTTGGTGGGCTGAACGGCTGAGGGTGACGTTGGCCCGGATCGTGATGTGGGAGGGATGATAGACACTGGCGAAGATAGCATGGCTGCTCTACAGTGGTTCTTGGAGTGGAGGTCAGCAATCAAATCAGCCGCCAGTGTTATACTCTCCAGCAACCTGGATTATGTGATCTCCACAGCCGTGGCAGTGCTGGCAAGCCGTCTGTCTTTTAGTTTTAGGGTACCGTCAACCGTGCGGTGCTGTTTCTGGGAATTCCGAGTCGCACGAGTCGCATGGCAAAGCATCCACTCTTCCATGTGGAAGGCCAACTGTGCAGTCACTGCCAGCCGGGTGCTGTACATGGTTTTCGATCGCCGCGCATTGTACAAAATCATATCCGGAACCCTATACCTGGATGTCTATACTGTAGACGTACAACAATGCGGTCTTTCTACCCCGCGCTTCTATCTGACTGCTTATCTCTTCGACAGCCACCATCACGACACGCCCTTGAGAAGATGGATAATCTCCACGACAGGAGGTTCAAGTCATGCACGTAGCCGTTTCTGCACTGCCTCCTGCTTCTCTTTCAAAGCCTGGACCCTCTCCTCTTTGCTAGCGTCGTACGCGACGGTGACCTGATTGAATCTGCGCAAACGTTAGCATATTGATGCTGTGAAACCAAAAAGCGCCGAAACACACGGATTTTCAGGTGATTTCTGGAATTGCTTATACAGGATGTCCTGTGGGGATCGCCACTATTAGGTTTGCTGCGACCAATTCACAAATCTGGTGTCTTACATGATATTGCTGCAGGCGTAAACCGGGGTGCTTGATGAAACGTGCAGTTAGTTGGAAGATCCAAACTGCCAGATCTCAGATACCTACATCTTCTTTGACTTTCGGCAATTCCGCCTCCTTGTACGCTTCGAATGCTGCCTGTAAACACGCCGGGTTAATCTGTACACTGCCAACGAGCTGGAATGAGATTACCTTGAATCTCCGCTGATTTGCAAAAACACATAAGCATCACCAATGGCAACAGCTGGAACAGCCACTGACCTCAGGATGTCTCTCGATACCTGCAGCTTGTTGGCCAACACTTGCTTTGTCCATCTTCGCAGTCACGATTTCCAGAAGGTCGAGTGCGTTATCGATGCCTGTAGCGGCATAGGTTTCGGCCTCGCCTTGCTCTGTCTCTCTCTCCTTGTCCTTTCCGCTGCCTAACCCGCCACCTGCAGCAATTGCACCAGGACCAGCAGGCTTGACGCCTTTTGCAGTCTTCTTCGTGCCAGCCTTCGGAGCCGATTTCACTTTGGAAGGAAGAGACGATTCCTCCTCTGCAAGTAACCGTGCATTCTCTGCCTTCCTGGCAAGCTCTGCCCGACGTTTCTCCTCCTTGTCCTCTTTTGACTTTCCAGATTTTGCGCCTTCAGCCCAATTCTCTGCCTCCTTGCGTTCCTGAGAGAGAGTGAGCTGCCTTACTTACAAAAGACACCGGTATGACGGCTATGACGGGCGGCCTGCCTTGTCCGCAGCAGCTGCCTGCTGTTTCTTAGCCTCATTCTCTGCCTTCTTGGCTCGCCCAGCCTCTTTCTTTGCGTTTGTGCTCTTGGGCGCCATGCTCTGCAGGAAGGGTCGATTGAAGTGCGATACAAACACAGGATGATGAGTTGGAAAGACAGAAGCTGATTACGTAGTGCTGATCTAATCTAATCGGATTCTGAGCACAGCCGCCCCGATCACGATGTCCGTCTGTTCTCATATATAAAAGGACCCCACCACTAACAGCCGCCTCGTGTTCCTGTAACCCAGTCATCGAGGCCGCCCGTGAGCACAGTTATTCGTTAACTTTACGATCCCTTAGTTTTTCCGCCCTTTTTCATTTCCTGAATTCCTTATCGCTGTGAGTGGTCATGGGCGACCCTACTGTGAGCAAGTGGGCCGCTGGAACAAGCTGTGAGTCCGTAGAATGACGCCTATGACGCTTGTTCAAACGGGTGTGCTTAGATGGACCGGTTCTATCACAGACCGATCTATATCTGCTTAACACCGACCTTCAGCTCAACCCAATCCTTCAGGGCACAAACCCTGGGTTCCATCTATTGTTCAACCTTGTGACTGGTATGGAGGTTTTTTTTTTGCTGTCGCACGCAACCTTGACGTCCTGTAGGTTCCACGGGTGGATTCAACCCAGAAGCAAGAGACCGTGATCTCCTCTTCACTCAAAAGGACGAGCCTGCCACATTACCTCGTGTCACGCAGCTCATCATTATCACTGAACTCAGCCCTTGGTGCACTATCATACACAATGAGCGCGGCGTTACCATGAGTGACGTGTGCACCGCGATATGGAAAGAGTATGTCTTGAATTTCAAGGGCCAAGGCTTGTCTGACGACTTTGATTCCGCGGAACCAGATATACAGAAAACTACGTCTCTGAACAAGAATTCAACTCCCTTCCACCACGATTACAGGAACACGTGAAGCGCGCTGCAGCTAACAACCAGCAAGCTGCTAACTGGCAGATGTACTACAACACCCCTACACCACCCAGCCGGTACAAGAGAGTCGGTAAGTCTCAGATTCTGAACTCTACCCACGACCAGCACCAAACTTCCATTTCAGATTGGCTGCGAGACAAAATTTACTTTGATTACTTGACCAAGAAGGACACCTATTCGGTTTCACGACTCGGGTTCAAAGCTCCCAACATCTTTGTGATGTGCCTAGCTTCTTGAGTGATATCCGTTGTAATTCCTACGATTTCCTGTTATACTTGTCGCTTTCTTCGGTCGGATCATGTGCACATTGTATCACGAGTTTTTTTTCGCCCCGATTATCTACATCTACATAGCGATTCCGTTGTCTGCATCTAGCAATTGCCTGTCACAGGTTTGCTATCTTTATAGAGCACCTTACAAAGCCTAGCCAATGATATCCATTCCGATTCCTTCGCCCGAGAGTTCCTGTGCAGAAAGGGGAATAGCGTGTGGGCCTCGTGGAACCATTGGTAGCTATTAACGGAAGGAGAGGAGAGAGCCGAAATTGACGTGCCACCAGAAAATCAAGAAAACATACTAGTCCTCTAGAAATCCATGCTGTGTGTCTTTCCATGACATACGCGGTGCTCATGGGCAGTGCACAATGGTACCTGCGTACACAAGCTTGATTGTCCGCGCCAGACGGGCGGAAGCACTCGTCGTCCGACGTTGTACAGCCACGCTTACCTAAGCTGTAGTTCATTACTTCCCAATTTGGGAAGCCTTCATCATCGCCATTGGCCAAGATTTGTGTGAGAGGACCAAGCTATTATAGGGCCCTTCCGCCTTCTTCTAACGCCCCTTGAAAATTGTGTCGTCTAGTGAGGCTCGGGTGGCCAGTGTGGTACCTCGTCCCTGCTTATACCCGTACTTTCGATAGGTGAGCGCACTGACTCGACACTGATCAGTCGGAAGTAACTGGAGGAGCGTTTCGACATACGCAGCAGTTGGACACCGACACCGACACCACTGTAAAAACCGTGGTTTCGCTCCAAGGCACTCACTCCCCTGTGTCGTGCGCTTGACAATGGCTAACACCGCTTTTTAGGAGTTTTGCGTGCACCAAACGGTTGAACAATTGTACGGTATAGACTGCCCCCGACGTCTGATCGACCTGTGACTGAGTCACCGTATCTGTGCTATCACGAAATTCCACGCAAGTGCAGTTCTGTATTCCTGTGAGCAACCACGTCGTCTGTCCTGACTCGATTTGGTTCAACGTAACTTTATTCAGATTGCACTGGTGAAATCTGATCTCTTCTATATCCTTATACATTTAGAACTCGCACGAAAATGCTATATGATACACCTGACGGCGGCCCGTTCATTCCTCCTCTTCCTTCTCCAGAGGGTGCGAATCCCCCACCAGTCCTGCCTACGAACCGTCAGGAGCCGGCACCTTCTGGCTGGGCCCACCAGCCCCGCACGCCTTCGCACTATCCCGTCTACCCTCCTGGACCACCCAATATAACTCCTTTCATCCCCACTGCGCCAAGTTTACACACTACGCCCATCATGCCGTCGCGACCCGACGCGCCTGGTTCATATTACGCACCGCCTGTCTCGCTTCCAAACGTCTACGGGCCACCTGTAGCTCCGCCTCCTGGCATGCCCACCGATATGACAGGCTACCCAAATGTAGCCGCCACTGCATGGGGTCCCCCTTCCGCAGTTCCTCCGCCCCCGCAGGCCTGGCCCCCTCAACACCCACCTCCATCGGCATACACTACGTTTCAGCAACCACTCCCTAACGGAGCCCCTGCTTGGGGACTCCCCATGGGATATCATACGCCAGCTGCAGCATGGGGGATGCCTCCGCCTATGATGACGCCGTACGCATTTCCGGCGGCGACACCTTGGATGGGCCTCACCAATCCACCGCTCGCACCGCAGCCGCCACCACAAGCTGCTCCTCAGACCGATACAGCACGTGCAAATATCAGGTGGACGAGCAGCGTCGATCGGATGGATCCTTTTACAGAAGGCCCGCACTGTAGGTTCCATACATTCGCCCCTTCTATAAACGTTCTCACGCCCGGTCGTTCCCTTTTTTGTAGATGGGCCCGTGCTCGAGCCATTCCTCGCCAGAGTTGTGGGAGCGGTCATCAAAATCAACCCGCTGCTGGCACCTCCTGGGGATTCACATGAGGATTATCTTCGATGGAACATGCTATTTCATACGAGCAATTGCTACCGCACGACTGACAGCCGACGATCCTGGATGAAGGGGCGTAAAGCCCCGGCGACGTACCCCCGCCTAACCTATGTCAGGCTTGTCTCTCGCTCGTTCCCGTGGATGATCCAGATAGTCGCGCGGGACAAGTCGGTCGGCGTAACATGTGGAGAAATTTTGGATGGTATATCCGGATACTTGTACGGCGACGTCGCGAAAAGAGAATACGGGAACGTGTCCAAGTCACTGAAGCGTCAGATTTGGATGGCCTATCAGCAAAACCGTTCCACCGATCCTAATGTACCAGGTGGTAGGCTTGGCGAGGCTCTCAAGAGGTTAGACTGGCTCGGCAACGATACGAGGTTCGGCGGGCTGGTTGTGAATGACGAATTTATCAAAGAAATATGCGGCGATGTGCTCCCTGCCACGTTCGAACTGAAATGCCTGCCAAGTTACCCGCTGACACAACAAGAACTGCATGACCAACAATTGCGTCAGCAGGCGGCACGATCCAGGAACGGGTCGGCATCTAGGTCGCCCGCTCACTCTGGTTCAGAAAGGAGTTCGGCACGTTCTGAAGAGATAGAGTAAAGGCCCCTTGCACTCGTTCTGTTTTCTTTGCTTTTTTTTGCTCTTCCTGTTCTATGTGCGTGTTGGGGATAACCTCGTATAATGGTCTGTGCGCTTATTGTTTCACGTATTTGAGCGATTTGTAGGAGATGTATTCCCCGATTTTTTTGTTTTGTTTTTATACCTGTATCGTTGGAGGGTTTGTTGTCGTGTCGGTAGAGAGTAGTGAAATGCATAACACTTCATACGTGTGTACCTTTCTGTCTGCAGGAGCCGGTGGGTAGGATATGCACAAGCAGGTGACTATGTACAGCGGACGCATGGACCCTGTGATGAGAAACCTCCGTGTCCTGCAATATTCTCAAGGTCTGCACTCCCTCGCGAGTGATGATCGCTACGTAGCAAAGTCCTAAAGCTTGATTCAAGGCCTGATCGGAAGTTCGCAAGCGCATGTAATTCTCCGCCCTTGCATTTTGACAACTGGGGCTGACCAATCCTCGCCCACGTGACATTGGTTTTCGCAGGCCCAATCGACAGCTCGCCTGTGCGTCAGGCTCAAGGCTTCCAATGGACTTCCCTCCTATGCAGTAAGCAGCGGTAAGCTCTACAAACTAACGCCCTAATACGAGACTTGACGGCAATCTTGCGATGGATGAACTCACCGAGGCACGAGCAGCGCTGGCTGCGATGGAGAATCGTGAACGAGAACTCCTCAGCGAGCTTCACAGCATCCGGGTTTCCGTTCGATCGCAAAGGTCCAGAGTCGAAGAACTCATCACACGATTGCCGATATCTCCTATTGATCGTCTTCCTAATGAATCACTTCTACGGGTACTCGAGTTTTACCTCGAGGGGGTTGCCCAGACATGTGACGTGTATATCCACGCCAAGCGGGAGTTGGCAAGCGTGTCACGTCGTTGGAGAGACCTGATTCTGCACTCTCCAAGCCTTTGGACCCTGCTCACAGTGACCTCAAGTTGGACCGAAGCACGTGCGAAAATCTATATGACTAGAAGTTCACAATCTCTCCTCGACATCGTTATCAGGTTTTGTGATTATCGTTATGATGATAACAACGGGATTTTCCCTGCACTTCTCGATATTCTGACCTCTTGCGCTCATCGCTGGCGCAGTCTCACCATCCATAAGCATACCACCGACGTTCACAGATCTCTCGTGCTGGAAAAGCTGAATCATTTATCGTTCCCTTCACTAGAACGAGTTTCAATCTGTTTGGCGTTCCCAAATGTCTGCTACCTGGAACTCACTCAATTCAATGACGTTTTGCTGGATTCTACCCCCAGTCGACTTTCTGAGCGATGCTCTCCACTGGAAGAATCTGGAGAGCCTGACTATAGACGGATTAGATGACTCTGACTTGGAGTTGCTAGATGGTTTAGACGCCTGGCTTTTGCAGCGACAAAATGCGGGTCAATCGAAGTTGCTTGTCGTGGTCACTACCTATGGGTGTAACATGCCGTCACTGTTTCACAGACTACCTGAACTTTGTTCTCTGGAGTGGTTTGATATTTGTTATGACGTTGCTATGATGCGCTGTCGAAGTGGAAGCCAGGCTTGGGTGGTACGTGCCCATTCCACTGAGTCGGCCTGGCGCAAGGCTCACATAATGTAGGAAGTATTAAATCTGCCTGCCTGCGTTGTCGATGAGCTCAGCACTACTCTCACAACGGGGCACGTTCGAGGCAGGGTCGGAAATTGTCTGTGTGGAATGCGTATATAGGCCGTGACTAGGTGACGGCTCATGTTTTCATGGTAATTGTTTTCATTGATGAGCAGTTTGCCTCCGGTGGCAATCTGAATGAGTGTTGGCGGTTATCTTGTTATCGACAGCTCTGCCATGCGCATCTCGCCCAGGTTTTACCAAAGGGCAATGCAGGCCCCCATAACAAAACATAGTGCCCCCTTTACGCACGCACGGGCCAACCAACTTCACCATAACTAACATGTAGACACACGACTTGGTAGAGGCCTTACGTGGATCCCCAACCGCTGACGAGGTCTTTCAGGACATCGTAAATGTTTTCCCTGATTTTTTCATTGAGGAATGTACGCAGTGTTAGCTCGATAGCAATCTTACTTGTTATATTTAGCATGGACACAATCAAACTTGATGCACGTGCTGTGCATGCCTGGCCTCTTCCTCCAAAATCACAATAGAAAATGCGAGCAATTCAGCCGGTGCCAGGGTCAGGCGGGACCAACTCCAAAACAATTCCAAAGAACGTCAAAATGAATCCATTGCTGGCACTCGTTAGGGAGTTCACTGGAAGACTATTCCATGCGACCAATAAAGTAAAGGTCCCTTGCACTCGTTCCGTTTTCTTTGCTTTTTTGCTTTTCCTGTTCTATGTATGTGCTAGGGATAACCTCGTGTAATGGTCTGTGCGTTTATTGTTTCACTTATTTGAACGATTCGTAGGTGTATTCCCCGATTTTTGTTTTTATACTAGTATCGTTGGAAACTTTGTTGTCGTGTCAGTAGAGAGTAGTGAAATACATAACACCTCATACATATATACTTCACTGCCTGCAGGAGCTGGTGGGTAGGATATGCACCTGTATGTGACTATGTACAACGGATGTGTAGACTCTGTAACGGGAGACCACCGTGTCCTGCAATCTTAAGGTTTTGCACTCCCTTGTGACTTACGCATCACTATGTAGCAAAGTCCTAAGTTGTATGTAATTTGGAATTCTCCGCATGGCAACCTCAGCTGACTAATCCTCTCCCATGCGATATTGAGGCAAGCCGTCGATTGGGCCTGCGACTCGCGAGGACTAGTTGGCGCCAGCCTCATAGACAGGCTGATCACACTAGGCCCAAGGTTTCCAACGGATTTTCTTCCGTGCTATCCGACTATACAGTAAGTAGTGGCAAACTCTACGAACCAACGCTCTGATACGAGACTTGATAGCAATCCTGCGATGGATGAACTCACCGAGGCACGAGCAGCACTGGCTGCGATGGAGAATCGCGAACGAGAACTCCTCAGCGAGCTTCACAGCATCCGGGATGCCGTTCGATTGCAAAGGTCTAGAGTCGAAGAACTCATCACACGATTGCCGATATCTCCTCTTGATCGTCTTCCCAACGAGTCACTTTTGCGGGTACTCGAGTTTTACCTTGGGGAGGCCGCCCAGACATGCGACGTGTATATCCACACCAAGCGGGAGTTGGCGAGCGTGTCACGTCGTTGGAGAGACCTGATTCTGCACTCTCCAAGTCTTTGGACCTTGCTCACGGTGACTTCAAGTTGGAGCGAAGCACGTGCGAAAATATATGTGACTAGAAGTTCACAATCTCTCCTCGACATCGTTATCAGGTTTTGTGATTATCGTTATGATGATAACAACGGAATTTTCCCTGCACTCCTCGATATTCTGACCTCTTGCGCTCATCGCTGGCGCAGTCTCATCATCCACAAGCATACCCCCGAGGATTACGGGTTTCTCGTGCTGGGAAAGCTGAATCGATTATCGTTCCCTTCACTAGAACGGGTTTCAATCTCGAACTTCCCTGGCTCATTAAGGGGACAAGGGGAACTCTATCAACCTACATTCCTGCGTCCCCAAATTGCCCCTCATTTAGAACAAGTGGATCTTCATGTAAACGTTAAGACATCCGCAGCCGTCCACATCCCTTCTGGTGTTACCGACCTTTCCCTTCATTTTTATGACTGCGATCACATCCAACACTCATCACTTTTCGAGGGTCTTTCTTGCCCGGGACTGACTTCCCTTTGCATTTCTGGCCACGCTGTCGACTTCAACTCACCCCCGAATAGTATTCAGTTACCTCTACTGGAGAAATTCGTGTGCACACTCAGCTGTGCGAAGTCACTGATACATGCTCTTGTCGCTCCGCGGCTCAGACATTTTGATTATTCTCCATCTTCCTGCAACGATTCCCCGAGCACAATTTTTGCAGACCTCCACTCCAAGTTCATTAGCGTCGGTTACCTCCACCTTTCCGGCTCCACCGCACACATTTTATCAGAGGCTGTTTGCATGGCGTTCCCAAATGTCCGCGCTCTGCGGCTCACTCCATCCAATGACGTTTTGTCGGATTCTTGCCCAGCCGACTTTCTGGGTGGTGCCCTCCACTGGAAGAATCTGAAGAACCTGACTATATACCCACCGGATGGCTCTGACTTGGAGCCGCTAGATGGTTTAGCCGCCTGGCTCCTGCAGCGACTAAATGCGGGTCAATCGAAATTGCGTGTCACAGTTATTACCTCTGGGTGTGGAATGCCGTCACTGTTTCAGAAACTAACTGAACTCTGTTCTCTGGAGTGGTTTGATCTTTGTCATAACGTTACTATGATGCGCCGTCGAAGTGGAAGCAAGGATTGGGTGGTACGTACCCACTCCACTGAATCGGCCTCGCACAAGGCTCACATAATGTAGGAAGTATCAAATCTGCCTGCCTGCGTTGTCGATGAGCTCAGTACCACTCTCAGAACAGGGAACGTTCGAGGCAGGGTCAGAGGTTGTCAGTGTGGGATGTATATATAGGCCATGACTAGGCGACGGCTCGTGTGTTCATGGTAATTGTTTACATTGATGAGCAGTTTGCCTGCAGTGGCAATCTAAATGAGTGTTGGCAGTTATCTTGTTGCTGACAGCTCTACCATGCGTGTCTCGTGCAGGTTTTATTAACGGCAAATGCAGGCCCCCATACCAAAATTTGCGAAAACACAGCAGTGCCCTGTTTACACACGCACTGGCCAACCAACTTCATCATAACTAATATGGAGACGCATGACTTCGTAGAGGACTCACGTGGATCTCTGGCCGCTGAAGAGCTGTTTGGGTCATTCAGGACATGGTGATATTTTCCGTGATTTTTCCATTGAGGAATGTATGCAATGTTAATTCGATAGCAATCTTATTTGCTACAACTAGCATGGATACAACCAAACCTGGCCTCTTCCTCCAAAATCACAATGGAAAATGTGAATGTTTCAGCCCGTGCCAGGGTCAAGGCGGGACCAACTCCAAAGAACGTCAAAGTGAATCAATTGCTGGCACCAGCTGAGAGGTTCACTAGAGGACTAGTTAATACAACCGATTGCTACCTCGCACGTCACAACTGACAGCCGATGATCCCGGTTGGAGGGGTGTAAAATCCCAGAGACGTACCTTCTACCTGACCTATATCAGGATTGTTTCTCGTCCTTTCGCATGGGTGACCCAGAGTGTTGCATGCGCGCGCGATAAGACGATTGGCGAGGCTGAGCTGGCTCGGCAACGATGTTAGGTTCGGCAGGCTGGCAGTAAGCAAAGAACAAAGCAGTGATGGACTCCTGCCACGTTCGAACTGAGGTGCCAGCCAAGGGACCCGCTAACCCAACAAGAACTGCATGAGCAACAATCGCGTGATCAGCAGGTGGCGCGGTGCGGAGACTCGGGGTCGCCTGCTGACTCTGGTTCAGAAAGGAGTTTGACACATTCTGTGGAGGGAGGGTAAAGACTCCTTGTTCTCTACCTCATCCTCGTTGTCTTTGTTTCTCTTCAGATATTAAGTTGCCTGTATCATGCTGAGAAAACCTCCTACAATGGTTTGTGCACTTTTTTTTCACGTATTTGAACGATTTCTAGGAGATGCATATCCCGAACTTTCGTTCGTATATCTCTTGGGTACTCCTATCGGAAATGATTTAACGTCAGCTGGCGCATCTGAGTCACGCGTCCCTCGCTGTTATGAGGACAACTGGGATCAGATTCAGTTCATATGGAAGGACTATGTATACTAGGTACAGTGGATTCACAGGCTCTATGATTGGAGATTCCCCCTGATCTCAAAGTTACACATTTCCTTGCGAGTGATCGTCATCACTATGATGTTCTGCGGCTGACCAACTCTTTCCCACGCGATATTGGTTAATGTGTCTCGCGAGCACTAGGCTTCTCAACTGTTCGGTATGTACAGTGTCTCAATTAAGTAATGCACAGCATTAATAATCCAACAAGTGCTCATCTCGCTCGACAACAACTGAAGCAAAGACATTGATTAATAGCTCGTTAGATAGTGATAATTGCAGAGATAATGGCAGTATGCAAAAGATAGTAGGAAAAAAGGAGTGTCAATGTGCATGAGATGATTATGAAAAAAGGTACTGTGCAACTCATATTTGGATGTGGTATGTGCTCGAAAGAAGTTAATGTCACCAGTCCAATATGCATGGTATGAACAAGAAAATTCTAATACCTAGTGTGGCTGCCTTTAGCTGTGAGAAGAGCCTGAACACACTCTAGCATGCTGTCATAGAGTGCAGTAAGGTAGCTTTCTTCGATGCTCTCCCACTCCTCAACATTGGCATTCCATAAGTCTGTGACATTTGATGGCAGAGTGGTCCGAGTGTGCACATGACATTCCACATAGCGCCAAACATGTTTGATAATATTCATATCAGGGCTCTGCAGAGGCCAGTTGAGTGTGTTGAGCTTCTTGCTGCTGAACCACTGGGTGGTGAGCTTTGAAGTATGCTTCAGATCATTGTCTTGTTGAAAATAAACATTTTTCTTCTTCATTCCAAGGTCACTGAGGGTTCCCAGAAGCTCATCCTGCAGGATTTCAACATAGAGCTTCACATCCATATGACCTTCAATGCAACATATCTGGCCTGGCCTGGTGGCTGTGATGCACCCCCACACCATGATGCTGCCACCACCATGTTTCACCACCTTCCTGGTGTAGCATGCATCAAAGTCCTCCCCAGGCTTCCTCCAACACCATTCATGGCCATCTGACCCAAAACGATTGAATTTAGATTCATCTGAGAAGACAACAGCCTTCCAATTCTCTGCTGTCCAGTCAGCATGGGCCTTTGCCCACTCAAATCGCCTTTTCTTGTGAGCATTGGTCAAAAGAGGCTTTGGGTGACATACATAGGCCTTTAGGCCACATGCATGGAGCCTTCATCAGATTGTTTCAGCATTAAATCCTGGGAAAAATTTCCTCTGAAGGTCAGCAACATCATGTGCCTTCCCCTGAGCAAGAAGTCAGGCTGTGTGACAAGTGTCATTTAAAGTGAATAGACGTGGGTGACCTGATTTAGGCTTGATAGCATAGTAATCTTCAGATTTAGCATAAGAATTAAAGATGTGTTTGACAGTAGTATGATGAATTTGGAACTTTTTGGCAATGTGCTCATCTGAGGGACCAGCTGCCTTGTCTTGACAAATCCAAGCCTTCTTTGTTGGGCTGGTGTACTTTGCCATGGCCAAGAGATGGTAAAGAGGGTACCAGTAGCTTCTGGAGTGGTGTGGTGGGCAGTGAACTCAGCAATGAAAATTTGAGGCAGATTTTCATCATGCCACCCCCTATACAAAAAAGAATTGCACAGTACTTTTTTTAGTGTTCACACCACAGCACACTACAATACAATGAAAGGACAATCATTGCACCTCAGTCTTGTCAAATAGACCTTTGTCCACATGTTATGATAGTTGTATGAACATAAAGTGATGTATTACTGTTGCTATCAATGAAATGCTGGAAATGTGATGGCTGTGCATTACTTAATTGAGACACTGTAGCAGCAAGTTCTAATAATCAGTGCCCTGAGACATGATATGATGGCAATCCAGAGATGGACAGGCTCACCCAGGCACAAGCAGCCTTGGCCATACTGGAGAAATGCAAACAAGAACTCCTCAGCAAACTGTGCCACATTTGGGATGCCACTCAATTGCAAAGGTCCAAAGTCAAAGAACTCATTACACAAATGCCCATGGCACCTGTTAATCATCTTCCCACTGAATTACTTCTACAAGCATTCAAGTTTCACCTTGAGGTGGTTGCCCAGACATGTGATGTGTATTGCCACACTAAACAGGAGTTGGAGAGACATGATTCTGCACTCTCCAAGCCTTTGGACTATGATCAAGGTAACTTCAAGTTGGAGTGAAGCATGTGCAAAAGTATATGTGACTAGAAGTTCACAATCTCTCCTCAACATCATTATCAGCTTTTGTAGCAATGATGATGACAGTGAGATTTTCCCTGCACTCCTCAGTGTCCTGACCTCTTGTGCTCATCACTGGCATAGTCTCACCATCCATATGGATACAACTGAGCTTCACAGGTCTCTTGTGCTGGAAAAGCTGGATCATTTGACATTCCCTTCACTGAAATGAGTTTTGATCTTGAAGTTCCTCAACTCATTAACAGGGCAGGAGGAACTCTATCAACCTATGTTCCTGTGTCCCCAAATATCTCCTTGTCTGGAACATGTGCATATTCACATAATAGTTGACACATTCATGCCCATACACATCCCTCTTGGTGTCACCGACCTCTCCCTTCAGTTTTGTGCCTCCAATCACAGCCCATTTACATCAATTTTCAAGTCTCCTTCTTGCCAGGGACTGACTTCACTTGAAGTTTATGGCTCCTTCATCAACTTTGACCTATGCCCAAATAGTATTCAATTACCTCTACTTGAGAAATTTGTGTGTATGTGTGCTCTTTCGAAGACACTGATGCATGCTCTTGTTGTTCCATGACTCAGAAATTTTGATTATTCTCCAATTTTCCCAGGCAATTTGCTGAGTGTAATTTTTGAAGACCTCAACTCCAAGTTCAATAAGGTCAATTACCTCTGTCTTTCTGGCTTCACTGCACACCATTTATCTGAGGCAGTTTGTTTGGCATTCCTGCATGTCCACCATCTGGAAATCACTCCAACCAGTTTCATTTGATGCTTTCCTCCCCCCACAAGGTCTCCTGGCAGCAATGTTCTTCATTGGAAGAGTTTGAAAAGCCTAACCTTAAAAGGACTTGATGAATCTGACTTGAACTTTCTTGGTGATCTAGTTACCTGGCTCCAGCAATGGGTAAATGCTGGTTAATCAAAGTTGCACATGAAAGTTATATCTTTTGGGTGTATGAGTCCATTACTGTTCCAGAGGCTACCAGAACTCTGTTATCTGGAATGGTTGCATAGTTCTTATAAAGTCAACATGAGGCTCTGTGGAAGTGGTAATCAGCCTTGGGTGGTACATACTTGTTCTATTCAGTCTTCTGTGAGGCTCACCCAACATAAGAAGTATTAGATCTGCCTTCTTGCATCATCACCAAGCTCAGTACTGCTTTCATGACAGGGGACATTTGACTCCCTGACACAGAAGATTGTTGGTGTGGAGACACATAAGTTATGACTAGGCAACAGATCTGTGTTTCATTGTGACTGTTTACATAGTTGAATACTTTGCCTGTGGAGGTGGTCTAAATGAGTGTTGGCAGTTATCTTGCTACCTGCAGTTCTGTCATGCATACATACCTTGTGCTGGCTTTTCCTAAGGCACATACTGAAGGGTGCAAAGACAAAGAGGGGTAACATCAGGTTCACCTGTGTTCAGACCAACCAAATCAATTCCACCCTAACCAACATGGAGATGCACTGAACTTGACAGAGGCTGCACATATGTAGACCTCTGATCAGGACCACTGATAAGCCATTCAGTGGTGGCAAGTAATTGTAAGTGTTCTCCCTGAGCTTGCCATTGAGAAATGTACACAACAGTAATCCAATAATGGTTTTACTCTGATCTATCATTGATGCAACCACACTTGATTTTGCTGTGCATGCAGGTTGCCTCTTCCCAAAAAATTGCAATAGAAAATGCAGGCCCTCTGGCCTGTGTTCTGAGTTCCAAGTTGTATCAGGAAATGGAATCTATCCCAACAGTGACTGGTAGGCAAAATTATAGATCCATCACAGCAAAAACCATGTTCCATGCCTGCATAGTATGAATTCACCCGATGGAATATTGGGAGTGTACCACGTCTTTTATGTAAGTATTCAAAGCAAAAAGTTGAATTACTCCACCGGAATTTTTTTTTTTTTTCTTTCTTTTCTTTTTTTTTTTTTTTTTTTTTTCCATTGCAGTAGAGCGGGCCAAGGAGCTTCCATATGGCATCGGTAAATGCAATGGGAAATAATTGGCTGACTGCATCCTCCAAAGTGTGGGTATACTGACTAGTATGGATACCCTGAAGTAAGCTATATGTAGTGACTGCTGCGCCGCAGAAGAAGCAAACGCTGTTCGATCACAAATGCCTCGAGACAGGGGAGGTTTACCGTAATTTGAAGATCAGCAGAACACCGAATGGATCGCACAGCCACTATACCAAACACAATCAAACACATGTCCAGGCTGCTCGCCAATTTGTAGAGTGTTGTTGCGCTAACGCGTGGAATGTGACGAACATGACGGCTACAGTCCCATTACTTCTTCCACCAACCGCAATTCCACGTCCCCCGCCTTGGGAACACGAATGGACGCCAAAAAGATACCTGACCGGTCCACAACCCCCGCCGGTTGACGATGCACGAATACTCGAACAAGAGATGGCTACAGCCCGACAGTTAGCAGATGGAAAGGCTGTCAAGAAAACAAGACCCCGTCGGACGGTGGATTACAATGGCGGAATGGGCAGATGGGCTCTGGTAAGTCACAAGAGGTTCAGGTTGGTTTACAGCAATAAATGAAATGTCGTGTTTCACTGCAGTTGCGAAAACACCGCCCAAATCCAAGCTATGTACCGTGTATGAGACCTGCTCCACCGTACATAATAGATGTAGGGATTGTCTTCAACAGGGGTAGCTTCGTGGATACTGAATGGATGATGATATTGTTCAGCTTCTTCCTCCTGTTGCGTATCCAAATAACTCTTCGACCTCACTGTGCACCAAGTTTATCCATACGTCCACAAATAAAATACGTTGTCCAGTCAACGTCGTGACGGTCCGTGTCCGAGGTATTCTGGTTTGACAGACAGCCTGATGACCTGCCTTTTACAACCCCCTTTCCAGTGGACACCGGAAGGAAGGCGTGTATTGACCGGCTCGACAAGCGGAGAATTCACACTCTGGAATGGCTTGACGTTCAACTTTGAGACGATTCTGCAAGCCCATGATTCTGCCATTCGCGCATTCCAATTCACGCATTCCGGAGCATATTTGGCGTCGGCCGACCAGAGCGGAATTATAAAGTATTTTCAGCCCAACATGAATAACTTGAATGCGTGGCAGGGACACCGTGAAGCCATCCGTGGCCTTAGTTTCAGTCCGAACGATGGACGGTTTGCGACTGCAAGCGACGACTCTACCATCCGTATATGGTCTTTCGAGGAGAGCAGAGAAGAGCGCGTTCTCACTGGTACGAAGCTATGTCCTGCATCACAATTTCTGATGATGGAACACAAAAACAGGACATGGGTGGGATGTAAAATGTGTCGAGTGGCATCCGACCAAGGGCCTTCTTGTATCGGGAAGCAAAGACAACTTAATAAAGTTCTGGGATCCTCGCACTGGAACGATACTCTCAACACTGTAGGTTTTTTGTTGTTCAGTTTAAATTATGCAACTCACATTTTGGCTAGCCATCAGCACAAGAACACCATTCAGGCCCTTGCATGGTCTCCTAACGGTAATCTCGTCGCCAGCGCGTCTCGTGACCAAACTGTGCGCGTCTTTGATATTCGTGCTATGAAAGAACTTCGGGTCCTTAAAGGCCATAAAAAAGAAGTGTGTTGTACGTGTAGTTCATTTCTTCGTCAACGCCCTAGTTAATTTCATACACTCCCGGCTATATACAGCTGTCACTTGGCATCCCATTCATCCAATCCTCGTGTCTGGTGGTTCAGAGGGCGCCGTTCTGCACTGGGACCTCTCAGGCCCTGAGCCATCCTCCTCAAGCACATCTCCTTTCTCATTCACAACACACGGACCGCGTGCGACGCTCTCACAGGCACACGATTCCAACGTGTGGTGTCTCACCTTCCATCCACTCGGTCACATCCTCGTAACGGCCTCCAACGACCACACGACACGATTCTGGTCGAGGGAACGCCCGGGAGATGCCACGTCAGTGTTCTCGGGTGGTGGTGAGAAGCCCCCTGAAGTGGTGGATATGAGTGGACAGGAAGAAGACGAAGAGGTCATGGTGCCTGGATTCAGCTATGGTGGCGGCACCGGTGCCAGTGGGCTTGGGAACGGTTTCGCTGCCGCTGGAGGTAGTGGGACGGCGAAATGGTGGGGCAACGACACAGATGGAGTGGGATATTCGACTACGAATGGTAACCCACCGTTTGGACCCTCGTCAGATGCCCGTGTGCCGTTTTCGGGTGACGACGGCATGAACTCGGATGATTTTATACCTGGGCTTGGAGCAGCCGAACACCTTAATGCAGCATCTCCCAGCGTGCCAAGTCCTACAGGTGTGGCGAGGCCAGGTGGGGCATTTCCGGCTCAGGAGGATACGTGGTCAGGAGCAGGGGGAAGTGGTCGGGGTGATGATTCATGGAGCGGAAGGAGAGGGGGGTATTATGGAGGACGTGGGGGCCCTCGCAGGGGAGGCAGGCATTAACAGTAGACAAATGTATCCATATCGTCGCAGTTTGCGGGTGGGATTTCGAACTTGTACTTGCAAATATCCCACAATTTGCAATGGTCGCCCCAAGGGGTTGAAAGCCATGATGATAAAGAAAACTGGTCCTAGATGTACATCCTGCAAGATGGATAACTAATATCGATACGAGACTAGACAATGAGACCAGAGGAAAGGACGTGTAATAGAAAAAAAATAGAAAGAGCAAAGAAGCGTGAGGATGCGGATCGGTATGCATGCACTATATAACGTGTGGAGTGCGTGAAATCGGGATCATATCATCAGGGTAGGTGGGCCCTGAAGGCATTACGTCCCATGGGAACGCTGGGAGCGGGAGTGGGTGGTTTAGTGTCGGGTAAATGATGACATGGAAGAAAATGAGGAAAATGAGTCTATTCGGTCTTCGTCGCCATGACCAAAATGCAGGGCGACTCAAGAATCATGCCTATCCCGCAATGGATGTCATCGACGGGCCAGTTGGAGTCACGGTTCCGCTTGGTTGGGTAGGGCTAAAGGTTGCCAAGTCCCGGATATGAGGAGAAAACGTATGGCCAGGGGGTGACTGCGAGAGTACATATTGTTCGAAGGTTATCGTAGGGGAAGTGCGTGGATATATACTGGTCGAGTCTTCGAGTAGCGAGTCTGTCCCGGTGTAGAAACAGTACCTATACAAAAAAAACATTGGTGTCGACATAAAGGGATGATCAACAAAAACATACTGGTTAACGAATTGCTTGTAGGCATCATCCGGCGATGCACCTGAGCCATCTTCATGGGTAGTGCCCGGCCCAGCAGGCGGGTTCGTCGGCGAGACCTCGGCAGACCCTGTCTCCTCATCTTCCTGCGTGTCCTGAGAACCCGCATGATCCATGGACAGTAAATTCTCCGCAGACGAATACGAATGCAGCCGCGGAAGACCTTGGTTCAGCCCATTCAAGGGCTTAGTATGGGGAGACGAGCCAGCCGGGGTCTTCTTTACAGTCGGGGAACTGGGCATAGCGTGGTCCACATACCCTCGCATATGATTCCTTTTACGTCCGTCTGGGCGGTGGGGTCGACCAAACGGATTAGTACCAGAAGCCGAATGGCCAGTCTCGATGGTATCAGCCACATGAGGTAACGAAGGGGTCTCTTTACACATGACCAGAGGCGACGACGAGGGTGTGGACGGAGGTTGCGCTTCCGAGGAGTCCGAAGATTCCTCTTGCTTATTTTCGCCATCAATCACGCTTCTCCCCATTGGGCTGGGGTCATGGGGAGGGGGGGATCCCGCAGCGGGGTATGTATGGTTTCTTGTATGGCGAAGTGTGGGGCGCAACTTCCACTTAGTCGCCGAACCAAAATCGTATCGTTGCGACAGCGACTTTAGCGAGGGTAACGGTGGAGAGGTGGGACTGGCGCCGAAAGACGCTTGTGTCCGTGAAGCTGACGCAGCACTGGGTGCTGCCTTCGTTCTTGCGACTTCCTCGAGGCGCATTTTTAAGTCCTTCATCGACACGTCGCTTGCATTACCCGCAACTCCACTCTGCCGGTCAGATAGCGGGACTGGATTAGCAACGAACTTGACATGATAGTTCCGACCCCAGTTGTTATCCCAAAACTCTTTACCCCCGGTCACATACCGCAACGCCATAAACAGGGACTTTTCTTCGATCCGATTCCATATGTCGTGTAGGCGAATAAAAAATGTGAAGATATCAAACGCGCCATCTTCAACCGATTTCTCGTAACGCGCAGCCACCTCGCTCGTCGTCTGCCACCAATCCATTGTGAATCGCGCGGCCAGCCACTTCTCGTAGGCAATATTGCGGACCCGTACTCTGCCAAGAAGAGTCCGCTGATCTTCCAAAAGAGTAAGCTCTTGCAGCGCCACATCGTCGGTTTTCCTTGGCGTAGGAGGCATATTACGAATACTCATCTGAACCTGTTTCTGTGCCTTGGGAGGATCGCCATAGATAAAAGATGGAAAGTCGTCCGTGCCACTAGTATCGCTATTCGGGCTACCATCCCGCGAAACTGCCAGGGGCTTCTGCTCCGCTAAGAACAACTTGATGTGTTCTAGTTTAGAGTCGAAGTGCACAGCTTTTGTCGCTGTCGGAGTCGCTGGTGCACTCTTAGCGGAGGCACCACCTGTCACCACGGAGAGCTGCGGGCGTCGTTTAAGCGACGGCTTTACTAGCTCACCAGATTTTTTGCGTATGGTACGGGTTTCTGACGGGGAGATAGAGGGAGGAGTCGCTGCAAGCGCGTTCGCCTTCACCGGCTCGGAAGCGTGACGAATATGCTTTGGAGCCGGCTGGTCCAAGGCACACTTCTCCACGCTGATCCGTAAGGATGTGTCATCATCAGAAACATCACGTGACGGGCTGTCGGGACCGTTGTCCTTCACCCTGATGCTTGTCGTCTCCGTAGAAACTTGCGCGTGCGCACGTCGAGAGAGAGAATGTTTCGAGAATGGAATGATAGTGGGATACATTCCATCAGAAGATGTGGACGACGAACTCGAATCCGACTCATAGCAAGGAGGTAACGGGGGATTCGTAGAGGGATTCGCGGAGGTCAAACAGCTAGGTTCTCGCATCCGCGAAAGGTGCGAATCAGAATAAGAATGGCCATGACCGTTGGGAGAAGACCGCGGTCGACGGGGTATGTGAGGAAGGGGCCGACCTGCTGTGTTAGACGAGAGTGCGTAGGCGAACCCCTTGGAGGGAAATGGTATAGCGGACGTGTCCGTCAAACAGACTGTTGAACTCATCCTTCTCTCGCAATCAGCACTCGGTTGGAACCTGGTGAGTGGGATGCGTGACTAATATACTGTCAACGAATTGTAAGTTGATTGGAAACCGGAATCTTCAGCACCAAAAATTACAGACCTGATCGATCCACCTGGTTTAAAGCAAGGTGGAAAGGGACATAGACAGAGGTAAAAAGTATGTACTTTTCAACGGAGGATACTATTAAAAAAGCCTGACGTCAGAAATTAGTAAGTGGCTGGCACGTGTAGAATACTAGAGAGATTGTGCGCTCACCGGACGGAGGAAAGATGATGAGGGACAATTAAGATGAGCCAACGCAGGGAATATGATGCCAATGTCAGACAGTCAACCCAGGTAAACAAGTGCGTGAGATGGTCAGAAGAGCGGTCGCCGATGCCTGAGAGTCGTGAAGAGCCGTCCAGATAAAGAGCGTGGTTGGTCGTGCCGCGCTCGCTGACGGGGTGGAGTGAGGGCGAGCGACTTGGACAGTGGTCGTCGTCGTCAAAAGACGGTTGTCTTTTCTTTTTTTCTACGGGGGATGGAGCGGTTTTGAAATTCAGCCCGATCGACCTTTGCAATCAAATCTCGCCGCCACACGTGCGTCCCGGTTTATTATTTATGGCAGGGGCCGTCACGAACTTAGGGTTACGATACATTTTATGTGGTTTCTTATCATTTCTTAGGATAAGCTATCATTCGCGACTCGGCGCCTGGTTTACATCGAACTCAGCAACTATCAAAATGATAACGATAGTACCAACCTATCGAGGCTGCGGACGCGGCGAGGCATTTGAAAATAACCATTACAGGAAAGCAAACCACAAAAGACTCCACTCCAGCTCCAGTCTGGGCCTTTTGGTATCGGAGTTGCTCTGGATGTGGTCGAGCCTGGAAAGGTTTGGCAGTGCTATCGTGGTGATTGACACCGCTATGTCTTCTGGAATATCGGTCCACAGATGAGCCTGCAGCGCATGCATATGATGTCCCTGGATCCAGATCGAGGACGAGCTGAGACCTGCCCAGCAACACATGCCATCGTTTCCCAGCATCCGAATCCTTCTGTCAAGCCAATTTGCTTTGTCGGCGCCAATTTGGTTGACAGGAATAATCTCAGGATCTGGTTATTTGTTGTCTTCGCCATGTTAGCCACTAAAATGTTTGCCGCTGCATAGCTTGTTTGTCTTTACCTGTCTTTACCTTGTCGAACGGTATTCCATCAGGTCACACGTGTGATCGATAAGGCCTTCGCGCTTACGAGGTTTCCTCATCTTCTTGGAATGAACTTCTGAACTTACCTATGTGGTCGGCAACTTACGCCAACACGGGCTGCGGCAAGTGTTGCCGGGAAGATTTCAATGTCACATCAGCTGTGTAGCGCACCGATCATCCGATGGCGGCGCGCAGATTGCGCACTCCTAAGTACACACCTGTACACACACGCACTGCCAGGCCTTGTGTGTCCACCGCAACATGTCATCCTGGCATGTCAGAGGACTCTCAGGACGGCTGACACTTCTTACAGGGTGGATGTATGTATATTACGACCGGAGTTCGTAGGCGTTAAGTAGGCGACCTTCGATGAGTCTGGGATCTCCGACTCGGTAGTCGCTCTTCCGTTTCGTGTTCTTCCCTCCCATCAATTCCCCCTCGCAGTCGTTGTGTACGTCCTCAGCTTCTATCGTCCTGCACCCCTTTCTAATAGTGGGCGCGCTTTTCATCCGCCATATTGGCCTGAGAATCTTACGCCATCTAGCGCATTCCGGTCCGACTGTTTTGCCCTGTCTCGGTGCACTCCGAAATGTACCGCCGCACCCTTCGCACTCGTTGCGCACCCCTAAATACCACTACCATGTACTACCCTCCTTCCATTCGGTCCTAAAATTTTGCGTCTACGGTTCCGGTTCCGCACTCCCGCCCCTGCCCTGTGGCCTGGTATGTACACTTCCGCGGCTCTTTCACATGTTCCTCTGCATTACGACCTACTACACGAGAAGGGTTTGTATCCGCGTCCTGCGCCGTATGTTTGTGTGGGCTGGCGCGGTGGGAAATGATTTGATGCCGCTGTGATTTAATCTACGCCTCTTCACCCTTGAGAATGGCCGACTTAACTCCTCATAACTCCAGTGGTGCTATAGTGACCGCGCAAGTTTTAAGAATGACGCCTCCTGTCACATTTACCTTACGGTGTACATACATACCTACATACGACGTCAGTGTGTTAACGTCAAAAAATAAATACATCCAACTTATTGACAAATGGGCGTTGTAACCCAATAATACCAATACCAGGCACCGACCTTTTGGATGTGATCATCATATGAAACATGACCCGCTATCCTGGTCCCGGAGGCTGATTCAATATCAATGGGACCACCGCTGAGAAAATGGAACCATGATATGTTTTTACCACTCATAATACCGTCATCTTACAGACTGGGACCATCGTTTATTAGTAAGAATGATCGGGCGAAGGCTCTTATCTGCATGCTGCTCAATTGCTTGAAGCTAAAGCTAATAGAAGTGAGTAATTCTACTGTAATTCCCTGTATAATTCCGCAGGGGTTTGGGATATCGCTTGTTAGTTTTTTCCCCCCTTGATAACGGCTATCGTAGGCGTTTCCCGCTTGCCATGATTAAAGCCCATTTTCCAAAGCTGTTCCTTGGCTTCCTTCCACCGATTATGACCGACAGGTACAATTCTGCATTCTTCTCTGCTCATTATACACATAATGGTTCGTAGTGATTCCGACCACGGTGGTGGATATCCGGAGATCATGGAGTTCTTCAGGCCGTATCAAGCCGAGCGTGTTAGCCTTAGGAACTCCGGGCCAATCGATATCCTTTTCTGGGAGACCAGACATCCAGCCACGTTGAGCCATATGTCCGGGTTAACCAAGCGTGTCTGCAACGGACTCTGCCGTCATTGTTCTGTGATACCAGGTATTTACTATAAGAAACTCATAGATGAGGGTACCCCCTCAAATAATACCCTGACGTTGTTGCATGCGATCGCGACAGATGGTTCCACTTTGTGGGAAAATGCGCCATGTTCCAATGATGCTTGCACAATCGATCTTACCCATAGAGGTAAGAGAACGGCATACCTAAGAATTCTAGACAGATAACAGGGAGGGGATCGCGAATTGAAAACCCCGACTTCGTCCACGAGGACATCTGCTAGAAACTGCTTTTGGTAAGGGAGCCGCGCCCACACATTGCAAGTCAAACAGATGGCGCAGCCACGCAAACATTGGTTTGGGACCGCATGGAGCCCTCTGTCCACGAGACCTCAACACAGGATCACCAAGGCATCCGATCGTGATGCCATCATTACCCCCGTGAACCCCCCTACTGCGTCTATGCCAACATTGGGGGACTTGAAGAAAAACGGGTAAGCTGTATTCTGTAATCAGTCAGTCGTCAGTGCCCCCACCCCAATCGTCTTATTTGAACAGTCCATGCTCTCCTCGCAGATTTACCTCGGCGCCCCGAGTGTTGGCTCACGAGGACATTCCTCCTTTGGTCTCCCAGCCTGACAGATTTGCCATGTCGTGGGTGGAACGGTTTTTGCTCCACAATACAATTAAAAACCCGCTCGATCGATTCACCGTTTCCAATAATGCCAGATAAGTGAATCCTACTCTGGAGTCGAGGTTGAACTTACTCGTGCTCAGTCTCGACCTGTGTCCTGATCTTCGTGATGTTTACGAACCAAAGCAATATTATTTCTCATAGTTTCTTTCAGAGTGGGTGATACTCTACTGCGATTCAAGTAAGTGGCAGGTCGAAGTTTGTGGCGTTCAGCGAATTAACGGTAGGTAGACTGAGTATAGGGGTAACTTCGTCGATGATGGCCTTCGCGACCCGTCTCAGCTACTTGACATACCCCCAGAGATGATTAAACTACGAGGTATTCAGTGTCCCCATGTTTGACACCCAAGTTTACCCACGTAAGCTTCTGGGCCGTCGATGACTGTCCTGTGTTCTACCATTTGAGGCTAGGCGCAGGCCTCTCATCTGTGACAGTTTGATAAAAGAAGACCATTCATACTAGGGTTATCGATTCTATTCTGCAATAGAATCTTCATTATTACTCCACCTTAATGCGGTCGGACGTACGCCCTCTGCCAAAGCGACTCGTCCTACTCTTCGTTGCTGACGTCCACAGGCCAAGCATGAACTTGATACCATGAAGGGCCGCATGTCATTTACCCAAGTCCCTGCTTCGATCATCGTAACGCAAACCCGGCGACGCCGGAAGAACTCAGTGGGCGCACACTTGGAGTGCCTGTCAACCGGTGGTATTACACCATAGTAATGAACCTCGTTGTGACGGCATGCTACAGGACAAACAAGCTGGACACTGCGGATTCGGCGATGAAGTTCAATGTATTGTGTGAGGAATCCTTGCACTCGTCACGGCGGATGCCGTGTAAGTCATTTCCCCTGGTTTTGGCGGTGCAACCGAATCTGCATCTTGCTCCGTGAGTAATGAGATGGACACTAGCATTTGCTCAAATGTATGGTGCGACTGTTGGAATAACGAAACTCGGCAGGATAGCCAGTCGATGTGTCTGATCCCACGATGATTCCAAGTTGGTCGTTTGTACCACATTTGACCTATGTATCGTGACAAGGTCGGTCACTCGAGCAGAGCACCCTGACATAGGCAGAAGTACCGCGGTGAGTCAGGTTAGTGTAGAAAATTTCTCGCAGGATACAGTCCCTGCAACTGGTGTCATTACGTGACATTTATGGCAAACTGCAGATCACGATCAGTACTAGTGGTGGCTGTGGAGTCATGCTAGTTTTGAGAGGAAAATACATGGGAATGATAAACAGGTTCGCATACAGGGTACCAAGCATCGGCTCGTTACCGTACGCGGGGTACTGGAAGGGTTGCAGCGGAGGATCGTCACCTCCGTCAGCTGGACAAGTGATCGAAGTCACGATCTTCCTTGGGGTCTCCATCAGCTGTCCCAGCTCAACCGCCCCCCGACATATCACGTGACATCATGTGACATGTCGGGGGGCGGTTGAGCAAGGGAAGCTATGTGTGGGCTGCGCCTCATTCTTTTCTGGTGTCGAGCATGAGGTTTAGATGGTCACGTCTGGACACCGTGTCACGACAAAGTATGTATTGTTGCGACCTTGGACGAGCCAACGAAGCGGGTCGTCCGCAAGGGGGATAATATGAAGGTTAGTACCTAGACGGATACGGACGAGCTGGTTTGCACATAGGGTATTGAAGTACACAAAATTGTAAAATATGACTTCTGCGGCAGGAGAAATGAAGGGACGCCTTTGGATAAGCTGCGGACTCTTCAGCGATAACCACAATGCTATTAGCGGCGGGAATGGCAAAGAAGGACCGAAGCTCAGTATTAGAGGTCCGGAATGAACTCGTAATCTCAATTGGAAATACCTTGAAGAGAAAGAAAGTTATGAAGAAAATTTTCCGTTGTGATCTCATACGGGAATCTGCCACAGGTGCCTACCGGATATGATTTCTCCGTGGGTGTGGTGATGTGGGTGGTTGAACGTTGAACTTCGGCTCGTCGAGAAAAGGCACGTATCACATTGCCTGACGATATGCACGTCCGCAGGACACTGGTCCGACTACAGCCCTACATCATATCCTTCGTGCTCTGCCACTCGCGTGTGCGTTACTGGCAGCATGGTGCATCAAGATAAGTCGATCGGGCGCCGAGGGTATAGAGGTCGATTCGAAGAGTTCCGCGGACAAGCTGGGTCGGATACTCAAATTCAGATCGGGGAGGGTGTCGGAGGCACCTCCGCCATGGCCATAAGAGCGTTGGGCAGTAATATAATGCCAATACCATTCACCGGTGAGATGATCAATGCACGCATAAAGACCGAGGGATTGATATCAGAAGCAGGTAGGTAAGCCAGAAGTATGGGAATAGAGACCTGTTCCTGCACAGGGAAAAGGAGATGGTTGATTGGAGCAAGGCAAGGAAAAATGCAGAAGGAACTTATGTCGGTTCGCTCGAGGTAACCCACCACCCATACGTAGCTTTTCCGTTGTAAGACCCAGCTGCGATCTACCTTGGGATTCTTCGAACGCGTGCTTGAAGAATCGAAAATGAAGTGTATGGTTTTCAGGTTGAAGTAGAGAAACGCGTCTACGGGAAATGGACTGAAGTAGATGTGAGGATTCAGGCTCAACAGTCAACATCCTGCAGAAGCACGCAACAATGGTAGGTAGAGATGGATTTAGATTAGATGTAGACAACGTGGTAAGAATCGTACCTGCCGCAATCCCCAGCTCAAGCCCTGCCAACGTCGTCCAGATTCGGGCATCATCACCATGGCATGTTCAACCTATTGAGGCATCGGATACTAGTTGCCTGCCTCAGCGACCTGTAGCGATGTGGCATTTTCGACTGGCAGTGTTGTCCTGCCTGACATTGAGGCGAAGTCGAGCCGTGGAAGCTATGCTTCAAGTTCGGTCACCGTTACTTTCTCTCGCAGAGAAAATCGAATCTTTTTCTTCCGGGCTCCCAACATGGCCATTATCACCCTCCGCTTGTGCCGCTCAGCCGCTTATGTACGTCCACAGACACAGCTACGTGGAGGCGTGTAATTCCGCGCGAGGGATGATCATTGTCATAATTTTTGGGACACCACTTGTTGGCATTTTTGTTCGATAACAGCTATCGTAGGTGTTTTCCGTTCGCCATGAAGGTTCGTTTCCCAAAGCCATTTCATAGCTTTTTCCACCAACTATGGCTGACAAGTACAATTCTGCACCCTTCGGTCGTCGAATAAAATGGATCATAGTGATACCGTGCGGTCCTGGGGTACCCCGAAGGGCGTATCATTATTGGTGTCTGTGGAGCTCTTCTAGGTCTTATCAAACCTTCACCACTCCGGAAGGCCAGTCTACATGTATCCTTTTCTGGGAGACCAGGCGTTGAGCCTTGTGTCCGGCGAGCCTGTGACGAATTCTCCCGCAAAGCCACACAAAGTGACAAATGTCATAGTTCGGTGATACCAGGGAGTTATGAGCGTATGCCCTCAAATAACGCTCCAAACCCTACCTGCTATCGTGATAGTTGACTCCGCTTTGCGGGGATTTGCGCAATGTGTCAACGATAGTGGAGTCGTGGACGTGGCTCCCTTACCAAAAGCAGTTTCTAGGACGTCCTCGTGAATGGAATTGGGAGTTTTCAATTTGCGATGCCCCTTCCTTATGTCATTCTCCTACCTCCAGGGGTAAAGCTGATCATCGCAAATCAAACAAATGGTACAGGGGCACAAATATTGATGAGACCACATGAAACCCTCTGTCCACGAGATCTCAACACAGACACAGACACAAGCAACTAATCGTGATGCCATCATTGCCCCGTGCACGTTCACCCTAACATTGGGGGACTTGAAGAAAAATGGGTAAGTCGGATGCTGTAATTTACACGCCTGGCATGCCACTATTGCACAGGTGTCTTATTCGAACAATGTCTGTTCTCTTCGCAGATTTACTTGGATGCCGCAAGTGTTGGCTGACGAAGTCATTTCTCCTCTGGTCTCCCAGCCTTATGGGTATTTGCTTGTCGCGGGTAGAACGATTTTTCGCTCCCTACTACCACACAATTCATAAGAACCGGTCGATTGTTCCTGATGACGCTAGTAAGCGAATCTCACCGTGAAACCGAAATGGGACTTACTCATGCTCAATCTCGCCCGATGGAACCTAGCCTATGCATCAAGGCAATATTATTCCCCAGCGTCTTCGCAGAGAAGACAATCTCTTATCGTGATTTAAGTAACTGCTTCGGCAAAGTTTCCGAAGCTCTTCGAATGAACTGCAAGGTTAGGCCGAGACCGGCCTTTACTTCATTAATGATGCCCTTCGCGTCGGTTCCAGGTACTCTCGCCACCAGCGTCCCTATTGTGACACCCAAGTCTGCTCACGTACACTTCTGGGGCGTCGGTGATTGAGCAATATTCCACGGTGTCGGGCCAGGTCCAGGCCCTCATTTGCCTCGTCTATCTTATATGTGACTTACGGTAATGTGCCAGTCATATCTATGTGGGTCACGTCGTCCATTTCTACGGTTGTTCCCAATCGTTTTCCGATAGTTTGGCTATGTGATGCCGTGAAGGTGCGTTGCCAATTTGTCCTTAATGGATTGGCATACCACGCCGTTGTGGGAAGTTCCATGGTACCTTCCAAAAAGGAAGAACACATCATGCCAGGGGTTCGGCCCTATGAGTTACTATTACTCCTGTCTCAACGGACCAGGATTTTCTGTCGAAGTGATTTGTTCTTGCGATAACATGTGGAATGTGATAGCAGAGGACATCAGTGCAATTAGCAGAGTAAAATGATGATTGGAAAAATATGGGGGATGAACTAATATGTGGCATTGCAGCAGCAGATACATATATACAACATCAAAATACAATTTAAGACACCATTCATTCAATGGAAGGGAAACATTTGCCCCACTCCTTGCCATGGACCATCTGACTCAAGTCCAACTCTGTGCAACAACCTCTAGGAATGACTGCTATGGTCCACATTGAGTAAAATGGACTCCGAAGTCTTAGGGGGATCCAAAGTAGCAGTTGTCCTTTTGGGCCTCTGATCCAGCCATCATCATGTAACTTGACTGCTTGGCCCAGCACAGCCTCCTGGTGCATGAACCCATCAACAAGTGGATTACTGTTATGCAGTGCATGTGAGGGGTCAAATGAAAAGCAAATGGGGTATCTCTTGACATCTGCATTTCTTATTAAGTGAAATAAGGATAGATAAAAGGTGGAGTTACATACCATGTGCAGGAGGGGATGGATGAAGCATGCTAGAGGGGTGGGATGCAACCAGTGTCAACTTGTCATTCTCCCAGACCCTCACAGTCCTGTCCCATGAGCCTGAGATAATCCTCTTCCCATCGGAGGAGAGTGCAACTGAATAGACCAAAGAAGTATGGCCCTCAAGAGGGCTGCTAATCTGCACACCTCTTTCAACATCCCACACCCTCACAGTCCTGTCCTTTGAGCCTGAGACAATCCTCTTCCCATCAGGGGAGAATGCAACTGAAATGACTCCATCTGTATGGCCCATAAGAAGGTGGCCAATCTGCACATCTCCCTCAACATCCCACACCCTCATGGTGTTGTCCCAGGAGCCTGAGACAATCCTCTTCCCATCATGGGAGAATGCAACTGAACTGACACCATCTATATGGCCCACAAGAGGGTGGCCAATCCGCACACCTCCCTCAACATCCCACATCCTCACCTGCTTGTCCAAGGAGCCTGAGACAATCCTCTTCCCATCAGGGGAGAATGCAACTGAAAAGACTCCATCTGTATGCCCCTCAAGAGGACTGCCAATCTGCACACCTCCCTCAACATCCCAGACCCTCACAGTGTTGTCCCCTGACCCTGAGACAATCCACTTCCCATCAGGGGAGAATGCCACTGAACTGACTCCATCTGTATGACCCTTAAGAGGACTGCCAATCTGCACACCTCTCTCAACATCCCACACCCTCACAGTGTTGTCCCAAGAGCCTGAGACAATCCACTTCCCATCAGGGGAGAATGCCACTGAACTGACTCCATCTGTATGGCCCTTAAGAGGACTGCCAATCTGCACACCTCCCTCAATATCCCACACCCTCACAGTCTTGTCCATAGAGCCTGAGACAATCCTCTTCCCATCAGGGGAGAATGCAACTGAATAGATCAAAGAAGTATGGCCCTCAAGAGGGCTGCCAATCTGCACACCTCCCTCAACATCCCACACCCTCACAGTCTTGTCCCATGAGCCTGAGAAAATCCTCTTCCCATCAGGGGAGAATGCAACTGAAGTGACATCATCTGTATGGCCCTTAAGAGGGCTGCCAATCTGCACACCTCCCTTGACATCCCACACCCTCACAGCCCTGTCCTTTGAGCCTGAGACAATCCTCTTCCCATCAGGGGAGAATGCAACTGAAGTGACTTCAAGAGTATGGCCCTCAAGATGGCTGCCAATCTGCACACCTCCCTCAACATCCCACACCCTCATAGTCCTGTCCTTTGAGCCTGAGACAATCCTCTTCCCATCAGGGGAGAATGCAACTGAAGTGACACCATCTGTATGGCACTCAAGAGGACTGCCAATCTGCACACCTCCCTCAACATCCCACACCCTCACAGTCTTGTCCAAAGAGCCTGAGACAATCCCCTTCCCATCAGGGGAGAATGCAACTGATCGGACTATATCTGTATGGCCCTCAAGAGGGCTGCCAATCTGCACACCTCCCTCAACATCCCAGACCCTTGCAGTGTTGTCCCTTGACCCTGAGACAATCCTCTTCCCATCAGGGGAGAATGCAACTGAAAAGATTGCATCTGTATGGCCCTCAAGAGGGCTGTTATTCTGCACACCTCCCTCAACATCCCACACCCTCACAGTCTTGTCCACAGAGCCTGAGACAATCCTCTTCCCATCAGGGGAGAATGCAACTGAAAAGACTGCATCTGTATGGCCCTCAAGAGGGCTGCCAATCTGCACACCTCCCTCAACATCCCACACCCTCACAGTCTTGTCCCATGAGCCTGAGACACTCCTCTTCCCATCAGGGGAGAATGCTACTGATTGGACCCCAGCAGTATGGCCATGCAGTAGCTGCTGTTCAACTGGCCACCCTTTCAACCCTCCTACAGCAACTCCAGCCAGACCTGAGAATTTTGGCAAAAGCATTGTTGATAACAATGCGTTTGGAGGCATAAATGGCAATGCTGAGATATAAATGTGTGGGGTGCTGTGCAATATCACATTGCCAAAGTTCTGAACCAACTTGATTCCATCTTCCACCAATGCCAATGTATCCTTGAAGCCATCTTGGCCCTTCATTGTTGTGTTAGATATCATCAAATACTGCACATGAAGTACTCACATGTAGCCATTTTGCAACAGTGGCAAGAGCATTCAAACCCTTTCCAACTACCCCCAGCAAGCTTATTATCTCCAGCCAAAACATAATTTTTTCACTTCCAACAAAAGCCTTCACTCGCAATGCAAGTTCCAAGTCAAATCCTGTATTCTGCAGATGCTGTGCCCAGAATCGACTGGAGTAGGAGAGGTGGTGTGGAATCTTCTCCTCAATTCTCTTCGACAGATCATCAACTTCAGCATTGGCAAGATAAGAGCTTTCCAATTCACAGATGTTGAATCGAAGATTGTCATGAAGAATCTGCAATGCAGCAAATGCTAGGTCTTTTGTATGTTGTGTGTCGGAGGTGTCGATGAAGTAGATACCACTCCGTGAACGATCCATCAGGAAGTCATAGAAGGATGCATGAAGGGGCCGCACAGCAGAGACGCGGTCCACAATGCCACCCAGCACAGGAGACATGAATTCGAGGATGAGAAAGATGTCATAGTGGTCCTCCTTATTTGGGAATTTTTCACGCATCAAATTTAAGGCTGCCATAGGAAGAGGTTCAAGCGTCATCACGACTTGCCGTATCACGGAGTGATATCGTTCCAGGCCTCTCCCAGAATCAGGTATGCCCCACTTCAGGATTTCAAAGTAAGTCGTGTCCAGAAGTGTTCTTCCTCCTTTTGACTCGAGAGCCATCAGATCGTCATAGCGTTCTTTCGAAGTTTCCCCAGCTTTACCTGACCTGATGAACTCGCAAGCCAGACGAGCCCACTCGAATAGACCATCGGATTTTTTGACGACATTCTGGACTTCTGTTGCTCCAACGCTGGGAAGATGGTCAAGTTCCTTGGAAACATATAGCCGGATGTCACGTTCCACCAACTCCCGACGGACGTCGTCCAGTGAGGTGGCCTTCACGTGTGAAACATGCCTCATGACACGTTCAATGTCCGGTAATGGTCTGGACGTCAAAAGGATCCGGAAATTGGCTGGCAGATGCGCAGCTTCTGATGATTTCAGAAGGTTCAAGATTTCCCTCCTTGATGTCTCCGGCCCACTTTCATCCAAGGCATCGATTACCATGACCACATTCCCAACTATCTCTCCATTAATCTTCGACAGCGGCTCCAAGATGAATCGTTTCCACTGTTGTAGCACATCGCATGTGGTCTTGAGAGAGTGGTTATTTGACACCACGTTCGACAATGCTCGTCGAAATGCAGGATCACGATCCGCCAGATCACGGGCGATAGTAGTCAGAATCTTTTCCTCTCGTCGTTCGGCCTGCCTGTCACGAGCGAAGCAAAAACAGGTGCCAGTCGCTTTCACATCCTCGATCCACGATGCGATTGTATGGGCAATGGCAGACTTTCCTCTTCCGGGCTGCCCATGGAGCCACAAGATACGAGGTGCATTGACGTCACTTGTGGTGATCCAGTCGATGATATCCTTCAAAATTTCTGTCCTGGTACCGTCGAGGCATTTCTTGGTCGTATTCAGGCCTGCACCAGCTGCGTAAGCCATGCCTTCGAAGTTCAGATCTTCAAGCACGTGGGATATGTTGACCTGGATGTCCCGTATCGCGCGATCTCGATATTGTTGCATCAGGTCGCTCAGATTCTTGACGTGGCCACGGGCGACGGTCTGCGGGTCGGAAACAAGGCTATCCCCGATTCTTATCACTGACGATGTATCACATCAGCACACTGAAGCAGATCAGAGGACCATAACCATACGACCTACAAATGTTCTTCTTTTTGCAATATTTTACAACGAACAGCGCTGCGGCACTCATCTCCTGTGAAATCCTCCGTAACGTCTCTTTCATGCTATCCATATTTTTGATGGTATCCTTTTCCATAAGAAATTCGTAGAGATCCTTTACGGTATTGAGGAGGCCGAACACCTCGTTGTCTAGGTTTGCTTGGTTGATGAGCAACTAATAAGGACTACATGAGCGAGGGATCCATGAGAAGAAAGGGGAAAGTACTTGAGAAGCAGCGGTGAGAATCCCCAGTGCAAACTGGACATAAGGGTGGACCTGTGCACTTACATCAGAGCATGCGGGCGACGGGAAGGTTAAAGCGCCTACATTCGATAGAGTGGTAGCAAGGGAGTTGAACAATTTGAGAGGCTGGAGAATCGCCTCGATACTTTGAATATTCGTCACCGCAGTATCGGCCTGCCCGACAAGACCAACAGCGGTTTGCAATACTTGGGGGATGGGTTTCATGTCAACCATTGCCTGATGTGCAACATTGACTTGACTGCCAATGTTGTCGGTTGTCTCTGTAGTGGGAGGCTCTGATCGAGTCTGGTTCGACCGATGGAAGAGGTGTCCCATCCTGGAGAACAGATTTCGAGGGGTATTCGCCGATGGTCCAGCCATCGAGGAGACGTCGGCAGAGGGATGAGACGCTCCCTGTGACTGTTGAAACAGAGATCAATACATACCATCGCGTGCAAGGTATAAGGCGCATACCGAGGGAAGGTCGGTTGCGGCCGAGCTGGGTCTTTCGGAGCTAAACAAACGATGTTTCTTCAACTGCTTGCGAGCCATTGAGAAAGTCGTATTTTGTGTAGGCTTTGTAGGTTGGATTCGAGGTTGAGGGGTGTAAATCAGACAGTTTTCAGACTCGGGTGTTGAAAGCGTCGACTTGCTGTGGACACGTTGCAGGTGCCACTGCTGGAGGCCGGGAGCACGGCTAGATGCTTACATAATACGCAGTCACGCCTTCTTCAATATCGAATGCTTATGTAATGACGAGAAATTCGACTCCTTCATGCTCGCGTTGAAGAGAACGTCGATGGCAAGTCTACGAACGATTTCGCTATGCAGCGGGAGCCGTAGTACATCGCAGAATCAGATCATAGCTCTTGGACGAAGGCCCCAGTCATTGATCGAGTTCAGTCCAGCAGTAAGGACTCAGCTTTAGCTCGTGGTTGGCTCTCGCAATTCATAATACACGAATTCCGCATTTCAACGAGCCTGCCTACTGCTTCGGCTAGGCGCAGGGCGGGGCGTGGGCCTTCTTGGTCTGTTGGCTGGTTTCGAAAATTTCCACCAACGATGTCAACGCGATGTCAACGACGAGATCGTCGCCGCCACGTATTATTCCCCATCGATCCTATACCCTTCCACTCATAACGCCGCTCTCCTCGCAGGTCGGTGGGCACGCAGCGCTGCAAACAACAGAGGCGGGTTCGCTGCTCCTCAAACTAGCCCTCCATCCTACACAATTGGCGTTCTACCAGCTCGTTCGCGATGGCGTATCGCTAGACATCGACGCCACGACGGTGGCGAAATAACGAGCATCGTTATAACGGCATGCTACAGAGCGAACAAGTTGGACGCCACGGATTCGGCGATGAGGTTCAAAGTATTATGCGCTTTAAATTGCTTCCAGAGGTGAGAACGGGGCGGGGATATTATGGCAGAAATTATATGCTCAATGTTTACTTACAGTTCATTTTTAAAGGCACCGGAGGTAAACCATGCATTGATCCACAGGACGATCATGCTCGCATCTCTTCTCCCTCTCGGCACCTTCACACACGCCTGGCATGCCGCCATCGCACAGGTGTCTTATTCGAACAATGTCTGCTCTCCTCGCGGATTTACTTGGGTGCCGCAAGTATTGGCTAACGAGGTCATTTCTCCTCTGGTCTCCCAGCCCCATGCGCTTTTGCTTGTCGCGGGCGGAACAATACTCGCTCCCTGATACGACACAATTCACGGGAACCGGTCGATTGACTCGCCGTTCCTGATGATACTAGGTAAGTGAATCCTACCGTCAAGCCAAAGCAGAACTTGTTCATGCTCAATCTTGACTGATGCCAACCTAGCGTAGCACCAAGGTAATATTATTCTTCAGTGTTTTCGCAGAGACAATCTCTTATGGGGATTCAATTAAGTCTTCCACCGAAGTTTGCAAGGTTAGACTGAGTCCACTGTCGCTGGCTGCTCCGCTCTGCACGCTCTTGACAAATCCAACCGCCCTTCCCAGGAGTGGTTACCTCGCTTTTGGTCTCCGCCATTGCCATCCTGTAAAACCAACTGCGTCGATTACGAAAATTGCCTGAAAGGGAAGGAAGCTGCCCTTGGGCGAACTCTGACCTCTTGGTGTGGCTTGGGATGTTCTCGTATGCTATCGGAACGTGGGGTCATACAACGACTACATCAATGAGGTAATGATTGACCTATCTGGGAATAGCCCACGGCATATTTGGCTTCAACGAAGCCGTGGAGGAAACCGCCGAGCTTGTAAAGTTCGCAAGTATCGATGGCGTCGCTAGAGTGAGACAGCACCCTAATGCTGAGAAACCTCTTCCTCGATTCGCGAAGGTGATGAAGGCTGACAGCATGACTTCTTCGCGGTCACAGTACGTCACGGCGGGATACTCTCAAACCGAGATTGATGAGCTGTATGGAGAAGTGTGCATCGTTGCGAGCTCGGACAAGCCAACAAAGCGGGTCGTCTGCAAGGTGGATAATGTGGAAGTCTATACCTAGCCAGATACGAGTGGGTCGGTTTGCATATGAAGTATTAAAGAACTCAGGATTGCAAAATATGACTTCTGTAGCAGGGGAAGTGAATGGACGCCTTCGGATAAGCCACGAACTCTCTAACCAGTAATGACTATGCTATCTATGCTAGTAAGTAAAAAGGCAAGGGGCGAAACCTTAGTTGTAGAGCTCCGGAGTAGTCGTACTCCCGACTGGAAATGCTTTGAATGGAAGGTTATGAGATCAGAAGGGCCTCCGTTGTGAGCCCATACGGTGTCTGCACAGCAGTTGCACTAGGAGAATGCGTGACTTTCTCCGTACGTGTAGTGATGTAAGTGGTTGAACTTCAACCCGTCGAGAACATATCCTTCACACCTGCTAATTGCCTATGCGCTACTTGCAGTATGATGTGTCAAGATAAACGATCAAGTGTCGGACACATAGTGGTCGACTCGAAGAAGTCCGCGGACAATCTGGGTCGGTTATGTACTTCAAACTGGGTAAGGCGTTGGAGGCACCTCCGCCATCGCTGTGAGAGCAGCGCGCAGCCGCACAATGTCGAGATCCTTTGCTGGTGAGATGATCAATGCATGAATAAAGATCGAGGGGTTGATATCAGGAGCAGGTAGGTAGGCCGGAAGCATGGGAATAGGGAGCTCATCCTACATGGGGGAACGAAGGAGGTGGTTGAGCGGAGTAAGGCAGGGAAATTTGCAAGGGGTACTTACCTCGGCCCGTTCGAGGTATCCCACCACCCATACGTGGCTTTTGCGTTGTAAGGCCCAGTTGTGATCTACGTTGGGATTCTTTGAACGTTCGCTTGGAGGACTACAAACGGAGTGCATGGCTTCCAGGTCGAGGCAGAGAGTCGCGTCTACAAGCAATGCACTGGAAGCATCGTGCAAGAGCACGAGCGCAGATTCAGGGTCATAAGTTAACATCCTGCAGGAGCAGACGTGAATTAGATGCAGGTAATGCAGTAAGGAGTGTACCTGCCCGCAACTCTCAACTTCCTGCCAACGTCGTGTTCAGTGATAGCATCGAGCATTATCACAGTCGCATGTTCAACCTGCTGAGGCATTGTAGATCGTCGCCGGCGAGATTTCCCGTGGTTTACAATGAACTGACAGAACCGCAGACAACAAACGTCCTCGAGTCGATAACAGTCTGATAGTAGGAATTCACGAATGGCTGTGTCACGTCCGAAACTCATATCCACCCCACAGCATTTCAATCGTTCTCAGGTAAAATCCAATCGTTCAGACGTGCCTTGCTCATTCCTGGACCTCCATCGATACCAGGTGGCACACCATGAAAAGCCTTTGCGATGCACGAGCCGAGCTCCTTCGCCTGCAACACAGGGAGTCGGAACTTCTCCAGGAGATCGTGGTCGTCCGCAAGGCTGTAGCAAACCAGAAAGTTGTAATCGATGAGCTGATCAAAGCAAGCGCCGTCCCGTTCATCGATCGCCTTCCAAACGAGTTGCTTATACAGATATTCCTCCTCATCAAACTTGACCGGGAACGTCTGGCTAGAGTCTCACGCCGTTGGAGGGCCATAGTCATAGACATTCCTGGTATCTGGAGCGAGATCGACTTGGAATACTACTGGCTTCGCAAGTGCCCGGCGTTGAAGTTACATTTGGCAAGAAGCCGTCAAACCCCCCTCGCCATCCTCGACGCATATGACTTGCGAGAACTAGAAGTTGTTTTGCCTCATGCGAACCGTTTTCATACTCTGGAGATTATTGGTAACACAGAGAACATCCTCAGCAGAATCTCCCGCGTAAAATTTCCTTCTCTGCAGTACCTTAGCATAGATGGACGAGGGGAGTCGGTTGATATCCTGCCCAGGATTCAATCATGTGTCCCTGCCCTCAAGCATCTAGAATTGCTTGGATGGCGCGGACCCTCATCCGTTTCTCAAATTATTGCAGCCGAATCATTAGAGGAGCTGTCCCTCAGGGAAATTGCAAGTGACTGGAAGTTCAAGAATGACAGCATGCACTTTCCTTCGCTTCAGCGCCTCACGCTGGATGTCAGATCTCCTATATCTTTCTTGGAATCTATTATAGCTCCTAAGCTCGTGTCCTTTTGCTATACTGCAGCATATTGCGACGACCCGATCCCCACCAAGTTTGGCGAAAATTGGTCGAAATTCAACAATGTCTCCCGCCTCACTTTCACTTTACCCAGGTTTCAAATAGCGAGTGAGGAGACCTTGCTTTTGTCCAGGAGTCTCTGCCATATATTTCGTGGTATACGTTACGCAGACATTCAAGGGGATTACGTGTCGATGCTGTTCTCCCCTTGTATGGACGGCCGAAGTCCTCTTGATAACTGGACATGCCTCGAAACCCTGGACATACGAGACTTCACTTTCAGTTCACTCAGGTCGTTCAAATGTATAGTAACTTGGTTCACGAAGCGGAGGAACTTGGGCAAACGGAAATTGCATTTCAAACTCATGCAGGAACACGACACCGATGATCTGGTGATGCTGAACGCTTCCAACGCCCTCTACCAAACGTTGCAGGATTGTTGTGCGTCAGTGGTGTTCGATCGTGTTGCGGTATCTTGTTAGTTGTATCTTTCTTTGTCTGTAGGTTCGCTGTCATTGGTGAGCAGGTCTACTTTGCGTATTTCAGTACTGGTGTTAACATGTTGTTTCCCTCGCAGAGTTGGCCAACTTGCTGGACTGCGGATATCTAACTTGGCATCCTCGTAGGCGGCAAGTGGTACATAGAATGCTACGTTCCCTTCCAAGTATCCAAAAGTCAGAGTTCGTGTTGTATTGGTCCTCGGGTTCTGAATGGCATAGGATCCCTTGTGAGGTCAGCTGGGCTATAAGTCCATCCGGGGTTGAGTCAATTCCTGCACGCTATCTAGTACGGGTCTTAAAAAGCTCTTTTCCATGTCTGACAATATCAAGCTGAGGCTGGCCTCTAATTTGAACACCGCCTCAAAAATCTCAACCACCCTGTGTGCTGCACCCCTCAATCTGTGGGGACATTTGCAGCTTTAGAACTTTACATATCCTATATCCAAGCACGACATTGAAGCTCGCTACCTCGGTCTACCGTGTTGAGCTGGCAAGGCACCTCACCGCAGTGGATATTGACCACGCCTCGCGTGAGGTCGATATGCGGTCTCACCCTCGATCGTATCTTGTCGTCAACTCATTGCCAGGGGCTGAGAAGGCTGAAAGCATCACTGAATTTCCGGAATCTGGCTCTTCAAGTGAAAGGACGGTGTAGCAAATGCCCGCGAGCCATCTATGGACGACCTGAGTGAAAATTCGCCTCTCAATTGTCTTATACATCACGCGAACGATGATGGACTGACTTACGGCCTCAGGCGACCAACGAGGGGAATTAGTACAAAAAGGGGAAAGGGAAGCGTCAGCCACGTACGCAAGAAAATCGCCCGCTTGTCGATTTGATCGACTAGAAAGTTGTCGGAGAAGTTATAAGATATTCTCGTCGTCCATGGCACATCAGTGAGAACAGATCTCCAACGTAATTCCAGTAGGTGTTATCCTGAACTTTCCGGAGGCTTTATCATAACAAGTAAACCAACAGAAACAGCACGAAAAGAAAAACGACCGATACAAAACGAAAGACAAACCAACCGTAAAAACAAATGGCTGAGCCCAACCCCCATACACGTCAAAGGATTTCCAATACTTTCGCCAGAATGTTCTTGCAAGTGATGTGGGTTTCGAGCCCCGAAACAACAATTTCGTTCTCCGCAGCGACCCTCTTGTACTCTCCATCCGGCTGCTGTACAAGAAGCAATGCGTTGAACGGCTGTCCGAGGCGAGCAATCGTCTGTAGCGCCCGAGTATAGTCATCAACATGAGGCACGGTGATGGGTGATGGCGAAGGCGGCCCAACCACATCTGATTTAGCGTCGTGATAAACCGAGTCGGTGTCAGTACCAGACTCGGGGTCATCCTCCCAGACAATCTGTGATGGCACAACTTCGTCCGATCCAGGGCCAGCATCCAAATCTGACTCAGAGTCAGTATCAGACTCCGAGTCACCTCCCCAGGGAATCCCACTACTCGGGCCCCGGATATGACGAATCCACGGATGCGCGAAGACAATTTTTTTGGGCTCGTGCAACGGGAGATCATCGGCGGTTGTGAACACTACAGTTCCAAGCCCCGATACCCTAGCACGATATGACTTCTCATTTCCTTTGCGTGGCTTCTCGAGACTTTTCACAGGGAAGACGATGCATGGAAGATGTAGACGTCGGGCTGCAAAACGGGCAGGGGACAGACGGTTGATCTTATTGCATATTCTCTGTACTTCTTTCCAGGGCAACTTGTCACGTAACTTCGAGACGCGAGCTTCCATTTCTTCCCCTTCGAGTGACGGAGGATTGTAAGGAATTTGGTGGTAAACAGAAATGGAAGCTGGGAGACAACTGTTGTATGTCGATGATTTTCCTGACCACGCAAGTACCGTAACCTCGCCAGAGCGGGCCACAATCTCCTCCAGAAGGTGTCCGAGAGCATCGGGTCCTTCGCCGTAGTGGGGCCTGATATCGGACTTGAATATTCCGATAAGAGAGTATGCGACGTCTTCCTCGACCGTCGCACTGCGCGTCGAAGCGAGACGAAGTTTCTCGTGCACCCCAAGATCGTCTGGGGAGAACGTAACGATAGTTCCACGGGGTAACTTGATCGCATCTGCCAGCTCTTGCATGATCTCCAGAGATTCCTTGTGATTTGCACTGGTATCACCAAGGTATAATTCCCACTCGGAATCATAGAAAAACATAACTTTCGGTGCGAGAAGCTCTTGTAAAGTCCATGCCCGTGTCATCCATAAACTATGCGTAAGGTCTCCAGGCTTGGACGGATATCCTACGCCGGCAAGAAATACGAGCGTGGCTGCCGAATTCGCATACCATTTGTACATAGATGTGAGAGATTGATTGAGGATGGAGCTCGTAGTCTTGTCGATACAACACGTATCGGACCACGCCCAATTATAACCAAGTCTGCGAGTCTCCTTGCAAAAACTGCGCAACTTCTCGTTCAGAGGCATGTCGGGGAGGTTCCACACAGATTTGGCTACGTTGACGTCCTGGAATAATGGCTCGTTCCCCTGCCATGCATGAGAGAACATGACGTATCCGAAAAATTTCGCAACCACGCGTAGGATCCGCAGGTTGTCCACCTCCTTCATCATAGATGAAACAAGCTCTTTAAACGACGGATCAGCCTTGAGGATGCGGATCCGCTCGGGACCGTCACAAAGGCGACCGGTAGTGACATCGATGACGACAAGGGGACAGCTTTTGAGGATCTGGCGGATGATAGGATCAATAGCGGCGATTGTCTCGGATGGAGAAACATAGCTCTTGCGCAGCTCTGTGAAACCGCCATTGGTAAGTATTAAATTCATGGAGGAGGTACATACCCCTGGTTGAAGGGTCATGGGACTCTTCGATCACTTGCAGCATAGACCCAAAAGCATCAATCGCTTCGTCATACCTCTTCGCTCCATGGAGCGCCGCATGCTTGGCCTCGTAGCCCCAAGGGCAGGAGGCATCCACCTTTACCGCCTACACAGCAATTGTAGGGAACCGACTCGTATAAGAAGGGTATCATGCGTACGTCGTTCGCATCCTGCAGTGCGTCCTCCCACAAGCCTCTTGCCACCCGAGCTCTGCTCCGGTTGATAAACAGACTTGCGGGACTTGAAGGACCCAGGGGCAATGGAGCAGGGTAGTGTGTTCCTGCGCCGTTATGTTCTCCAGATCCGATGGCTTCATTACCAACATGTTCAAGTGTGGAAGCGCATTTTTCGGTGAAGGCTGACGATCGATATGGACGTGCACGTCAACCAGACTAGCAACTACAAGACGCACCTGAAAGCCAGTCCGCATTTGCTTTGCTCCTCAGGGTCTCCTCATCCGAAGTCCTAATGATGCTGATGAGAATTTCCATGGCTTCTGCTGCACGTTCTTCAGCATAGAGTGTTTCACATAGTCGCTGCTGGGAAGTAATGTCCGGCCCATCGAAACTCCACCCAAAAATCTTCATGGATGATTAGATTAATAGGTAGTGACGGAAGAAGACCTACGAGCGAAATCGTCAGTAGCGGAGGACATTGTTTATAGCTGGGGGCTAAGCTTTTCGCACGCTCGATCGTTGGTATCGCACGTCCATAGTTTCCATTTTTCATGTACATAACTCCAAGGATCTGTGGAATATATCAGCAGTAATGCTTACATATACGTTTGCAAGACCGTCATGCGTGAGGTACGCACCTGGGTATGAAGGTAGGTGGCGTCGTCGTCGCCGTCCTTGTTTGCTCTCGTAGCGAGATACTCTATGCGCGTTATTGCCTCTTCTTGATTTCCGGATTCGAACACAAGGATAGCCTGATTAGAACGTAGATTAATTCTGATAACAATCTAGATCACCTCGCGCACCTTCAGTAGTAAAAGAAATTTGATCTCGTTCAGCCCGCAATCATGAAAGGCGAGATCGAATGTGCACAATGCACCCTCTGAGTCGCCCTGGCCAAGTAGAGCAATCGCCATCGCGACGTGGCCAAAAGGTGATGTCTGAACCCGGAGGGACTTCAGGTGCATGTGAGCAAATATGCGTATGGAGTAGAGAGCCTAAAGCAGATTCACCTCCTTGACATCTTCTATCGCAGGTGCTATATGTTTCAAACGTGCTCTTACAAGACCGCGGATTGCTAGCATATAGTGACTAGGACTTGAAGTGCTCCCGATCTCCTCTGAAAGTAACATTTCGGTGTTCGTCGGATCGCTCTGTGTCCATGACTTGAGGGTCTCGCCGCTCATTTGTACGAGCGGAAGCTAGGAAGGGCGGAGCCGGTGACAGATTGAGGTGTCATGCAGGATAATGATTGTTACCGATGAGAGCTCCATGAGTGGATGTACACTTACAGCAGGGTGGAAATACTCGGGGGAAAGGATATCCCTGAGGTTGTGAATTGTAATATTCCTGCCATTCCCACATGCGAGATAGCCCCCGCTTGGTGACAGAGCAACACATTTGACCTCCGTAGTGTGCGTGATATTACCGCCGATCTGCTTGTGGGACACACAATCCCACAGCGAAACTGATGAGCCCGCGGCACATGCAATGAATCTGCCGGTGGATGCTATATGTACTGGAGATTGGTTTTCATGGATCGGCCATTCCGAAGTCGAAGACTTGGAAAGGTCGAAACAGACGATTTTGCCTCTGGGCGCGACGAACAGCTGCTGGCCATCAGATGACCAGGCCAACGGAGATCTCGAGGACCGACCGGTTGAACCGTATTGACCTGAATCGAACAAGATATTGCCGTTGTCGGTATTGTAGACACGGAAACCTTGACTCTCCGAGGCGGTAGCAAACCGTCTATCATCTGGGGAGAACTTGGCACCAACAATCCCGGAGTGTGGGAGAGGAGGAAGGGGTTGGATACCGGAAGTGCCATATGTACTGAATATATGGACATTGTTCCATGCTGCAGAGGCTATTTTAGTACAGTCGCTCGAGATATCGACTCCCAACGCCCAGTTGGCGCATTCGAGCTCGCACATTTTTTCATGACTGGTCGCATTCCAGAGGATCGCCTTCTTTCCCCAATCCCCAGACACCATCCACTCGCCGTCCTGGGAAACGACAAGGGAATTGACCGTGCCACTTGTTTGCATGGCCGGACCCTGCAATTGTTGCTGTCCGTCTTCAACCTTCCATCGACGAATATTACTATCGTAATGTCCTCCTACGACCTGACTTTCGTCCGCAAATGTGACTGAGTATACCTCACTCGGAGATACAATTTCAATCTGTTGATCTTAAGTAACCGAACCGTCAGTAGGACCACCTCTGCCTCTCTGACTGCTGGAACGCACTCGTCATCGTCGCTGGCGAGCCCGCTAACACAGCTTGTCTTGAAGTTTAGAGGGGAAACGAGCGGATGTATTGTAGACTCACTCGTGGCACTCAATATATGAGCTACACGTTTGTGAGCGAACATTAAAGCTCCGACTGGAGATTCAAACTCCGCAGAAAAAGCGCGTGATTCGGAAACAGTAGATGTGTAGATAATGCTATTAACGCTCCGATTAAAATTAAAACTCCGCCTAAAAGCGTGCATGCTTATCAATAGAGAGATCTAGCAAGTGATAATGAACTGATAACAAACAAAACAAACATCCATATTCACATATACTACTACATACTATTGTAGTGTGAATACAGATGCAGATGTATATATGGGGGGGGGGACAGGAATACAACTAGGGGGGGGAATGGGGATGCATACTAAATGATGATGAGTATTCTGTCATACACTGTTATCAAACATGAATGCAGATGAAGACTAAAGCCCTCATGCATAGAAGGACTGCTGGACATTAGCAGTCATCAGTGCTAGAGAGAAAAGAGGAAGTGAGTTAAGTGCTGTGAGTCAAAGTGTGGAAAGGCAGTATAAACCAACCAAAACCAACACAAAAGCCAAATATGAGCAAGTGGTGGTTTGCCTCCACAGAACCTGAAGGGCAGAAAAAATCTAATGTGGGGGGAACTTCAATGGTAGGTGCTCCTGGCACAAGTTGTTGATGAGTTACACAGGAGAAGATGAATGGATGCTAACTGAGAAGGGGATGTTGAATGGAGCAAAGGTATTCAGCTGAAAGGACTCCTGGCACAAGTCAATGATGAGTTACACAGGAGTGAAAGGATGACTAAGCAAAGTTGCTGACTAAGCATGGATTAGACTGCAGATAATGAATGGTGGTAGATAGACCCTTCTGAATAAGCCTCAACTACCAAGGATGATGATTGGTGACAGATAGACCCCTTCATGGAGCCTCAACTGTCAACAATGAGTTATGCACTGAACTGACTGCTTGAGTGACCTCTGATTCACTGGGTTGTAGCTAAGTACATGGGGGTTTATATACTGTGGAGGGAGCACAGCTTATGACAAACAAGGGACAAATGCTTGGTAAGTAATGAGTAAGGACTGTAAGCAGTGAGTAATCCTGATGAGTAAGCAAGGATAGAGGATTGGTAAGTATTGACAATAAATGAGTCAAGGACAGTCAAAATATTACAGTATGAGTCAAATAATGTCAGAATCTGAGTAAGTGCACTGATATCACATTAGGTGATGGCAATGCAAGTCAGATCTGGGCAGAGACACCACTGGACCAACAGATTGGATGACAGATGGACAGTGTTTCCAGATGGGGAAGTATTAATTCCAGAAAAGGATGGCATGAGTCAGATGTCAAAGGGCTAGGGTGTTGGGGGTCTGTAGGGTAATGGGAGCATAGGTGATTGTGTCTCCCACCCATTCATCCTCTCAGTGAAGTTAATAAAAGCTTCATGAATGGGGCTCTGATGGAGGAGAGGGAGAAGGGGGGACATCTTCTGCTGGGTCTTGCAGTAAAAAGGCAAGATGCATGTCATACTCATCATGGATGCAATCAGGAAGGCTGGAGAACAGTAGATTGTACTGCAGCTATTGCAATGTGGGGAGAGTGATGGACAAGATTGGAATAAAGACAGTGCAGGGGGCAGGGAGGAATGATCCATATGCTTCATCAGGTGGGGAGACCAAAATGACCACATAAGACCTTTGTAACTGAGTGACAGACCTGAGGTGACCAAAGAATGTCCTTCTGGAAGTCATACTGACAAGGAGAATATACTGACCAAGCTGCATGGGATGGGGCAGGGCTGATGACAATGGAATGAACCAGGAGGCTTCAGGACAGAAGCTGGTGGGAACACCTGGCAGATATACATAGCCACTGTCTCTGGCAAATGAGACAAGTGAGATGATTGATGAAGAGGCAGCCATATCTGATGGACTTAGCAAAATGAGCATCTGATGGATGGAGTGCTGTAGAAATGTGTAGGGTGCAAGGATCCTTTCCAAAACTGGAAGGCAGGATGGTGTGGCTGAGAACTTTAAGTGAGTGTGAGAATGGAGTTGATATCTTTGGAAATGGTGGAGATATGATGAAAACCAGAATGCCATACATGGGTGCTTAAAACTTTTAACATGCACTTAACTCACTTCCTCTTTTCTCTTTAGCACTGATGACTTGTTCTTGTGCAAAGGATGACTGCTAATGTCCAGCAGTCCTTCTACACATGAGGGCTTTAGTCTTCATATGCATGGCATGGTGCACAACTCATCAATGAGTTAGGCAGAGTCAGCTGTAACCATGTCCACAACACCTTTGGTGTGTGACAGCACCCATCAAAAGTTATTAGCACTTGTGTATGGCATTCCATTTTTCATTGTATCTCCACCACCTCCAAAGATATTGACTCTGTTCCCACACTTGCTTAAAGTGCTCAGCCATGCAATCCTGCCTTCTGAGTTTGGAAAGGATCCTCACACCCTACACATTTCTACAGCACTCCATCCATCAGACACTCATTTCACTAAGTCCATCAGATATGGCTGCCTCTTTGTCAATCATCTCAGTTGTTTCCTTTGCCAGAGACAGCAGCTATGTATATCTGCCAGGCATTCCCACCAACTTCTGTCCTGAAGCCCCCTGGTTCATTCCATTGTTGTCAGCCCCATCTCATCCCATGCAGCTTGGTCAGCATGTTCTCCTTGTCAGTATGACTTCCAGAAGGACATTCTTTGGTCACCTCAGGTCTGTCACTTGGTTAGAGAGGTCTTATGTGGTCATTTCAGTCTCCTCACTTGATGAAGCATACAGATCCTTCCTCCCTGCTCCCTGCTATGTCTTTATTCCAATCTCATCCGTCACCCTCCCCACATTGCAACAGCTGCAGTATAATCTACTGTTCTCCAGTCTCCCTGATCACATCCATGATGAGTATGATGTGCATGCTGCCTTCTTACTGCAAGACCCAGCAGAAGATGTCCCCCCTTCTCCCTCTCCTCCATCAGAGCCCCATTCATGAAGTGTTTTATTATCTTTGCTGAGAGGATGAATGGGTGGGAGATGTGATCATTACCCCACAGACCCCCAATGCCCTAGCCCTTTAATACCTGACTCATGCCATCCATTCCTGGACTTAATGCTTCCCCATCTGGAAACACTGTCCATCTGTCATCCAATCCTTTTATCTAGTGATGTCTCTGCTGAGGTCTGACTTGCATTGCCACCCCCTAATGTGATATCAGTGCACTTACTCAGGTTCTGACATTCCTTGACTCATACTGTGATATTTTGACTGTCCTTGACTCATTCATTGTCAATACTTACCAATCCTTTTTGCTTGCTTACTTTTCATTTCTCACTTACTCATCATGATTACTCACTGCTTACAGTCCTTACTCATTACTTACCAAGCATTTGTGCCTCATTTGTCATAGGCTGCACTCCCCCTACAGTATGTATATAAACCCCCCTGTACTTACATAGCTACAACCCAAAGAAGTGAATCAGAAGTCAGCAGTCAGTTCAGTTCATCTCTGAAATAACTTGTCATCAATAGTTGAGGCTCATTTAGAAGGGTCTATCTGTCTTCATCATCTGTGGTATCTGAGGCTCCATCAAGGATCTATTTACCATCATTCATTATCTGAAGTGTCATCCATGATTAGTCATCCTTCTGCTCCTGCATAATTCAACATTGACTTGCACCAGGAGCACATTCCATCAAAGATCTTTACTCCAGTCAGCATCCCCCTCATGATCATCATCAATTCATCTACTCCTGCATAACTCATCAGACTTGCACTAGGAGCACTTTCTGTCAAAAAACCCCATAGTAGATTTTTCTGCCCTCCAGGTTCCATGGAGGTAAACCACCACTTGCTCTTTTGTTGCCTTTGGTGTTGGTTTTGGTTGGTTCACACCAGCTTTCCACACTTTGACTCACAGCAGATAAATATCTTGATTACTAGACAAAGAGCCTTGATCCTCACTGTCAGCTACACCTTTTTGCAAGGCAAGGTTCTGCACACAAAGTTCCTCCAACTTGACAGCAAGCTTCATATTCTCCAACTCTTGAGCCACCATTGTCTCCTCATGTGCAAACAGCTCATGTTGCATGGTAAGTTGGTGTTCATGATCAGCTGAGGGAGTGGTGGCCTTCTGGTGAGTCCTCCAGTATCCATACTTAGCCAGTGATGCTTGACCTCCAACCTATCCTGCTGTGCCTGTTGAAATTGCTTAACAACAGTTGATGGAGCAGATGTGAGGTCTGAAGAAAGCTTGTCAGCAGGGGTTTCCCATGCATGCTTATGGGATGACTTCAATGACAGCTTTGAATCACTGTCATCAGAGAGAGTGGTGACACTGGGGGGGAAGACAATGAGAGATGAAGTGCTGAGAACATATTGGATGAAGTGATGTTGGTGCCAGAGGAGTCATCCATATTCAGAGTGGAGGCTGACCAGAGTTTAAGGAGGGGTCAATCCTGCTTGAGGGACAGACATGCTGGCTGGAGTTTTGGACAATGGAATATGAGGGGGGGGTTGTCATTCAAGCTGATGGAATTCACCCTGTTAAAAGTAGAGGGGGGAGGAGACATGACAGCAGACAACTCAGAAGAATTGAAGGATGGTGGGGGGGCAAGCAAAAACCACTTGGAATTAGCAGGGAGCAACAATAGCAACAACCATTTAGAAAAAAGGGGGGGATGTGATGGGTTGGCCAATGTTGACTGCCATCCAGCAGAGGACAGAGAGGGCAATGGAATGACAGTGGGTGGTGGCAACTCTTGCTCAGGGAAGAGCAGGGAGGGGGATGGTATGGGAAACAATGGCATCTTGGTGCATGACAAGGGGGGGTCATTGTTGACACTCATCAGTTCAGAATTGTCTGCAAAAAAGTTGTCAGCAGTATGAAAATTGTCACCACCCTCCTCTATTTTGCCCTCTTCCAGCTGAGATCAATTCAGTGGGCCTGCAGCAGGATCAACAGATTCTCCAGATGGTGGGTTTGGCCACAGCTTGAAGAGTTCAACTGCATGCCTAGCAAAATCCTGCCCACTATCAGCAGCACTCCAGGTGCTGTTGTAGGCAGGATTTGTGTGCCACCATCCATGCAGTTCTCCCCACCAAGGAAACTCCTTCTCAATCATTGCTGATAATAATCAGTAAATGAATGTGTTTAGGAATGAGATAGTCATGCACCAATTACATTTTTTGTGCTGTTGCTGCAGGTGAGATCCTTGTAGATGCACCCAGCACCCATCTGTCCAAGTAGTGCATTTTGCTTTCAGTACTTTGTTTTTAAACTGTAATAGTTGAGCAGTGAATTCTTGTTTAAAAGAAATGCACATACATGTCAAGCCAACTACAGATTGGAGTGGCAAAGACAGCTGGATTGTCTTGAGAGGACTCAGAATTTGAGGGACTCATCAACTGAGAAAATTGCTTTCATGGTCTCAACATATATCACATTCTTCCCATGTTGTAATTGCTGCTTACTCCTACCCTCCTCTCAAGCATCTTGTGTGGAGTTGGAAAACAATCTCTTCCACTCTGCTTCATGTGTCCTACACCACTCAATAAGATGATCAGTCCACATAGTGTAAGTTTTCTCCCATATAATGTGAGGGACCACTGCTTTTGTTGCTGATTTGGTGGGTTGTGATGCCAGGGGAGGAGCAGATGGCTCAGACTCTATGGCAGCTGTGGACAATGTAGGCAAGAGCAGTCAGAGTTTGAATACTGATATTCTCAGCTGAAAACTCACCACAAACACCTGACAAACACCCAAGGAATTAGCTGAACCTCTAGCAACTTTGAGATGCACTATAGAATCAGTGCACGCTATCAAAGTCATGTTGTATTCTTTAAAAATGAAGATTTGGCAATGCAGGTCTTAGTAATGATTTACATAATGATCCTTGTGCATTGAGCTCCACAGTGACATTTGGTGTAAGTACTCTTTGCTTCAGTGTCCATTAGGCTTTTAACATGTGGGTACTGTGGTACAAAAATATGGGTACCCTTGGGTGCAGCCTAATGGTGGCAGTGTGCAGGTAAAGATTAGTTTTTTGAGGCACACAGAGGGTTCACTCATTGTATTCTCCTTGCATCCTACAAAGATGGCAGTTTCATCCTTCATGAATATGATCACAAGTGGGTGACAGATCTCATCTTTCTCCAACAATACACATGAAGTCCCTGTGGTGATATCTAGACACCAAGTCAGCCTGACCTACAATTTGTACTCCATCCCAGAGGCTGACATCCCTGGCCTTACTGCAATTATGTCCACCATCACTATCACCATATGTTCATACAACTATCATAACATTTGGACAAAGATCTATTTGACAAGACTGAGGTGTGATGATTGTCCTTTCATTGTATTGTAGTGTGCTGTGGTGTGAACACTAAAAAAAGTACTGTGCAATTCTTTTTTGGATAGGGGGTGGCATTATGAAAACTTGCCTCAAATTTTCATTGCCAAGTTCACTGCCCACCACACCACTCCAGAAGCTACTGGTACCCTCTTTACCATCTCTTGGCCATGGCAAAGTACACCAGCCCAACAAAGAAGGCTCAGATTTGTTGAGACAAGGCAGCTGGTCTCTCAGATGAGCACATTGCCAAAAAGTTCCAAATTCATTGTACTACTGTCAAACACATCTTTAACTCTTATGCTAAATCTGAAGATTACTATGCTATCAAGCCTAAATCAGGTCACCCATGTCTATTCACTTTGAATGACACTTGTCATGCAGCCTGACTTCTTGCTCAGGGGAAGGCACATGATGTTGCTGACCTTCAGAGGAAGTTTTTCCCAGGATTTAATGCTGAAACAATCTGACAAAGGCTATGTGCATGTGGCCTAAAGGCCTATGTATGTTTCCCAAAGCCTCTTTTGACAGATGCTCACAAGAAAAGGTGATTCAAGTGGGCAAAGGCCCATGCTGACTGGACAGCAGAGAATTGGAAGGCTGTTGTCTTCTTGGATGAATCTAAATTCAATCATTTTGGGTCAGATGGCTGTGAATGGTGTTGGAGGAAGCCTGGGGAGGACTTTGATGCATGCTACACCAGGAAGGTGGTGAAACATGGTGGTGGCAGCATCATGGTGTGGGGGTGCATCACAGCCACCAGGCCAGGCCAGATATGTTGCATTGAAGGTCATATGGATGTGAAGCTCTATGTTGAAATCCTGCAGGATGAGCTTCTGGGAACCCTCAGTGACCTTGGAATGAAGAAGAAAAATGTTTATTTTCAACAAGACAATGATCCAAAGCATACTTTGAAGCTCACCACCCAGTGGTTCAGCAGCAAGAAGCTTGACACACTTGACTGGCCTCCACAGAGCCCTGATATGAATATTATCAAACACATTTGGCACTATTTGGAACATTGTTGAGGAGTGGGAGAGCATTGAAGAAAGCTACCTTACTTCACTCTATGACAGCATGCTGGAGCATGTTCAGGCTCTTCTCACAGCTAAAGGTGGCCACACTAGGTATTAGAATTTTCTTGTTCATACCATGCATATTGGACTGGTGACATTAACTTCTTTCAAGCACATACCACATCCAAATACGAATTGCACAGTACCTTTTTTCATAATCATCTCATGCACATTGACACTCCTTTTTCCTACTATCTGTTGCATACTGTCATTATCCCTGCAATTATTGCTATCTAATGAGCTATTAATCAATGTCTTTGCTTCAGTTGTTGTCAAGCAAGACAAACACTTGTTGGATTATTAATGCTGTGCATTACTTAATTGAGACACTATATTGCCAGTGGATGAGCTCAAAGACATCATGCAAGGCCATGGTGAGGTAGTGGAGTATGTGAGTGACAAGGGAGACTCCAAGGAAGATGATCATTACTTTGATCACTTGCCCAAGCCTCCTGCCCAGCTTGTGAGAGTGATGAACCTCAGCAACAAGGCTCAGCTGCTACTAGCAAGTTGCTGTATGCCACATATGGTGATGAGCTGGCAGTTAGCATCCTGTATGCGAGCCTGTGTATTGTTGTTGATCTTCCTGCATCAGGAAATTAACACTTTACTATTTTTGACCTTTTTGTGACTTTTTTTGACTTTTTTGTGACTATTGTGACTATTTGTGACTTTTTGGGAAGGAACCTACTATCTGTACTTTTTTTTTGACCATATACAGCATTTTGAAGAATGAAAAGAGAACAGAATCTATTGAGACAACTAAGTGATGATATATCTAAGCCAAGAAGACTAGAAAATGTCTGAAAATTCAGAGATATTGAGCCATTGGTGTGATGCACACTGTCTGAGAGAAAAATCACAATATCTCTTTGGAACCTCCATCAATTTGAATGTATGTGGTATCTACTGAAAGCCATGAATTAGGTGGTTTGATCAAGACCAAAATCAGCAAGAAAAGTGCAGCCATGCCTGCAGGACATGGGTAATGATAGTAGATTCCTTCCCAAAAAGTCACATTAGTTACAACAAGTCAAAAATAGTAAAGTGTTATTTTCCTGATGTGCTCCTGGAAACTGCTCAATCCATAGTGGGTGGGTTGCTGTTGAGGCTTTCCACAGACTGGTTGCTACCAGCAACGAGTGTCTGGAAAGAAGCAGTGACTCGTTACATATTCCTACTGGTGTATCACCTTACCAATGTCAACTTGCTCAGGTGGTTGCCGTGCAGAAAGACCGATCGCCATCACCCTCTCTCGCAGAAGAAGTCGGCAAGATCACATAATCTCTTTCTCCTCGAGCTTCAGTCGTAGCGTATCATCACCCTCCACTCCGCAGAGCAGGTTCGCGATTAAAACAGCCACTAAATTATGTTCGCAAGGAGAAAAGACAGTAAGGAGTACCGATACAATGAAAGTGATCCGTCGAGTACAACTAAATGCAACAGCCCAACGCAATTTAAAAAGGAGGGTATGCTGGGAAGATAAGGAAAGATGTGATCTCGTGATACGAAAGGGACAGAATCTGCAGTTTTGGACGCTAATGAAGTTTAATAAGACACGGGTGCGGGCCAAAGATCGTCATCGGCGTCGAGGATCCAGACGTTTTGTTGGTCAAGACCATTGTCGGCAACCCCCTCCGCGACGTCTCTTTGGAGTCTTGCCCAAGGACTCGTCTCACGCCGACTCTGTTGCCGCTCCATCGACGCATCCAATTAAATTCTTGTCAAATTTGACGTACGAAAATATCACGAACGGGGGTTCCATGTTTGGTTTGGATGCTACTAACAGACTTGGAGCCAGGTCGTGGTATGTCCTGTTCATGTTCTCTTCCGAGACCAAATGCGGGCCCTCTGGCGTCACCATCATGTTGTCCACATAGCGCATCACATACATGCCAAGATACTCCACCAGAATTTCGGTACGGGAAGACGTGCGCGACCTAGGCAACTGGCGAAATAAGTTGACCCCAAAATCCGAAGTGACGATTGATCGAGCGCTGTAGGTCGCCGTGCCATAACGGTAACGGTCTGTCGTGACTTCCCGGACAGCTGGTTCATGGAAAAGCGGCCTGTAATGCTTGTCGACGCCCCGCTCGAGAACGGTTTTCCAGACAGTCATTTTTTTCGGAGAGACAAACGCCCAACCATCTTCACCTTGTACGATACGGTTAGGCCCAGAATAGTCCAATAGAGAGAGAATGTTAATTGGGACCGGCGGCGGGAAGACGACATTCCTCGGGTCTTTCAGATGTTGTTGGACATCGAGAACGACGCGCATGGGATACACAAACGACAAAGGCGGACAGGTTCCGCGGAGTGGATTGTAAATCGGTCTGAAGTTATAGTACATGCGTGAAAGTTCGTCCACTTTTTCAAATCCAGTCGTCGGGGGGACAAAATCGGTAACATCATCGTCCAACTCCGTCAGGAACGAACCGTTATCGCGCCTACGACGCAGAATGATTTTCGCTATGACGTCCTGTGTAGGGGGTCTACCGAAATTAAGGCTACGAGCTTGAGCTTCCGGTAGAGACAGTGGCTGCGCAAAGCTACTGTAGAATAGTTCAATCGAGGCATCGGAGGACTGCTTAGATGACCATTCGGGGGGCGCTGTGTCGGCAGGCACGGAAGTTTGCGCACGTGAAGGTCTCGCACCATTCTCGGGCCGCGTGTAGGAAATCGAATCTTGGACTGGGGTCGCGCGATTATCGACATCCATACCAAATTCTGAATCGAGGGGCTCAGCGTCCGGGGGAGCATATGAAGGAGCAACGTCCCTGCTGAGAGGTGCTAGGAATAAGCTGCTGAAACTGGCATTGTAGTCGCCTGGCTCGTTGAGTTCGGGTGATGACATGTCGCGCCGGCTCTCTGTGGACATCGACTCGTATTCAAGAACAATGAGATCGAAAATAACCGAATTATCAGAGGCGGGAATAGGTTGGATGATAGTCGCGAGAGACGATCATAGGTAACTGGGCAAAACATACAAATCTTGACCGGTGACCAATTCCTTGGGTGTCAGCCACCCTCATTGCATGCCTGACGTGACCAAGTTAGTGCTTTAGCGTGGAGGTAGCAGCTGTTATTATATTGTGTGCTACGCACGAACCAGAGCAATATAACGGTCCGCATCTCAGGGGTTTGTTCATCCCGTCGGGTCCGGGTCCGCACATCTATGGTGACCAAGTCGTCTCCGGCTCTACAGCAGACCACCGGAGACTGTTTAGTCACCTATGGGTCACCCTGAACTTGATAAACATCGAAACGCATGGTTGTGGAGGCCTTCGAGCTGATGAACGTCTCGACTGGGTTCTCGAATTGGACCCGACGTAGGATGTGTGTCGTGGTTCGCAACCGCCCATTCTGCGTCTCCAGGCTGCTCGACGCAAATCCAATCCGTAGAACGAGACACCCTGCAGTCCACACCGGTGCGACACTCCGACTCGGAGTCGAAGCGATTATGACGCCGGGATTATTACCCGAGCGCCGTCCAATCGCCGTTGAGCCGATCAACTCCGCCCGGAATTTCCACGGTCGCAGTCCGAAATAAATGAAACCGCGCGATCCGAAACTGCGCGGGTCACAACTCTCGAAGACCACTTTCAAGGCGTTTGTCGTCGCCGTCATCGTCGCCGCTGCCGAGCAGTCTCAGCCTGTCTTTCCCTCTCTCGAAAAAAAAAACGCGATGGCCCCTTCCGATGAACTCGAGTACTTGAAGAGTCTTGTCGCACAGCTGAACGACAAGATCCACGCGTTGGAGGAGAAGGCGAAGGCAGCTGTGTCAGCGTCTAAAACCCCCGCCCAGCAGCTTCGCACCATTCTCATTGGGCCTCCCGGTGCCGGTATGTAAACGCGCGCTCCTTCTTGCACCAAAACCAATGGCCAATGGGTAATACTCTACAGGCAAGGGGACCCAGGCACCCAAAATACGAGATGAGTTCTGCGTATGCCATCTCGCCACGGGTGACCTTCTCCGCGAGCAGATCTCAAAACAGACCGAACTCGGCAAGATGGCGAAGAAAGTCATGGATGCAGGAGAACTTGTCAGCGACGAGATAATGGTCAACATGATCAAAGACCAGCTAGAGAACAACAAGGCTTGCAAGAACGGGTGAGCTCGGTTTCAGCTGGCTTGGTATCGTCGTGTTTTGCGTTTTCCTTACCGTGGGTGATGTTATAGCTTCGTCTTGGACGGGTTCCCTCGGACAATCCCTCAAGCTGAAAAATTGGACACTATGTTGCAGAGTCGCGGCGAAAAACTGGACAGCGTCGTGCAGCTCGTCATCCCTGACCAACTGCTTATCTCTAGAATTACCGGTCGCTTGGTTCACCCTGGTAGTGGCAGAACCTACCACAAGGAGTTCCAGTACGTCCTTTGGGCTTGGGTCTCACGAAACTTCTCTCACCGTTGATGGTAAAGGCCGCCGAGGAAACCTATGACGGATGACGTCACCGGCGAACCTCTCATCCAGCGTTCCGACGACAATGTCGAGACGCTCACGAAGCGTCTGGCAACGTACCACAAGCAGACTGGCCCGGTAGTCGACTACTACAAAAACAAGAGTTTGTGGACCGGCATCGATGCCGCCCAGAGTCCTAACCTCGTATGGGAAAACCTTCGCAAAGTCTTCACGCAAGGTCCACCAAAGTCATCGTAGCTTGACCGTATCGACCCCACGTACATGGGGCTTTCTTCACTGATTGATTTCCATGTACATACGTTCATAGAGCTTTGCGTTAGATACTCGTGGTCGAGTGTGCAACCATCTTATTGACAAGCGTCATAGCCTAAATGGTCATTACAGGTAAGCGTACCAATCGAAGCGAAAGTGCACGCTTCCGAACAGCTCATCTAAGGTGCGGCTGGTAGCATCGCATCTATTTTACACGAACTAGCAATCTAGATGTGTGGGTAGCTTACTCCGTCTTCAAGCCCTTCTTTTTCTTGCCTTCGACATCACCCGCGAGCCAAAGCGCAGAAAAGAGGAAGAAACCGACGCTTGTACTGATAGCACCCGCGTAATAGGGCCACGCTGCACTCAGGAAACGAGGGTATTGATCATGCCTGGGAGGAACGACCGGAACAGTAGTGGATGTCTGGAGGAGCGGATATCTAAGATGCCTCACGCTTCAGCTAATGACTGAATGTATACACTCGCACGCTTACCCTTTCCGTCTCCAATCGACGACGAATTTGAATACGCCGTGCCTGTCCGGTGCGCGGAACTGGACTTGATATTTTCCTGGTTCATCGGCAACAGGGGGGAGGGCAATACGGATGTGAGGATCGAGCATAGTGAACTCGAGCTGCATGTCTGTGATGCCAGAGTGAGGCTTCCAGCTCGATGTCTCAGGATCATAGGCAGAGATGTGTGCCGTGTATACCTATCTCACCGTTCAGACGGTCGACTTTCAGCAGAGTTGACAAAAAAAAACTTACGATCTGGTCATTGGTAGTATATGTTTCTGGAGGTACTTCCTCGCCTGCACGGTGGTGGGTAGTGTTGTCTATCCGCAGTGCGAGCGTCTCCCTGAATGCCCATGCCGTAATGTCTTTTACAAACTTTTCGTTCCCCGAAGGCGTACCGTCTGGCAACGCCTTGCTTGCATACTCGTCGCTGAACATCTCGACGCCGCCCGCGAACACAACACGGGAGTTCTTCAACGTCTGGAAACCCGTGACGAGGCCGAGGTGGCTACCGGCCCACAGACCCTCGCCAGCCTTTTCCGATGCATCCACGAGCGCGTCGGCGCCCGAGTCGTCTAAGGAGTCAGCTGCGAAGCTCTCTGAGGTTGCATGGAGGATGGGTACGAGGTAAGGGCTGTTGCCAAACGCGTGAGGGACACCCGAGAACCATACCGGTGATGTGCCAGGGGTGAGTAGCGGGGATTCCGATACAGGTATGGGGATGACGGTTGCTGGCTCGGAACGAGCGGGGTGATGGGAGACCAGAGGTGTACCCGGAGGCGGAGGAATCAGTGAAAATTCGGCAGATAGTGAGGAAAGAGGTGTTTGTTTGGTGGAGAGTGTTACAAGGATATTGGTGTTCTCCGAGAGCAGACCAACCAGCGATTGTGGTGTAATATCGGAAGCATAAGCTATGGGTGGCAGTCAGTTCCACAAATTTCACGGTCACGGTTGAAAATCGGGCTCACACTTGGTTTCTGGAGTGAAGAGGATCACATGGGAGAACCCTGGGACCCCATACTGTTCTATAGGCGGATGTGCATCCCTAGGCCCTCGGAATGTGAGTTGGTATCCTCTCTCTAAAACGCAACAGAGTTATTTGGCATATGGGTAAGAGACAAGTTCCAGTTACCCTCCAGTCCCCCAAAGAATTTGGAATAGTCCTCTTTCTTCAACGACGGGTCGATGACGACCAACACCGAGTCTCCAGTGCTGGATTTTGCGAAGACATTGTTCGCGAGCGCGAAGAACGAGACCAGCGCCGACACAAAGAACCGCATTCTACTTTATTTCCACAGCTTCCGGGTGGAAACCGTGCGCTATACTCTCGCTGTTGGTACTGCTATGGACCTCCACGTCATGCGGGTTTTCAGGGCGTTGTTTTGACATGTTGAGTGCCAGAGCTTGTGCACGTGACCATTTGGCGCTTAAATGATGAACGCGCCGTCGAGACGCTACCGGCTACCCCTCAAACTGCACGCACATTTCTTGGGTTCTTGCAAGCCCTTGCAGTCAGGTCCTTGGAATCAACAGTCCACAACGGTGACAATTGAGACACGACACTGAGTCGTTTCGCATCGACTTGCGATTTGATCGATATCATCCACATGATTCCAGTCGACGCGTCTCTGGGTCCTGAACTGGTCGAGTTCTGGTCCAAGAAATATAGGGAAACAAGAAAGGAACTGGACAATCTTAAGGTAAGTGACCTCTCTCTGTCGAACGGTGAACATTAACCTCACAGAACCCCTCCTGAGCAGACTGTCATGATGCGTAAGTTGTCTGAGCGCGACGAGATCTTGGAAATCGTGCGCAGCATCAAAAAGACTGTCGACGATGAGGCAACTTTGCGTCATAAACTTGAAGGTGGCGATCAAGGAAAAGGCATGAACTGGCTTCGCGTCTTGCTCAATTAGAGGCTGAGCGGAGTTTTCTCTCCAGACGGGTATGCGTGTGCAATAGGTGCACCTGTGGTCTCAGTTGGTCTTAGTTGTGCCCATCCAGACACAATTAAGTATAACTCAAACTAGCTCCCTCGCCAAGGAAGCCATCGAGCACAGAAATTCGGTTATATCCCAGCGGTTCCCCCCTGTTAACTTTGTGGAACATTCTGCGAAGACAACGGTCATATTTACGGACTACATGGCAATCATTAAGGATCTGCCGAGTGTACGTACTCTGTCCACTCAGTCGTAGCACGTTTCTCATTTTCGATGATCGTCTTTAGGCATTTTCTCGAGACCGGTATGTATGACTTGGCTGCCCGCTCTTGTCCGCAGGTATTCCTAGGTTCCTGAAGACTGGGCTTAGGTTGCAGTTTATGATTTGTCCCCCCTCTTCCCTGCCATTGTACGTGCCCGTATTTGGGCAACATGGCTTCTGGTTTTACGCCCCCTCCTATGAACCATTTCAACTCATCGCCGAAATTCATCCGAACGAGGTAAGGAACTAATGTCCAGATTTAATTGACTGACCAGTCGTCAGTGGTCCTATCTCGGCCAGTACGTTAGTGCACCCTTTCCTAATGCTGAGATGAAACTATCAGAGTGGATGTCGCTGGACGAGGAGGTTCGTAGCTAAAACCACAGGCCCATCGCCCGTGGCGCAGACTTATAACTTTTGTAAGGACAGACTAAAACGAATCACTGCTCTCGTGTCGCTTCTCTCAATCCTGGCGGAGATCCGACTGTCGTGAGGCAACGATACGAGACTGGCGAATGGAAGATACCCTGCTGTTCACTACAGTGTGTGGGATACAACAAGTGGTTGGGTGAAGCACTGCAGAAAGCCGCCTCGAATTTACGATCGCGGCAGATCACACAGCAACAGCGACAGCGACAGCAACAACAACAACAACAACAACAACAACAACAACAACGGCAAGCGCTGGCACTAACTTTTGGGCCATCTACAGGTACCCGGGCAGAGCAATCACCAGAGGCTTCTGGTGCTTCACAAGCAGGGACTAAGAGAACAGGCTTCTCGAGTGATAATGATGAGGATGATATCATACCAAAAAAATCGCGGCTGTCACCCCAAATAATCTTGAAGTTCGAGTCGTGAATACCGGGTCTCTGTTCATAAACTTTCGCATGTTATCTACTTTACCTTGGTCGGATGTGAGACACAGCATGGTTGTGGAAGCCAGTTTGTCACCACCATAAGAGTGGTTAATACCAGCCTTCTCCCGAGTACACGTTTCCAAATGACACACCACAGCATGTCCAGTGCAGAAACCGGAAACCGATGCCCAAAGAAGTGTGTCTCCTTGCGTACGTACCCTCTAGCAACACGATAAGAAACGAGACGAACCATAGTTAGGAGCAAGTTTCACGCAGCATGATTGTCGTCCTCAGAAAACTTGGATTTGTCAGACTCGCGCTAGATTGGCCATCAGTTTCCCACGGTCCACGTGGCTAAGCGCTCTCGCCATTTCCAAGTCGGCAAAGCAGTTTGGCAAAACTTGTAAACGCTGGGTTTCCGGTCTGCGACTACCAACCTTAGGCGGCACCAGGCTCCAGCACCCGGGCTTGTCTCATGGATGATACCAACAGCGAGTCTTCTACACCCACCTCCCCCCCTACAGTCGCCTCAATACTCGGTGTAAAGGGGGCATTGCGTTTTCGACGCCATGGAGCCAGTCAAAAGGCTCACGTTGTCTTGCGACGCGTCGACGTCTCCGATGACTCAAATATTGCAGACGGTAAACCATCGGTCGCCTATTTCAGCCTCTTTGCACAGAAGCGGATCGAGGTAAAACCCGGCAAGGAAATCTTGCTCGCTGTAGCTTCCGAGGATGGCTCCTTCACGGACCAGGCCGTCATTTTTGAAGGTGACCTGTCTTCTGCTTCTGACTCAAACACAGAGGAGGAGGAGGAAGTCGAAAAACAGATCGTTCAAGATGAGGCTCTCCTCGACTCGCCGTCAGCGTACCATGTTCCTCCCAAGATGCGGAGGACATGGACAAAACAGCTACAACAGGTGAGCAGCCCGGTGATAGGTGAGTAACCAGCCCCCCAAGCACATCCGTTTATATACGAGCGTTCCGTAAATCGTCACTAGATACAGTTGTGCATCCGCCTCCCACGTATGTCTCGGTTTCCGTGCAAGCAGAACCGACCTGGTCTGTAAGTTCAGTGCAAACAGTTTCTACAGCGTCCTCGGTACAGGAACAGACGGCGCCTTTGACTAGTGAGTCAACCATTGAAGTACCTGCAGAGGCACAGGAACCCTCTGTGGAGGTCGAAGCTCCTGCTCTGGAGCCAGATCTTCCTATACCGACCGAAGCTGTACCGGTACGTGCTTGGCTCGCAGCGATTGAACCTTTTCTCAGCCAACGTAGATACCGGATGCCGAACGTTCGCGCAGTTTATCGCCAATGAGCATAGGCTCTCCGCCCAGCACTCCTCCACAATCACCCTTGATAGGTTGTGCTACGAACCTTATCCAAATCCCCTCTCCGCCTACAACTGAGCCACCCGTAAGCCTTGTTGGTGATCACCTACCTATCTCGCAGCAGGCACAAGAGGAGAAGGAGAAGGAATACATAGCTGTGACGGCTGTGGCACCACCCATTGACGTTGCAAGTAGGACTTCCCAGGTTAGCCCTGTCTCGTCAGAGACCGTCGATATGGACCTGCAATCCTCCCCCTCGTCATCTGAAGTGGATGAAGACGAGATCCCGGGCTTTATCACCGGACCACTGTCCCGACGCCCAGGCCCACCTCCGCGTCAACCATCGCCACTTGTCCTTTCCCCACCACAAGCGCGACCGCAGCCCATGGCCTCCGTTCTGCCTGCCTTGGCCATACCTTCAAAATGCACCATACTTGTACCAAACGAACCGAAAGAATCGGAACCTCCAGAACCTACCGCGTTAGTTGCTGCTCCTCCGCTTAGACGACCTCCACCACCGATCAAAAATCCGTTTGTATCGGGCGGATTTATGACGGAATTCGTCGGCGAGTCGCTAACAACGCGAATTACTCCATCACCGAAGGAGTCGATGGTATCTGAAAAGTATAATGCTACCACTACTGCGGTAAGACCCACCGGTTCATAAATGAGCACTGATATTAATTCTTCATGATAAGGTTTTTTCGAACGAGAGTCCGGCAACCAAGTATGAGCCAAGTACTGTTTACCAGCCTGTTCCTAGGTCTTCGCCAAGCTACATTTCTCAACAAATTCCTGGAGGTACGGTTTCCGAGGCCCGAGCGCCGCTAATCACCCGGCAGTCTCCACCACTAGTGCAGCCCCAGCCACAAGCACGTCAATTACAAAACTTACCACGACCTCCACCGCGACCATCAGAAATCACCTATACATATTCCCAGAAGTCGCCAGCTTGGTCCAACTATCCTCCACCTCCACCCGCAGCAGTCAACGACGAATATAATCCTATAGAGTCACTGTCAAATGCGTTAAATGTGCAACCTTCCTCGCGCTTCGCTCCTCCCCCACCCTACCAAAATCATTCGATACGGCCACCGTCGCCCTATCAATATGCCGCTGCCGCACAACCTGTATCTGAGAACAGCTGGCCTTCGTTCCATTCTAACGGACGTGCGCCGATGCCTACTACGTTATCGCTCCCACAAAATAAGGTGCCTCTCCCACCTCCGCCACGACCGCATAGTACGCGCTCGTCCACGACTCCTCCTGGTCTATCCAGCGCTCCATATTCATCTCCATCTCCTCCTGGTTTCTTGCATAGTGCATCAAGTCATAAACCATCGCCAGTTAGGGAACCTATTTCATATGGACAAAACAAGCAAACTACTACGCTAACGTCTCCACAACATTGGTACTCACCGCCTACTCCACAAGTAAAACATGGTAAGTTTTTCTTTGTATGCATTCCTCGGCGCTCTGAGTACATGTCTATTCTCTTCTGCAGAAAGTCTGGACTGGACAGCTTCTTCGGTATCTTCAACTAGTACCTCCATCAACTCCATCAGCTCTTCGCAACACATTCGTATACAAGCACCAAGACCGTTGATTCCATTATCGGCGGCTTCTGCCGTTCTGCATTACAGACAGACGACGACTTCCAAAAGCCCAACGCCTTCGGAAGACTCGAAGGGCAAGAAACGTGCGCTTGATAGTGACGCACAACTCGAATCCTCTCGTCCACGCAAACGTAGTTACCCGTGGCCAGTACAGGAATCTTTTTACTCCGTGCGAATAAAGAGCGAGGAGGTCGCTGGTGTTCAGCAGATTGCGTTTAGCTCAGACGGAGAACGGTTTGCTATCATTTGTGAGTTTTAATTGGAGTTGACGATTCTTGGGAGCTCCCTTTCTGAACCTTTGCATTGTTAGGTGGGGACCGTACGATTCGAATATGGAACACACAACACAAGGTCGAAACCGCGCGCTTGGCACAAAATGCGCCCGTCCAAGCTATTGCATGGATGACGGATGATGCAGGTGTCGTCACCTTGGGTCAAGATGGGGTGATTAGTAAATGGACGCGGAATGTGAGTGGCGTTAGTTAGATTGATGCGTCCGTGACCTAACAACAATTTAGAATCAAAGTCACTGGCAATGGGCGAAGCTGTTGGATGCAGGCAAAGAGGATTCTGTCTGCTTTGCCTACCAACGTGACAGGATCGCTGTCGCATTCCCTCGCGTAGGTGTGAAGGTCTGGATATGGATCAAAGGTTTGGTTTCCTCAATTGAAAAGTTTGAGCAGTCCGTAATGATGCTGTTTGCGTCTCAGGCACCTGGCAGCCGCAACGTTCGATTCTGCGACAAAACGTGACATCCATTAGATTTGTTGAAGATGGGGAGGCCCTAATAGGTGGGACGAGCGACGGTGTACTGTGGTATTGTCAAGTGCCGAACGGTACGCTTCGAGCTTACGCCTTCCTCAAGTCCAAAGTGTAGGTGAAAGCCGTTAGGTTGTCTTTCCGGTAACTGACTTATCGGATGACAGCTTGCATTTAGATGTCAACTTGTCTGGGACGCACGCCCTCGTGTCACAATCCGGAGGTCGGGCACACTTGGTGGGTATCCAACGGATGGATCATAAGGGAAAGATAGAACAAGTGTACGCTACGAACGGAGATTCTGGAGGCGAAAACAAGCAGGGAGGCGGTGCAGTTTTTGCAAATGGATGCCGGTTGGTCTTGTTTGGGACGACGGACAGTAACATGTTAGTATGGGACAAGGCAAAAGGAGAGATTGTCTGCGGGTACGATCATGATGGTATGTTGTCATCCTCGATCCTTGCTGCGTCGTTGCTGAGAAAATATTCACGTGCTCAGGTGAACAAGTACAGGCCGTTGCGGTGAGTGAAGAAACGCGGTTGGCACGACCTCATAGCTGACACGCGTGTTCAGAGCTTCGACAAGGGATCCAACGTGCACATAATTACTGGGACCAAGAATGGTCTTTTATCGTGGTGGAGGCCGTTCCCAACGGATTAATGGTAAGCATTATTAGTTGCGCCGCTTGCCTTATCGTAGATGTATGACCCATGCCAAGACACTTAGCTATCGCCGGCTTTTTGCATATCGCTACGACGTGGACATGTGTAAAGGCAACGCATTGTATCAGTATCGCGCAACAGACCTATAACTTATTTACCCCACCCACTCCGTATAATACGTTGTAGTTCTTTTGTTTTTTCTTTTGTTTTCTTGTTTTCGTTCGCTAGACTAGCTACGGTCTTTTTTATTTTGGGTTATTTTGGCTACTTAGGGCCGGTTCGAGGGTGGTCTTGCGGTGAGCTCACGCAGGCTACTACGAATCCGTGCACAGGCCAGGTCCAACTCGCCCTTGCGCTCGCCGTTGTCGACATCGAGCTCGCCAGCGTTGCTCATTTGTTTGCACGCACGTTTGTCTCGGTCTTAGCTGCTACACAGTTCGTAAACTTGGGTCGGAAATTGGGGAAAACGGTCTTCGAATTTCTAACCGAGCTCTTGTCTGTCTCGCGATTGGTCTCAATTACATCCTCTCAGCTATCCAACCCCGCGTTCCTCGTCTGGGCTCATTTGGTGAGTCTGTGACCAACGTTAGGCACCCAGCAGGACATCGTGCTCCTCACACAGCCTCAATAGCAGCATGGTTGTCATGCTGTGGGGCAGTTACACGCAGATGTGCACTAGGAGCTGTTCTAAAATGGGTGTTTGTACGTGTGCGTTGCGCGTGGTTCTGACGACTCCCTTCTCTTTCCACCAGTACTCTCGTTGGCACCACTCAATAGCAGTAGTACCCTATGAACCCTATGCAGACCATTAAGTGCGTCGTAGTTGGCGATGGTGCCGTCGGCAAAGTATGTCGCGTTTTCTAGTCCCCTTGTTCGTCTCCGGAACTAATGCACGCCGCGCGTAGACATGTTTATTGATATCATACACCACCAACAAGTTCCCTAGCGAGTATGTTCCAACGGTGAGCAGACTCGGCGCACACGCACTCCCAAAGCGGACCTAAACCCGCAGTCAGGTCTTTGATAACTACGCCGTAACTGTGATGATTGGTGAAGAACCCTATACGATTGGGTTGTTCGATACTGCCGGTTCGTCTTTGCTTCTTCCTTCGGACGCACTAAGACGTAGGGACTGACTGACACGTGTGTGGATGTTGTCTAGGTCAAGAGGACTATGACCGTCTGCGCCCGCTATCATACCCGCAAACGGACGTATTTCTGGTGTGCTTCAGTGTGACGTCTCCGGCATCCTTCGAGAACGTAAAGGAGAAATGGTTCCCGGAGGTACACCATCACTGTCCTGGCGTGCCGTGTCTCATCGTAGGCACCCAAATCGATCTGCGAGACGATCAAGCGGTCATTGAGAAGCTCGCAAGGCAGAAACAAAGGCCAGTTTCGACCGAAGCAGGCGAGCGTCTTGCTAGAGAGCTTGGCGCAGTCAAGTACGTGGAGTGCTCGGCCTTGACACAGAAGGGTTTGAAGAACGTGTTTGATGAGGTGACTTTGATTTGCTTTATGGGACTTATGAAGTCTAATATAAGTTAATTACCGCATAGGCTATCGTCGCCGCCCTCGAGCCCCCGGTGGTCAAGAAAAGAAATAAATGCGTCATCGTTTAATGTATGACCCCCTTTTTTCTTTCGCGATGCCGCTCGATTTCTTTTCATCTCACGACGACTTCTCCTACGTTCCAATCTTCCCCCTTTTGTCTCATATATCCCTGTCATCTTTCCCTTATGTCTCCTCTTGTTTCACTCAGGTCGTAATTTTACCCTCATCCAGTATTTTTTCATGACAAGACTGAGCATGCTTTGCGAGACTGGACTTGTGTGCATATTGCTCGCGAGGCCGAAAGTGCACTCTGACCTTTTTCCTCGTGTTCTCTTTTTTCATAGTGATAGTTGCGCAGGAATCGCGAGGATACCACAGGAATACGGGGGGAAAATAACCGATCTCCATCCGGTAGGAAACATAGAATTACGCTAGGCAGAACCGGTACCTAGGATATATGTTCTACCAACCTTGGGCAGAATATAATGCATGACCTGACAACGTGGCAGGAGATGGATGAGACACGAAGCAGAAGGCGGTTTATCAAAATGAGATTTCCGGTGGCTTTGGAGGGGCAACAACGTCAGGCAAATAATGAACAAAGTATGAAATATCCGCTTGCGCCTTACCTGACTTCTGGTTTCAAATGCCAGCCAATCACCGGTGCCGGTTGGAAGAAGACCCATCGACCGGCATTTCCATAGACCCACTGCTAGTGTTAGCAGATTACACACAACGTATACCAACTTCTGCAGTGGAAGAGTGTTCCATGAAGTCGAGTTGGACGAAGCGGGTGCGAAGGGCGCGAAGGCTGTTTTAAGGATGTGATCAATAACGACTCACCAGTTAAATGTAGCTATATACGCACCTGCATTCATGCCAGCGATGTTCTTAAAGGGGGTAAGGAGTAGCATAAAGACGATCCCCATGCTAAATATCTGTACGCCTCCTCCGGACATGTAGAGCATGAAGGCTTGCATAGGAAGTGACTTGGCGGGCGAGATGGCGAGGTCCCATGCTCGTTTTTCTTTGAGAGCGGTATAGGACGCTGCTACCTTGTCTGCTTTCTTGGCTGGGTGTTTTGCCTACGAGTGTCAAGGAAATGAGGCGGGTTTGGATGGGCAGTAGTATGGTATGCTGTCGCACGTACGCTGCTTGTGGATTGTCGGTTTGAGAACCCCGGTGGTGGTGCGAGGTTCTTCCATCTGAAATTTGGAACATTTCAGTGGTCATTTCGTTGGGGGTTGGGCTCTTACGCGCCTGGATTTGTCCAAGGAGGCATAGTCGAGCTGGAAATTGGAAGACATCCGGGCCACTTGATCGACGCGAGTGAGCGTGCTCAATTATTTACGACTTCGAACTTCGTTCCCAGATGTTCGCGTCGATAGACCAGTGTATCATTGCGAACGTCCGGTTCATCTAGACCGGTACGTATATACGGTCCTCTCGATGCTCCAAGATAAATTATAGTAGCTTAAATCGAACCTTTCAATAATCAACTCGACCATGCGAGACTCGAGTCACTACCCGGCTATCCGCCAGTACGTTGACGCCGAGATACGTGGCGTGCCGGGTTCCCAGAAGGTCCACCTCTTGCCCCTTGAGACAACCAGTCGCCGGTCATCTCCCATGTCCCTCCAGACTCCGATAATGCTTTTGACTTGTTCCGGCCGCCAACTTCCTTGCCAACATTGTTAACAGCTTCGGGTCCACTACGCCCATTCTTAATTCGTTCCTTCCGATCCAGAGCTTCATGGCGGACAGCGGCGAGCCGTGGTTAATATCGGGTTCAACGCGAAAGTTTGTTTCTTATTCAAGAAAAGGGGGACTGTCAACGAAAGTATGGGTAGCGGCGGAGGTCCGGGCCACCACCTATGAGGTGGATAAACGGGCAAGTAGTCTGTTATGTCCCCTCATCTGACACGCTACAGAGGACCAGAGCCAGCTTACAGCTGCTGGGGATATTAATGACGCTCCCAGCGTCACGCTAGATCTACCAGCTCCAAGCTAAGTTACCCTTATTGTTTGCAGCCAAGACAATGGTTTGAGACATTTGATACAATGGAACATGCATCCAATCCAATCCAATCCCAAACTGAACCTTCCGTGGGTTCATTGCAGACTCAACGGTGTATCTTGGGATATGCTTCATCAGAGAGACAGGGAATGACGTAATCGCGGTCACAACCAGTCAGTGATGGGTTTAAACAGGTTTAAACCATTTTTTTTGCTTCCTGATGTTAGGGCAAGCATTTCTTTCAGTCGTTTGTTCTCTGAATCAACTGATGACAGTGCGTACTCTGCCAAAAAGCCACACAGTTGGGTGAGCGTTATTCTGTGATCGGATATTGTCCCACTCCCCGCTTTGTGTAGGTGAAGGGCATCACTGGGCGCCAGTAGTCAGCTAGCTAGCACAAAACACCTGCGCTACAGTCCCCCCATCACCTGAGCAAAGCAAGGTCTGGTTTTGTGCACGGTGGGTTATGCGAAGGCTCCGTGAGTTAGAAAGGGCAGGTCACTACCATAATAGTCTTCCCTCAATTAACTTGGACTCGGATGATAAAGCAGTCGGACCACTGGCAAGGACCAATCGTTGGGCTGGTAGAGGTGTTTCATCTTTACGGATTTAATCGAGTCCCAATATAATTACTGGATTTTCAATGCAAAATCCCGATTGATTAATCTACGGTGGGGTATAGCAGCTTGTACATGTGCTCTATGTGCAGTTGACGGTATGATAACCAAAACGTATGCATAACTTGATGTCTCATGAGACAGCATGATCCGCATTGATAACGTCACCATCCTCGTCTACAGGTTGAACCTGCTCAGGAACAGTCGAAGTCTCCTCTTGCCGGCGTTCAGTACAATTGATGCAGAGGGCACTTCCGGCCTTGTGCCCGAAACAGTCTCTTCAGCACCGAGAGTTGGTTTGCCTTCTGAAACTCCTGACAACCCGGCTAGCCCCACAGCCCGGGCAGCGAGCCATAATTGATGTCTCGATATGCCTGCGCCTGAATCAAGCATGATCCTGAAAAAATGGACGTTCAGCAATCCATATCGACACCATAAGCAGAATGATGTGGCTTACCGTTGCAAGTGAGCCATATCGTCGTCCAGTTCCACACGTCGACTTCCCTTTATAATCTCTGCAATGTCACGCAAACCCCGGTGAGTAGGAACGTCTATTACCTTAGTATTTGATTCCACCCGAATGTAATTTATGGCCTGAAAGATGTCAAATGACACATACGAATGCGAGCGTTGACATACCTTCGTTAGTGTTTGTTCCACTTCTGAATAGATGCCACGCCAATAGAACCACAGGATCTGTAGCAAATAAACAATCAGCTCCGGAAGGCTGTGGCTTGAATGATATCCTCGCCTTTCCTGTTATATCCTCTTCCAGCGCTCGCTGTTCATCTTCGACCTCTGTTGCCTGGAGTTTCTCTTGGAGTGCCTCTATCTCCCGTACCGTGGAAAGGACATCGGTCTGCCTGCAGTGTCCAGGAGTTGGGCTACTGAATCCCAAAGGATGGTACAAACCATATCGTGGTCAGCGTGGCTTACTTGATTTGTTCGCCTGGGACCAGGACACAGAAAATGGTAGAACTCAATAAGATGAGAAACAAGTACTGACTGCTTGCCCTCGGACGCGTCAAGGAAGGAAGTACAGATGCGTTCGAGTAGCTTTTTGTGATTCGTATCATCCTCAACTCCTTGTAGTTGATGTGGAACGCTTACGCCGACGCCAAGAGTTTGTGATATGGATTGTACCTCGCGTTCCATCTTTCGTTTCTCGCGAGGGGACCACTTCTCGAGTAACAGAGGGGCCACTACCTCACCGTTCTGCCATAGCTTAAGTCAACATTCAAATAGATTCCGTGTTACCGCTGAACTGACGAATGACGGATTGGATAGGTGCACTGGTAAATCATTTTCTATGTCATGATGTAAGTTTCCCGAAGAACATTGCCTTACGACCTGCTGACCTCCTGCCGTTCCCACAGAGCCCTCGCAGCGCAACTGAGTGTCTAGTATCGAACGAAGCCTTTCGAAGAATGTTATCTCGCCAACCTACATTTCGACGATATGAACAGGCTGAGGTATTAACCAATGAACACGTACGAAATTCTTCAGGTAATCCAAGCCGAACATGGCTTGGAAGTCGACTACTCCATTCGTCTTCTGTTCAACGTCCTGCTGTTATCATGAGGGCGTGCTTGTGGGTTTTACACACTTCTCCAACGCACCGCAGAGTTGTGATGAGCCTGAGTTCCTGCGAGGTGGTGCTGCAAATGACGAGATTAGTCAGATATATTCAACACTCGCAGGCGGGATGATAAGAGCAGGCACCAGATTCGCCAAGGTGTAAAAGTGTTCCCTACAGTCCGAGTATAATATCAGCTACATGACGCAACATGTTCTACATATGCAGGAATCACCTAATATTTTTGAATTGTTGCCTTCTCGATGCACAGGACGGTTCTTTACGCCAAGCGAGAGGTTTTTCAATGATGCAGAGGGGGATGAAGGTGCGTTGGCCTGCGGTCCGATTACCGCCTCTCGATGCTGGGTCTGACACTCAAGGTCAAAACAAACCTGGGAACCATGCTCTAAACAAACGCACTACCCCCCATGTCCATCCGTCTTCCTTCACGATCATCTTTGTAAAATTCTGAGCATTCTATGACGGTTGTCACAAGATAGTTTCCCGCAAGGCGGATGGACCAGGCTTTCAGAAGCAGCTCGAATGTCTTGTTGTTAGGAAGGGAGAGACCCTTGGGTTGATGCAGTGCCAGGTTTTCGCCCCAAGAGTGAGATACAACGTCGTGCTGAATCTGCGAGCGACGCAGCACACGTTTAGAGCTGGATACATCAGAGACGACTGAGCGATAAACTGAATCCGTGGGATCGATACCAAATTCCCGCATGTCTTCGAATATGTTGCCGCGACGTTTGAAATTTTCGTCGGAAGAGTACTCACCATAGTCGCCGAGCTGTGTCAGGTTTGCCACTGGTCCAAAGATGTATGAACATTACGACTCACAACAATCTCTTGACCAATGCATTCGTGAAGCCGTGCAGAATACCCGCCCAATTCCAACTCATGCGAACCATAACTTTCTGATGTCCACGGCACCCATGGGTGATCAGCCATCTATAGTTATGTGGATTGTTAGTGGTGAATATTAATATACAGAGGGATGAAAGTACGGACAGGTGTACATTCACGCGGTCCAGTGCAACAACCAGGGCATTGCTCGATGTCAATCATCACGTCGGTGGCGCTCGAAACAATAATTCTTGCATCCCAGATGGATCGAGGAAGATGAACGCCTTTCATAGTGCTACGCAAATAGGACTTCTCGATAGGTGTATCCCACAGGATATCATACGCCTGTTTGGCGAAATATGCCCATGAGGATGACCAGAGCTCCTGATTTGCAGGGTATTCATCACAGACAATGCTTGCCCATGGTCTACCAAGGTAGTATCCCAGTCCAACTGCGAAGCGACATCTGACGTCATTGTTGGCATAGACTAAGACAATGAAAGTGTTTCCCCTGGATGAGAGTGTGACAGTATCGCCGGTGACCTCCCATGGGAAGGTGCCACAACGGGTGAAGCCATGCCACGAAGTGCGCCTGTCATCAAGGCTAATCTTATGGCACTTCTGCTCGGCGTCTTGAGCGTAAGCGAGATAAAGCGACCTGAACTCTGGGCATACGTCGCGAATATTTGCAAGACCCAAACACTTGCCAGAGCTAAGTCCGAGTCCGCGAGATTCCAGGTTGATGGTAATCAGGTTTCCATAACGGTCAAGACATGGCAATATGACCGTGAAGTAACCAGAGATACCGCCACAGGGTAAGATGGGCAACCAGACTTGGATGCCCACGTTGGTGACATTAAATACAGAGAATTGACGGGAGTATGCACCGCGCTCCAACGATCCAAGTTTATCTTCATCCACGCTGACTGGGCCGTTGTGGCGCATGTAGGTCTCTACTTCTCCGAAGAAGTTGGCATCCACTCTTGTGATGTCGTGACAGCCCCGAAAGTAGCTCGGGTCATCTGCTAGGACACCTTGATGCGCCCCAAATTGTCCCTTTGGATTCCAGGCAAATATACTGTGATCCCCAGATACCCGGATGATTTCTAGTTGTAACCGCTGAAACGCTTTCGAGCCTTCCCCATATAACATTGGCATGTTCACGCCAAAAAGGCCCAAAAGTGAGTACGCTCGATCTTCCACACGCGTCGTCTTCCGTCCAGCAGCCCAAGACATGATGTGAGCGACAGGTGGACGTTCCCAGAACTCGGTCCTCATGAAAGCCTCTTTGTCCCTTAAAACGTTCTTTGGAATGCGCGTAATCTCCTCCAAGGTGGATGTCAGGTCTTCTTTAGTGCCAATGGATACCCAGTTTGTGTTGAAGAATTCAAGTTGCGTCGGAGCGATGAGTTCCTGAAGGGTCCAGCCTCGCGAAAACCACTCTGGCCAACCGTTGGACCTCCCAAACCTACTGAAGTCTTGTTCAGTAGGAAAGGCTGGCTCGTCGACATCGTTGAGGTACACGTAGCACTTCTGTGAGTTGCGGTACCATCGATACATTGAATTAATCGCCTCCGAGAGTTCTGCACTGCTCCGCTTGTCAATGCAACACGTATCGATCCACAACCACTTGTAACCGTCTTTCATGGCCTGTTTGCAACTCTTGACGATCTTCTTGTAGCCGTCACGTTGCCTGACTCGTTCCTTCTCCTTTTTTGCCCTCTTCATGAGCCTGACCATTTCTTTATAACTAACCTCGGTTCCCCAGCGATGTGACACTATGGCATAGCTTGTCGTCTTGTCATCAAGTTCCGTGAAGACCTCGGTTTCGTATTCGGCTCGTCGAATGCCTCTGTCTGCGTCAAGCACGACTTGAACGTTCAAAAGCTTCATCTTGCTTGGGTTAACAAGTCAAGGTTGGATCAAAATTACTAGCCATCACACGTACTGCCTAGGTGTCCAAGACGATGGATGGTTCTTCAGCACGGTGAGCTTTACTTATCAGTTTGGCGAGGAGCGGAGGGGGGACTAGGCACAGCGTGATACCCGCTCGTTGCAAGCTTTAAGGAATGGCACATGCGTATCAGCTTGGCCCTGGACCCTACCAGTATTACTCGGCACACACAGAAAGCAAGGCACCATCACTGCTCAGGTCGGCAGGGGCGCTTGCGAAGTACGTAACAATTGCCGAAGAACTTGCTGTAATTCCAAACCAAATGTGACTAAATACCTTTCTGACAAACTACAGAACAAATTATCGGTAAGTATGCAGCGTGAGCGAAGGAGCAGAATTTGGCCCGGGGTCAACTGCGGAGCAAGCCAGTTCTTGTGGTGGCCACGCTGAAGATGCGTGCCAATAGTATATGTATGTGCATGCAGGGGCCTACTGAGTTGACAGATACAATGATGGAATCGGGGTGGCGAGTCATCAGAGAGACAGGGAATGACGGAATTGTGGTCACGACCAGTCAGTGACAGGTTTGAAACAGGTTTAAACCATTTTTTCGCTTCCTGATGCAATCTGGTCCTGTGCAAGGCCTTCGAGGGAAAAGTGGCTCACAATTCCCATTGACCTTGCCAACGAGAAAGTGCTCTGTGGAGGTTCCCTCATTCCAAAACCCCTTCATCAGTCAGGAATCCATAGTGAAAGAGACCATATAGGCCTCTTAGAACAGGAACTGATGCCATTCACCAGGCAAATCTCATTTCTGTCAACTTCTTCATACATCTGCAAAACTACCTGAGGGAGTGAGCAGGTTATACCTGCCTCTGTTTGGAAGTGACTTGTCGTAAGACTTGCTAAGACACTTGTTGGCCAATGAGAGAGCTTGCTCAAGCATGGAAGAGCTGTTAACAGCTGTGTCACATAGCTGTTTCCCAGATGTAGGTCATACCAGTTTGTTTGATGTCAACATAAGAAAGGTTCCTTGTCATACATTCACTTAACTGTCTGACAGACACAGTGGGAACAGCTTACTTTTTTACATGTAGGGAACAACTGCAGATGCATCAGGAAGTGAAAAAATGGTTTAAACCTGTTTAAACCCATCACTGACTGTTTGTGACTGCAATTCTGTCATTCCCTGTCTCTCTAATGTAGACCATAGCACCCAATGTTTGAATTATAGAAAAGGGATGCTGTAAGCAGCCTCAGTAGTGAACAATCTACTAGTATATTAGATATACCTGTAGGCAGCTACAGGGAATCAGTAAGTAACATACTGGTAATGACTGGTAAGCTTACCCTCAGTAATGAACAATCTGCTGAGGGAACAGTGTAATAAACATGTGCACTCTAAAGGATTATGTAAGCAGCCAAACATCGCACCAAAGCAAGTGAAAAGACAGGGGAGAATATATCTCCAACATGAACATCAGTAAACCAGTAGCTGGTCTAAACCTGTCACTGCCCAGTTGTGACTGTAATTCACAAGCATGAACAAAAAATGGTTTTGAAACCTTATGACAAGTCAGAAAACAGTCTATGACCAAGATTTGTCATCCATGACACAATGACAGGATGAGATCCACAGATCTCATTATCTTCTGTATTTTATTTGATAATAAGATTATCACTCATGCCATCCATCTACTCATTTTTCAGATTGACACTGACAAATCAATCAAGAATTGGAGGCAGGCAGAAAGATACAAAATGGATGCTACATCTCATAAGTATAATCATAAGAAAATGGTTTGTATCCTTTGACACCCATGGACCAGCTTGCAGAAGAGCTGGGTCTGGCCTGTGATGCACTCCCTGATGCACTCTCCTCATGCAATGTAGTTCGATGAACAATGGGTATGGCTGTCATGGGGGGGATGACAGTATGTGATGTACTTGTGAGGCAGCTTTCATAAGCTGCAATCTTGTGCATGGGGGGGATATAAACCATATTCAGTCACTTTTTGGGGGAATGTAAGACATTTGCAGGTTTCATTTTCTCCCTAGTCCAGTGTGTCATTTAGCTCATAGAAATATACATAGAGTACTCACAATCTGCATTGATGAAGCCACAGCAGATGGTGATTAACTGCCATGCTGATAGTGGGGTTCTGAGTTGCTTTGAGAAGAGAGTGGTAGTATGCATCATATATGGGTGAATACTTGGCACCTGTGAACACAGCATGTGGCAACATTTCTCTGACATGCTCAGATTCATGTTTGATAGTGTAAAACAACTAACAGCTGTGAGCTTTTGAAAAGTTATTAGTAAATGTACTTACTGCTACAGCAGTTAGGGCACACATCTGCAATGGTGTTGTGTGTATATCCTTGGCAGCTCCAACCTTCATGGGAGTCAGCTCAGCAGTATACCAGAAGTTAATGTGGAAGTCTTTGAGGTGTTGGTTTCTGTACCAATGGACAATTTTCCCCTGAGAAACAATTGTAAATGTCCAAATGGTATGTAGCATAAGTATGACTTACATCTGTGTCATGCTCATGCATGAAAAAGAGGCAAAAGCACTTCTGTCGGTGATATGCATGCATATGTTGTTTTTCCACTGAATAATGGCCTTGTCTGTGAAGAGTCTTGTATCATCATTCATGAAAAACATCTTGGCATAAGGACTGGCCTTTCCAGCCAATTCTGCATGAAAAAGTGTTGGCAATTTCATCAGCTGGTAGTATATTAAATTAGTATAGCTCAAGTGCATTCATGTCAATGATCCTTACCAAGCATTCTATCCCTGTTGTAGGCAAGAGCACTTCTGCAGGGGGGGGATTAAGTACTGTAAGATGCAAGACAAGATATACCATACCTCCTGGTACAATCACTGATGCTTGCAAAAGGATTTCATGTATTGTTGATTTCCATCACCTCCAAGCAGTCTCACCTGGAGACATTACAGGCCAGCCAATCTTGACAACCATCTCATATATCATCAGTAGTTGTGCATGACCAAGTATGTCTTGATCTCTGTCAGAGAACTCACACCAGTTTGAAGGGCCACTGGCTTTCTGGTGAACTTGTGGTCTGCTGTCATCAGAATACACTGACATAAGACCTGACTGAGCGACCAATGTGAGGGAGCTGCTGCAAGATGAATGACATGAAGTATATGTGTGAGGATATAAAGAGTCACCAAATAGCTGGAGATGCTCCTGGGATGGAGCTCTCAGACCTTGGTGACCCTGGTGCTTCTCTAGGACATCAATGTCCTTTCCTTTGGTCTGTCAGATGAATGAGAATTGTAGGCATGAATATATACTACCAATTGGGCTCACCACAATCATTGTGGAAGTGGCCTGCAGCCTGTCATCCACCAGGGTCAATGAATCCTGAGATAGTGCAATTGAGACCTCAGTGGGCAGTCTGGAGGAGTAACCAGATGCAGGCAATCCAGTAAAATACTGTGCATGCTCAGGCTCAAAGGTAGGGAGGCCCACTGCAAAGGATGTCAAAGGCCCTGGGATTCCACTACTGGGGATTGCTTGGGAGAAAGGTCCAAGAGCTGAGACAGGGGGTGGTCAGTTGTATGGGTTGGATTGGAAGGGCAGGACAGGGCTGCCAGTGGGTTCATTTGTACTGGTGGTTGGACATCCATGCCTATGAGCTTGGGAAGGCCTAGTTCGAGAAGCGCATTGCCCTTGAGGCTGAGAACCTTGGGGTGAGCCTTGTCTTTCAGCCAGCAGGATATAGAAGGAAAAGAAAGCATGTATGTGTAGCCATACCAATTCCAACAATGAGAACTAGGATGACTTGGGGAAAAGTGTGGGTTTGCAAGACTTTTATGGTTGGGCCCCTTGATATCAATTGACCTCTTTGAGGAAAACAGGGAACTCACAGATTTTATCTGGCCCCACCCCAAATCCCATTGGGAATGAAAGGACCTTATGGAGGAGATTGATATTTGGATGTGTAGGGTGATTGCAAACAGTGTGATCTAGGATTTTCATTGCTGTGGTTCTCAACATTCTGGAAGGATGGCTGGCATTTCATTTGTTACATATCATGTGTCACACATGACTCAAACTACATGCTAATGTTAGAAATCATATATCATTTATTGCCCAGTCACTTGCCAGTCACATTGTATTGTTGTACATAAGTACAGGGAAAAGGGTGAAATGAAATCAAGATGAATATAAATCTACACATCCAGTGGACCAGGAGAGGCTGAGGTGCTGTGCTTGATGGAGATGCCATCCAAAAATGACTCAGATAACATAGTAGGGACAGGGGACAGCCTGAGAGATGAAAGAGTAGTGATGGTTGTCCTGCTGCTGCTAATGGTTTGTTGCACTTTGCCAACTTGGCAATCTGCAGTCCTAAGCAGCTTAAGGGCTTCTTCATACTCATCATAGGCAATTGTGTGCATAACATTGAGTTTGTGAATCTGCATCAGGTGTAATTTGACTTGTGCAGCAAAGGCCTCACAACTTGCATGGGCAAGCTGTAACATATGAAGGGTGTGAAGATCATCAACCTCTTGATCTCTTTGGCTGATATCTAGTTTGCGAGCATGAAGATTCCAGTGAGGATATTTGCACAAAGTACTCACAGAGGTCAAGATTTTCCTTGCCTTCTTAGATGGGCAAGAGCACTTGTCTGAAGGCAAAGAAAACACAAAGCTGCATTTCTGATGGGCATGACCATTGTTCTTTGGAAAACCATTGGATATAGTGTCATGTTGCACCTTCATTTGGAATGGATGAGTGTGTGAGTTCATAGATGAAGGCAATATAGTTGGAAGGACAACAGAGGAAGAAGAAGGTACTTCAATTGAACTGAGATATTCTGTGGGTGATGACATTGGTGATGAGAGGGGCAAGAGCAGCTGAAACTAAGCTGAAATTGAAGGGAGGGAGGCAGAGAATGGAGCTAAACTGACCCTAACCCTAATGTGCAGGGCATTCTCAGCAGCTGAGCAATGCCATTGACCACCATGCCTTCTATGACCATGGCAGGACTTGCACCACCCCCAATTGTATTATCCTATGACTGCCCTGCAGACCCTCAACTTTTTTGCCCATGCTGTAGCTGTGAATTTCCTGATGTCAATGATGTAATTCTACATCTCTCTAGTTGAAGAAGTTTGTGGGGTTGCAGAGGGGAAACCCAGAGAAGAATCTGTAGGGAACCTCAGTAGTCTGTCAAGCTACTGAGGGACTAGGTAAATTTTACTAGTCTATGGGTGCGCTCTAACAGCTTATGTAAGCGACATGATCATGTGCCTAAGTCCAAGTAAGGACAGGGGTCATTTCACTCCAACACTAGTGACCACCAATGTGGATGTTGGGAAGTAGAAGCTCTTCTGAACCTTGATGACACAGATCCACTACAAGGCAATGACTACAGTGAAGGTGAGGATGCAGCACAGGATGGTATGTGTACAAACCCTGTGTGTACAAACCCAGGGCATTAGAGAAGCTCCTCCTTTTTGCACACAGATCAACCACAAGGCAATGACTATGACACTTTCAATATACCCGACCCATTCAAGGATGAGGAAGGCAACACACTGACCACATTTTTCATGGAGACTGATAATACAAATATTCCCAACCCTTTTGAGGATAATGAAGGCAATGTGCAGACTGTGTTTTTCATAGAGAATGGTAATATCCCCACTAACTGCTCCAGTTTTGTCTCTTCACCACATTGAGTCTCTATGATCAACCATTGCCAGAGGGTCTATCACCCAAATCCACCTGTGAGCTGTGCAGATGACATGAACCTTCTTCATCATATGGAGATGGATGAATATGCTCCTATCTGCAACTCTGAAAATATCTATTTCCCTTTTGCATCAAAAAGCAAATGGGAGCTTGCAGATTGGCTCTTGAGAGGTGCATTATCTCAGAAAGACATTGACACATACTTGTGTCTTGAGTGCTGTGAGTCAAAGTGTGGTTCAGTGGTGAAAACCAACCAAAACCAACACAAAAGACAAAAAGAGTGAGTGGTGGTGTGCCTATGCAGTACCTAGATGGTAGAACCTGTTCTTTGGGAGGGTTTTTGCAAGCTACAACACTCAAAGATGAGTGCTGAGGGTTGGGGGTGCTCCTGATGAAGAAGAAGCAGGAATGTGAGAGAATGTGATAGGGTAGACTGCTGTCAGCCTATAGAAGGATGGATGATGACTTAATTCGAATGTCCTAAGCTGCACTGAGCTCAGGGAGGGCTTGGAGCAGAGTATATTGATGATAGACAAGGATAAGCGAAGTAGACGATAGTTAGACCTTTAATAAAGTCTCAACTATCAAAGCTGCTGAATGAATTACTGAGTGATGATAAAATGCAAGCAAGAGGGGCTCTCTGACATCTTCTTTTTTTGCTATCTAAGTACAGCAATTTATATACAGTACAGAGGTGTTGCCCTTGGAAAACAAGGTGCAAACACTTGGTAAGTGATTGGTAACTGATGAGTAAGGAATGTAAGCAATGGTTAATTGTCTTGGAAAGCATTGGTAAGCACTGGTAAGGATTGGCAAGCCAAAAAGTGAAGAATCACTAAGCAAAGTCAAAAGATTGGTAATGTATTGGCAATAGGTGAGTCAAAGACAGTCAGAATGTCAAAGTATGAGTCAAGTAATGTCAGGAACTGGGAAAGTGCACTGGAATTGCATTAGGGGGAGGCTGTGCATGTCACATCTTGAAGAGATCACTTCTAGGCCAAGGTGGGATGACAGAGAGGCAGTGCTGATCTAATGCCAATATAGTACATCCAAAAGTGGACAGGGTGAGTCAGATGTCAACAGGGGTCAAGCTTTGGGGGTCTGTGGGGTGACAGGAGCATAGGGGATTGCAACTTTCCCCCCCAAACCATCCTCTCAGGGAAGCAAATAAAAACTTCATGAATGAGGCTCTGTTGGAAGAGAGGATGAAGGGGGAGTGTCTTCTGCTGTATCTTGCAACAAGGAGGCAAGATGTGCATCATACTCAGTCATGGATGTGATCAGGGAGAGTGGGGAACAGTAGATTATACTGTAGCTGTCACAATCTTGGAAGAATGATGGATGAGACTGGTATGAAGACATTGCAGGGAGCAGGGAGGAAGGATCCATATGCTTCTTGGACTGGAGAGACTGAAATGACCACATAAGACCTTTCCAAGCAAATGACAGACCTGAGGTGACCAAAGAATGTCCTCCTAGAGGTCATACTGACAAAAAGAACATGCTGTCCAAGCTGGATGGGCTGAGAGGGCACAGATGAGGGTGGGATGTACCAGGATGCTTCAGGACAGAACCTGGTAGGAACTCCTGGTAGATATATGTAGCCATGGTCCCTAGCAAAGGGGACAAGCAAAATGATTGATGTAGAGGCAGCCATATCAGAAGAATTTAGTGAAATGAGTGTCTTTTGGAGGGAGTGCTGTAGAAACATGTGGAGTGTGCAAATCCTTTCCAATTTTGGAAAGGTAAGATTGTGTGGCTGAGCACTACAAGCGAGTGTGGGAATGGTCTCAATATCTGCAGAAATGGCAGAGATATGTTGAGAACCTGGAATGCTGTACACAGGCACTTAAGACTTTTAGCCAGCACTTAACCCACTCCCTTTCTTTTTCTCTGGCACTGATGACCTGTTCTTGTGTGAGGGATGACTGCCAACATTCCTGGCTGTCCTTCTTCGCATGAGGGCTATGGTCTTCATCTCCATTCATCAGCTGTATCCACAGTCCACCTCACCAAACACCTTTAGTGTGTGACAGCAGATAAAAGCATCTGTGCCATGTGCATGCAGTCACCCCAATTCCAGTCACATGAAGCTTTCCCTGGGCTGCATTTGCCTGACTGATAGCTCTGTGGTTGTTGCAGGTGGATTTCTGTGCCTGAGCTCAGATCATGTTTTGCATGGGTTGAATGAATTCATACCTCCACAATATGTGGAGTGGCCTTCAAATAGTCTGCATAGTGTGGATTGGTCACCATATAACCTAGTCCATCCATCAACCACACCTGATCTTTGGATTTCCACTCATGCATGTGTTCTGCTTTAAAGTTTCCATCCATTAATACTGTGTGGGTGAACTGCCAGCTGGAGAAGGTCAGCATATGAGGATTGCATTATTGGAGCTGCTTACTGGTCCAAATCCTCATCAGTATCAACATCTATTCCAGGCTGGGGGCATGCTGTGCAAAATAATGCCAGTCTGCCTTTCTCTGCTGACCTGGTTGTCCCATGGAATCCATTCCATTTCAGTAGCTTGAGGTATTGCCATTTCTGCACAACCTGTAGAAGCTCACAGTATCTATCCTGATTGACCCTTCAGACATTCCAACACTTGGAACCAAAATACCAAATCTTGCTGGAACGAGATGTGGAAACACACTGGATGTGATCCAATGCAACTTGCTGTAATAGTTCATGCTGGATGTTCCACATTCCAGGTTGTCCCTCAGGAAGTCATCCAGAACCGTGAATGTGAATGTGGTGCTTGGCTTCTCAAATGTTGAGGGAAATAGTTTGGCTCTGAGTAACTGTATGTATCAGGTTTCTGCAGTCTCACATTCACACCAATTCACTACAATGAAATGAACACCTGTGACATCCACAATGGTGAGATATCTTGACCCCACTGGAGGATGGAGGTGCTTTGGGTTTTCTTTGATATCTTCCACATCTTCCCATTCTTGATTATCCATGGGCAGAGGTTCACCTGCTGCTTGCTGGGCTTGTGCAATTGCATGGGGACAGGGTGCTCTGCCATGTCCTAGGTGCAACTGAACACCAGTCTGTGGGTCTTGATGTGAATGTAATTCTGGGCAACCAACTGATCTCTCACCATGTGGAGGGCAGATTCCTTGTAGAAGTCCCCTGTGCACTGTTGCATCCTGTGGACAGGCAGGCTCTCATGACTCTTCTGGCAACATTCTGTGCAGAATAGGGGCTGATGCAAGCAATCTGGACATCTGTATACCCTGTTGTTGCCACACCAGGTGCAGTTCCTTGGCTCTGGGGAGGCTTCCAGCTCCAGGAGTATCTTCAAGAACTCCCCCTTCCATGGAACCCATTTGCAGATGTAATCATTCTGCATCTGACACACCATGTGAGGTCCACTTTTGGGTTGGTGAACTGCTGCATACCTTTTTCCACAGTAACATCAGTTGCTGGACCAGTGGGCTCATGCTTTCATGTCCATTGAAGGCTGAATCTGCCCATGCATCAAAGTACTTGTGGGAGTGAGACCTTGAATGCCTGGATGGTGAGGATCAGGGAGAGTGGACAGGGGTTGTTGGATCTGGCTGTTTGATTGTGACTTCTACCAATTGTGATCTATATCTACCTCCAGTTTTCCAAGTCTTGACTTCCAGCTGCTTCACCCAATGGCCCAGGGTAGGACCAATCATTCTCATACCCTTTTGAGTGCTTCCCTTGGCCATCTGGCAGTTGCTGATTTCACAGTATGAGGTCAGTTGTTAGAAATGCTACCACTAGTGCAAGTCACTTTATCATTTAGCTCTATCGATGTCAGTACCTTAACACATGTCAGGGCATAAATACAAATGCAACTACACTGGCCTTGCACAATGCATGGTGCTGCCTTCTTATTACTGCTCAATCCCTGCCCACACATTCCCTTCCTGCTGCAACATTACCTGGGTGCTTTGCCTGGATTATGATGGTGAATTTGGATGCTATATTAGCTGATGAAGGTGAAACGAGGTGTTTGGTATCAATATAAGTGTGGATATGATTGGGCAAGCCAACTGACAGCCCGGATGCAAACCAGAGCTAATCTGCCTTTGGGCAGGATCCTGTCAAAGAGATCAGCCTGCTTGGATATTTCAGTCGCTTCATGGAGGTCCAAACAAATTCCTTGGCATGACCACACTAGTACTGAAATGCATTGAGACCAAACAAGGGCACAAAAAAACCTAGTAGCCAACCATCTATTATACACCATTATACATCATACCACATCATACTCCACAGAGTCCCAGTATGAATCAGATGCCTGGGATCAGATGGAAAGAGATGATGCTGATGGTGAGTGAGACATAGAACCATCAGATGTGGGGGAAAGGGAGGAAGAAAGGTTTGAAGTGGAAGAGTTGGAGATCCTTGGGTGCTGACACCAGGAATGGAGGCAAGCAGGGAAGAAGAAGAAGCCTGCAGTTCTGCTATCCATATGGGAGGATATGCAGTGATTGGACAGGAACAAGGAGTTGAGAGGGAGCAAAGTCCAGACCAAGTGCAAGGTATGCTCTAAAAGTTCTGATTCAGAATTCAAAGCACCCTTCTAGCTAATACAAGATTGGTTGAAAAAGCCCCTCCATTCAAAGAAGCCCCACATTACCCTTAGATCCAGTTACAAATACTCTGTGCAGGCAGTGGTTTGTGAATTGTACCAAGAGCAAATACAGGAGAAGCTTGCAAAAATGAAAGTAGAAGGTGATACCCATGGAAGCAAGCAGATCCAACAGTATCAGAATGCATTGATGGCTTTTATTCAGGATGACCTGATGGAGGAACAATTGGCTGCAGCTGAAGATATAGCAGAATGGTGGAATGGGCAGGAAGGCCCCACACCAGAGACAAAAGCAAGGTGTGATTGTATGAGGTCAACTTCCCAGTCTTCAATTTATCCTGGTTCCCAGGATTGCAGCCAAGTATGGGTACAAGTATGTCTGAAACTTTGCAATGGAGATGTGGAGGTATTGTGGAATGTGCATAGTGTGTATGGCTGGGTGGAAAAATGAGGAGGGAACTATACAGGCATGCACATGAGTCCACCATATTCTCCTCTAGGCCTACTGACAGGCCCATCCTTATGCTGGGACAGGGGCATATCTTACTAGATGGGCCCATCTATGTGTTGTTATGCTGTCAATGATATTACTGACAGGCCCATCCTTATGTTGCAACAGGCATACATCTTGCTATGGACAGGCCCATCTATATGTTGTGACAGGGGTATATTATCCCAAAGATGGGCCCTTCCATATGTTGCCAACTCTGTAATCTATCATAGAGGGGCTCCTCTTTATGTTGTGACCCTATAAAGCATATGATGGGCAGGCCCATCCTGATATTGTGACTGGGGCACACCCTACCATTGACAGGCTTGTCCATGTCTTACAGTAGCTCAGCATATTTACTTGGTCATGGGCCCATCTATATGTTGCAGCATCCTTACCCTCCACAGGCCCTCCCATATGTTGTGGAATTGCACTTATGGGCCTGTACATATGTTGCTCTCACTATAGGCCCTCAGGCCTGTCCATGTGTCATGGCTAATCTATTTAGATGGGCCTGTTGCAGGGTCTATATAAGTGTTGGCATTTTGGCATGCAGGCTACCTATATGTTGTGACTAAATGGACTACATGGGGTCAATGACAGTGTTGATAATGAGTTCTACTGAGTTTCTTTGCAGGTTACCTTGTGGCTCAGGTGCAAGCAATCTTGCAGCCCATCTGTGACCTCATGTTCCCCCCCCCCTGATTTATGTCAAGTTCTTCAAGTTCTCCAACCTGCACTACTGTGTTGTTGCTCCTTCCCCAAAAATAGAAATGTTCCTTGTTCAGCAACACTTCTGATCTGATGGCCAGCCACTTGGTGATATCATTCCTCTTGACAGCATATGTCAGGTCATTCAGATCATCCCAAAGTTTGGTGTCAAGGCCCCTAGGGGGATGACATGTGACAACTGTCTGGATGTGGAGTGTGAGTTCTACATCAATAGTTTTGTGGACAAAGAGACCTTTCATGCCATCCTGAGCTACCAGTGATAGTAGATCCTCTGTTCTCTTCTTCACAAGTGTTTCTGTCCATGATGCTATCCTATGTGCAATCAATACCAGACTGTTATTGATAAGATCTGAGGACTTTATTGGACTTGTCGACTGCATCATAGTATGATAAGTGCATGCCATAATAGATAAACCCTTTTTGGAGACATTGGCTAACACAAGATTATGCTGAGGCCAATATCTCCCTAATGGAGCTATACATGGTTTTTGGCTGGTAGAATCCAGTCAAAGCTGGTTGCTCGGCAACACAATGGTGTTTTCTGGTTTCGTCGGCTACTGGTTCACTGATGAACAAGAGGATTGAGTTCCTAGAGGCATCAGATGCATGCGATGGGTGGCACCATGTATGACTAATGCACGGAACGCTTTCAAGTAAGCGGACACAAGAGCAGACATCCCTGATTAAGGAAGGTCCGATCTTGTGCATGATGGGTCATGCGAACGCTGCGTGAACTAGTAAGGCGGGTCACCGCTATAAAGAATCTTCCCTCAGGCAATTTGGAGTTGGTAAAGCCCTTGGTGTCGCCATTTCGGCGTCACAGTCTCTCAATGACGGAGATGACTTGCTACTCATGCGAAGTTCGTCGACAACCAATCTACAGTGGGGTATAGCGGTTTGTACATGTACTCGATATGCATTTACGGTATGACAACAAAGACGCACGCTTTCGGCCTTCGAGCTCAGTTGACATCGCATGAGGCACTGTGGTCCCCATCGACGTCGCCGTCCTCGTCTACAGGTTGAACCTGCGTAGGGAAAGTCGAAATCTCCTCTTGTTAGCGTCTAGTGCAGTTGAAGTGGAGGGCGCTTCCGGGCTTATGCTCGAAACATTCTCTTGAGCACCGAGAATAGGGTTACCTCCCGGAAGTCCTGACAACCCGGCTAACCCCGCAGGCCGGCTGGCAAGCCATAACTGATGTCTCGATATGCCTGCGCCTGCATCAAGCATGATCCTAGAGCAATGGATGTTCAGTAACTCGTGTCGACCCCATAGGCTGAATGGCGTGGCTTACCGCTGCAAGTGAGCCATATCGTCGTCCAGCTCCATCCGTCGGCTTTCCTTTATAATCTCCGCAATGTCACCTAAATCCCGGTGAGTAGGAACGTCCGATATCATCCTAGTACTCGTTCCTTCCCGAGTGAAATTCTTGACCTGAAAGATGTCAAATGACACATACAAACACGAGCGATGGCTTACCTTGGCCAGTATTTGGTCCACTTCTGAACGGATGCCACGCCAATAGAACCACAGAATCTATAACAAACAATTAGCTCCAAAAAGCGACGGCTTGAATGGTATCCTCGCCTTTCCTGTGATATCCTCTTCCAGCGCTCGGTGTTCATCTTCGTCTTCTGTTGCTTGGAGTTTTTCTTGAAGTACCTCTATCTCCCGCACCGTAGAAAGGACATTAACCTGTGTGTAGTGTCCAGGAGTTGGGCTACTTGGCATCAAAGGATACTACTAACCACATCGTGGTCAGTGTGGCCTACTTGGTCTGTTCGCCTGGGACCACGACACAGGGCATGGTAGAATGCGGAAACAATGAGAAGAGGAACAAGTACTCACTGCTTGCCCTTGGACGTATCAAGGAAGGAAGTACAGATGTGATCAAGTAGCTATTTCTGATTAGTATCGGCCTCGACTCCTTGTAGCTGACGTACAACACTTACCCCGACGCTGAGAGTTTGTGATATGGATTGTACCACACGCCGCGTCTTTCGTTTCTCGCCAGAGGACCACTTGCCGAATAACAGAGGGGCCACTACCACAGGGTTCTGCTATGGCTCAAGTCAACATTCAAATAGATTCCGTGTTACCGCCGAACTGACAGATGACGGATTGAAAAGGTGCGCTGGTAAATTATTTGCTATGCTGTGGCGTAAGATTGCCGACGAACACCCCTGGTATTACGACGCACTGACCGCACAACTGGACTTCTATTATCGAACGGAGCCTTTCGAAAAACGTTATCTCGCCAACCTACATTGCAATAATATGAACAGACTGAGCTATGAATCAATGAGCACGTACGAAGTTCTTCAGGTGATCTAAACCGAACGTGGCCGGGAAGTCGACTATTCCATTTGCCTTCTGTTGAGTGTCCTGCTGTTATCATGAGGGGGTGCTTGTGAGTTTCACACGGTTGAGTCCAACATACCGCGGACTTGTGACGAGCCTGGGATACGAAATTTTTCAGGCAACCTAAACCGAGCGTGGCAGAGAAGTCGACTACTTTCGTCTTCTATTGGCCGTGCTGTCATCATGAGGGCATGCTTGTGGCTACACATTTGTCCAACGCACCGCGGAGTTGTGATGGGCCTAGACTCCGGCAAGGTGGTGCTGCAGACAATTATTCAGACATATTTAACGCTCGCAAACAGGGTGATAGAAGGTACCAGATTTGCCAAGGCGTAAAAGTGTTCCCTACAGTCCAAACACAGTATCAGCTATGTGATGCAACATGGTCTACTTATGAAGGAATCACCTAATATGTTTGAATTGTTGCCTTCGCAATGCACAAGCTGGTTCTTTACGCCAAGCTAGTGGTTTTTCAATGATGCAAAGGGGGATGAAGGTGCGTGGGTCTGCAGACTGATCGCCGCACCTCGATGCTGGGTCTGACACTCAAGGTCAAAACAAACCTAAGAACCATGCTTGAATAAACTCATCACCTTCCACGTCCACCCGTCTTCCCTCACGATCATCTCTGTAGAACTCTGAACATTCTATGACCGTTGTCACGAGACGGTTTCCCGCAAAACGGGTGGCCCAGGTTTTCAGCAGCAGCTCGAACTTTTGGTCGTTGGGAAGTGAGAGAGCCTTGGGTTGATACAATGCCAGGTTTACTCCCCAGGAGTGAGATACCACAACGACGTCGTGTTGAGTCTCCGAATGACGTCGCACACGTTTGGAGCTGGATACACGAGAGACAATAGGGCGATAAATGGAATCCGTGGGATCGATAACAAGATCTTCGAATATGTTGCCGCGACGTTTGAAGTTGTCGTTGGAAGAGTAGTCGCCATAGTCACCCAGCTGTTTGTGTCAGGTTCGCCACTGGTCCAAAGATACATGAACATTACGGCTCACTGCAACCCCTTGACTAATACATTCGTGAAGCCGTGCAGATTGCCCACCCAATTCCAACTCATGTGAACCATAACTTTGTGATGTCCACGGTACCCATGGGTGGTCGGCCAACTATAGTTATGTGAATGGTTAGATCCGAACACTAAGTAACAGACAGGATGAAAGTACTGACAGGTGTGCATTCACGTGGCCCAGTGCAACAACCAGGGCATTGCTCGATGTCAATCATCACGTCGGTGGCGCTTGAAACAATAATCCTTGCATCCCAGATGGATCGGGGAAGATGAACGCCTTTCATAGTGCTACGCAAATAGGACTTCTCGATCGGTGCATTCCATAGAATATCATATACTTGTTGAGCAAAGTGTGCCCCCGAAGATGACCAGAACTCCTGATTTGCAGGGTATTCATCACAGACAATGCTTGCCCATGGTCTACCAAGGTAGTATCCCAGTCCAACTGCGAAGCGACATCTGACGTCATTGTTGGCATAGACTAAGACAATGAAAGTGTTTCCCCTGGATGAGAGTGTGACAGTATCGCCGGTGACCTCCCATGGGAAGGTGCCACAACGGGTGAAGCCATGCCACGAAGTGCGCCTGTCATCAAGGCTAATCTTATGGCACTTCTGCTCGGCGTCTTGAGCGTAAGCGAGATAAAGCGACCTAAACTCTGGGCATACGTCGCGAATATTTGCAAGACCCAAACACTTGCCAGAGCTAAGTCCGAGTCCGCGAGATTCCAGGTTGATGGTAATCAGGTTTCCATAACGGTCAAGACATGGCAATATGACCGTGAAGTAACCAGAGATACCGCCACAGGGTAAGATGGGCAACCAGACTTGGATGCCCACGTTGGTGACATTAAATACAGAGAATTGACGGGAGTATGCACCGCGCTCCAACGATCCAAGTTTATCTTCATCCACGCTGACTGGGCCGTTGTGGCGCATGTAGGTCTCTACTTCTCCGAAGAAGTTGGCGTCCACTCTTGTGATGTCGTGACAGCCCCGAAAGTAGCTCGGGTCATCTGCTAGGACACCTTGATGCGCCCCAAATTGTCCCTTTGGATTCCAGGCAAATATACTGTGATCCCCAGATACCCGGATGATTTCTAGTTGTAACCGCTGAAACGCTTTCGAGCCTTCCCCATATAACATTGGCATGTTCACGCCAAAAAGGCCCAAAAGTGAGTACGCTCGATCTTCCACACGCGTCGTCTTCCGTCCAGCAGCCCAAGACATGATATGAGCGACAGGTGGACGTTCCCAGAACTCGGTCTTCATGAAAGCCTCTTTGTCCCTTAAAACGTTCTTTGGAATGCGCGTAATCTCCTCCAAGGTGGATGTCAGGTCTTCTTTAGTGCCAATGGATACCCAGTTTGTGTTGAAGAATTCAAGTTGCGTCGGAGCGATGAGTTCCTGAAGGGTCCAGCCTCGCGAAAACCACTCTGGCCAACCGTTGGACCTCCCAAACCTATTGAAGTCTTGTTCAGTAGGAAGGGCTGGCTCGTCGACATCGTTGAGGTACACGTAGCACTTCTGTGAGTTGCGGCACCATCGATACATTGAATTGATCGCCTCCGAGAGTTCTGCACTGCTCCGCTTGTCAATGCAACACGTATCGATCCACAACCACCTGTAACCGTCTTTCATGGCCTGTTTGCAACTCTCGACGATCTTCTTGTAGCCGCCGCGCTGCCCAACTTGTTCCCTCTCTTGTTCTTCCATCCTCATGAGCCTGATCATCTCTTTATAACTCACCTCTGCTCCCCAGCGATGTGACAATATGACATAACTTGTCGTCTTGTCATCAAGCTCCGTGAAGACCTCGGTCTCGTATCCGGCCCGTTGAATGCCATTGTCTACGTCAAGCACGACTTGAACGTTCAAAAACTTCATTTTCCTTGGGCTAACAAGTCAAGGTTGGATCAAAATTACTGGCCATCACACATACTGTCTAGGATATCCAGGAAGATGGGTGGTTCTTCAGCACGGTGAGCTTTACTTATCAGTTTGGCGAGGAGCGGAGGGGGGACTAGGCACAGTGTGATACCTGCTCGTTGCAAGCTTTAAGGAATGGCACATGCGTATCAGCTTGGCCCTCGACCCTAAACTCTAGTGATACTCGGCAGACAGAAAGTAAGGCACCATCACTGCTCGGATCGGTAGGGGCGCTTGGGAGGTTTTAACTCTCCTCTGGATGCAGGCCACGCTCTGTGTCGATACGTAACAGCCGCCAAAGTATGTACTCAATTCCAAACCAAATGTGACTAAAGACTTTTTCTGACAGGTTACAGCACAGTTGGTAAGCCGCAGGACTGAAGGAGCAGAACTTGGTCTAGGGTCAACTGCGGAGCCAGCCGGTTCCCGTGGTGGCCACGCTGAACATGCCATCTGAAAGTATATGATATGCACCCATGTGTGCGTACGAGGTCTCATAACCCTGGAATTGGGCGGTAATCTAGTCCCGTGTAGGGCGCTCGAGGGAAACGTGACCCACTGTCGCCATCGACCTTCCCGCCGACGTGAAAACGAACATACATTGGTCAGAGCAGGAACCGACGCTGCTCGCTGGACGAGCCCCATATTGGCCGACTCCTCGTAGGCTGTACCAGCTTGCTTGATGTAAACTTAAGAACCCAAGGTTCCTCGATCCACTTCGCTATAGAGACGCGGTAGCAGAAGCTGACATTTCCACATGTAGGAAACCACAGCAGGTGTGGTCCATAGCACCGAATGTTCGAATAGGAGGGTTGCAAGCAACAGAGTGTCAAATGCATGCAACGGGTGGCACTCCGTGGGACTCATACATGGAACATTTTCAAGTGAACGGACATCGCCAAGTTCCGATAATCGACGCGGCTGGTTTATAAAACGTGTGCTCAACTACTCAGTACCTATCTGGGCTGCAGCCAATTCTGTCCTCGGATTTTCACAATAGTGCTCCATCTGACTGGTACGCACATACGGTCTTCTTGATACCAGGATTGTCAAACGAATTTTTCAATCAATTCGACCATGTCACTTCCCAGCTATTCACAACTTCGCTGCCCTCAGTGCATTGACACCAGTATACATGGGACGTCGGGTTCCCTATCCACCTTCTGCCTCTTGATACCGCCAGTCGCTCTATGTCACCTATCTCCCACCAGACAGCGACGATCCTGGTGACTGTTCCTTTCCAACGTTGTGAGCCGCTTGGGATCCGTTTTGCTGACATGTGCACATGTGAATCGAAACACGAGGGATGAACGTGCTTGTGTTCAAATACTCTGTTCCCACCTAAAAACTATCTGCTTCACGGAAGTAAGTACCCATCGTCCATGGTATCCTGTCCGCAGAGACCGTTCGTTTAGGTATTTCCAGCGGGAATGGATGCGGTTCTGGTCGCGCTGATGTCGGCATTTGCGGATGCGTCCGCCCGCCTCGGATGATACACTTAACTACACTTTGGACCAGTCCAATTTGTTGACTACTGGCTGTAACTGCCTGTGCGCTGAGTGAGTAGACTGTGAACAGTCCTTCCGGCGCGGTCTTGGAATCAAACAACGTGAGCATGCATTGTGATACGGGATTGCAGTTTCTGAAGGTATTGCAGAAGTCTGGAGTGAGTGTGATCGTTTGGAGTTCCCCAGGTTCGCGAAGTATCATGCATGCAAACGCTTCCTCTGCGTTTTTGCTCGCAATGTCCGCGACCACAAGTCTGTTCTTAAGAAAACGCAATCCAAGGCCCTCTTTAACTAGAACTTGTAATCGCCTTTTCCAGCTTTTGACCGGTGCCCTCCAGGGAAACTGAAACCTCCGGTGGATTCATGGGGCGCTGTCTCGGTGGGTCCCTGATTCACCAACGGTGAAGTTGGTTCTCATAGATTGACTTGCTGTGCTGGATTTCCGTGGAGGGTGCCTTTGATCATCGATAACTGTCAATTAGCTCTGGGAGAGGGGGCGGCGAGCGGCGACACTACAATCCCTCCGCATGCGATAGTCTACGAAACAAGTGCGAAGTGCTAGGTAAAGCTCCTGTTTCGAATACACATTTGAGTTCGGCAACTGTAGGACCTCCTCAGAGAGCTCGCCTCTTGCTCTTATAGTCCGAGGGCGGTCTTGAGGTTGCGGCTGCCTATTATATGCCAACGCATTGGTTGTGCCCGAGCTAAAATGCACCAGTTGCACATCAGATTCTGTGGAGACCATGCAGTCAATAGGGCATCACGAGTAGAGAAACCATGCGAGAGTACTCAAATAACATTTATTAAATCCTTCCCGTATTGCATGTGCCAGACAAGCGCCAGATGTGCTGGATACGTCGTCAGTTCAGGAAGCGAGTGCTCAATACCTTGTGATAAAGGACTGTCAGAACAACACCATCAATTCGCAGGACCTTAATATGTTAGAAGCTAGTTGGCCCGCGTAAACTTCACTCATGCAAGCGCAATTTATACTACAAATCATCCTAGAACATTGGCAGTGTCAGGAGGCGGACACCCCACCCCTCAAAAATACAGCTGCAACCACGCAGTGCTGTTAATGAACGACCCCTCCTTGCCGGCGAATTGCTGGGGTTCCAACATATCTCCTCTAACAGAAAACCCATGGGGACACCCAGGCCAGCAGTCGCGTTTATATCCGGGAGCGTATTTGCCGCCGCCAAGGATGGCATCTATTTCTTCTTGCTGGGACACAGAAATTTCGTTGTCTTCGTTTCCCATTTCAAGCAGAAATGGTGCCTTGGCTTTTTGTGCGAAGGTCTAGGCAGAGACCCAGAAGAATGAAAAGGACAATCCGGAAAAAAGAACCAGACGGATTTTATGAACGCACCTCGAAGGTGGTCGGAACCACAACCTGCGAAGGGTGAGCGACAACAATGACGTCCACAACCTGATCACATGCGAGATCAATCGCGTAGCGACCTAAACAGCATGGTTTTTTAGGTGACCCCGAAGTAGCCGTTGAGGGCAGAACATACCACCGAAACAGTATCCGGTCACTGCGAAAGAGGTCACCCCCTGGCCCTTCAACGCTTGTATGACTTTGTCGATAGGGGGCCGGGTAACTTCGGGGGTATGATTCTGGGTCCAAGCCTGGACGTTAAACTTGGGATTCTGGACAGCTACATTGAATGAGTGATTCAGTTTCAAGGACAGTCATGTACGTACGTTGAAAGCATAGGGAGGGGCGGGATCGCCGTGCAAATAGTCCGGGGCAATTGTCTAGAGGTTCTCTATTAGTGAGTGGGCGGAGTTAAATAATGACAAGAGATATAATCACCCAGTAGCCCTTCTTTGCGAAGTCGTCAACGAGCAACTACAGCGTCCCATTAATGTACGCCAAACGATGTAATCGGATGGAATAAGTACTAAGTTGTTCGAAAACTTCACACCGAATATGTCCGTCAAAAGGATCAAGGCCTTCGTGCTGTCGTATTCGCCCGTAGGAGTGCCTATATAGCAAGATACGCCTCCGAGAATCTCAGTTTTGCCTTCATGCTGATCAGAAAAAAGGAATAGCACATCTATTGGTCGAACTAACCCTGGGGAGAACCCAAGTACTGCTTTCCTAGAGCCGAGCATGGTAAGTTTATCGAGAGGTACATGGAAGGCTGCTGGCGAACTTGCCTGCGACACAATCGGAGCAACTCATCTCAACTTTGTGCGTTGACCTGAGATGTGAAATGAATGCTATGCTCACCCTTAAATACCGCTGTGAATTGTAGTGTGTTTGTTCAAATCTAAACCTGTGTCCGAGCCGGTAGCCCGCTAGCAATGTCATATCTAGCTGCTGTTCGTTGGTACCTGGAGCCATATCGAGGCAGAGACTCACTCATCAGGTCGACCTGCGCCAGGTGTTACTATATTCAATGACAATACCAATTTGTCCTACGATTGGACCCAGTGAACGGTGTTCATTTTCTGCTCCGCAGTGTTTTAGGGATAAACAAGTTGCCGGCGAGTTGGATTCCCTAGAAATGTTGTTCAGCGTCAGAGCCGTTACATTTCCAGCACCGGGAATACCTGAAAGCGCAGAGCCCACCTAACAACAACATTTATCGAGACGCACCCTGCCTAACGGTCACGGCTTGATCAAATCATATAGGAACGGTACATACCTACCCCCGCTATCGCAGGCGAAAACCCATTGACACGTGGCCTCCGACTTTCCATCGCCATACCCGTGCATATTCCACAATCTGCTTACCTGATACAGGAATTCCTTTGATTGATCTTGAGACCTAGGATGGTATTTAAATCCACTACGTACCTTTTGAGTGTTAGCTCGGGGAAGCTACACCTTTGAGCGACAGCTTCTGAGAGTTACTCCCTCCAAGATAGAGAGTTCCACACTTTTTTATTACCTACCGTTACTTATGTAATCTTAGTGAGCAAAATCGGCGAATAGCACCCTGCAGGTTTCATCTCTCCGCCTGCAAGGAATGGATCAGGAACGCGTCCATGCGGACATAGCACCAAGAGATAGTCTCCCCACTGGAATGCAGGGAGCGGGTCCGGCCTGCTTGTGGAGTTTTGCCTTATTCCTGTCTTGCTTACCGTACCGCTGGTATCTCAGCATGAGGGCGGAAAGTGGAGTGTTAGTCGGGTGACGTCCTACTCTTATAACCTGACGCAAACGTGGAATACCGGCTTAACCATGATTCCATGTATGGAGCTAGCGCCGGGTCATATCGCACCGATAACAGGTAAATGTATCTTCGAATGCGGCACAGCGCCAACTTGGGGCTCTCCCATTACTATTATTCGTAGCTTCCGCCTGGCGACCTGTGCGTGATTTCACAATCTGTGACTGAACCCCTGCCATAGACTTACTATGGTCCGTGTGCTTATGTAGTCCTCGCTTTTGCTATTTTAGTTGCGCTTTCTGGAAACATAGCCTCCCACAGCGTGCAGACGCCGGAGGCTGATTATCTGCCACCATCACATTATTCGTTTATCACTGATCTAAATTCTTCATGCCGAGGGACTTGCCCACCCGCGTAGAGAGTCTGTTTCAGTCCATTCTTATCACGCTGGTCGAGGGGAGACAAGGGCGACTTTCTCCAGCTGAAAGGAGCGATACATTTCTGTCACGGGTTTCAAGGTGAGGACCGTCGTACCCATGATTGAGATGGAAATTTGAGAACATCGTCCAAATCGATGAAAGTCAGTAGTATTCTACAGTGAACTTACATGGACGCCAGCCAAAATGTCAATACAGCGACGAGAGTCCAAGAGAGGCAAGATTACGACAACGAGTACTTGTGTTGGTTCTGGTGCGGTTTGTGCTTTTGAAACAGCGCTCCAGAACTGGTATTCCGGATCACCTGTGAGTTACCTTGTCGAAACTCATCCTAGTAGAACATACCTGGAATGACCAACTGGAATAGGCTCATCCAGTCCGACTTCCCATCTTTGCCACAACGTACTCCCTGCCCACCATCTTGATGATAGCTCGTCTGCCTACATCTCTCATGTCGATGTAGACAGCAACAATGTTCTTGGTAGTCCCAGCCACCAACCCTGCACTGCGAGCTGCTTCAGCTCCGTACCTGTGGTGCACACATTGTATCAGCGGCCATATCGTAACAAATGACAAGTGTCAAGATGCGAAAGATAGGCGTACTGGTGTTCGACGATGCGTGTGAGATTATCCCCACCGACGGAAACAATCTGCTTGAGGGAAGAATCCATCGTCGATAGTATCATATCCACCGAGAGTAGCAAACGTTTGGGCATCCCCAGAGGCGGGGGATTAGATGACTCTTTGGGAGTAAACATGCCTGGAACGGGTGGTTGTGGCGATGGCGTCCTCGAATATCTTGGCGGAAGGTCTTTCCTGGGAGGGAGAGGTGGTTTGGTACTTTCTCCGCTGTACCGTGGTCGGGGGGACGACGGCGACGGCATGCGAGGAGGTAGAGGCGGCTTCAACGAGTTCGCGGCGGTTCCTGAGGATGACGGTCCCAGCGGGGCCGGTATTAAAACTGGCGCGGGTTTCTGCTTCCCTCTGACCATACGCTTCACCATACTCTGGATCAACCCAACTGTCTCGCTGCTGACCGTCGCAGCTTGAGCACTGAGTGAGTGAACAGTTGACAATCCCTTCTGTGTGTTCTCAGAAGTGAAGAACATGAGCACGCGTTGAGATGCGAGACTGGAATCATCATTTGCTAAGGGGACTGGAGAGTGAGGTTTGCTGCGGTCGATGTAGTAGTCTGAAGCAGAGGTAATTGTCGTCAAGATCAGTCTCGTAGTCCCAGAGATAGCACGGCTAGAGGGCAAGCTCAGACGTTTCAAGATGAGAAACAAATGCTTTGACACTTGCCTAACGAACGTCGCCGAGCTGGTGATCCAATCTCGCTCTTCAGGAGGTACCACGCGCGCGAAACCTTCCTCTGCATCTCCATCAATAATCTCGATGACCACAGGAGCATTATCGGCGTAAGGAAGGACCAACGCAGGATCCTCCTTTATGTGGAACTTGTGGTCAAGTTCTCCGACTACCCGACCGGTATCCTCGTCTACGAAGAACACGCGACCTCTGGCAGATTCATCGGACACTGTTCCCACTTGTACCTGACCTACCCGCATCGGAGTCTGTTCCTGGACATCTGCGTACTGTGAGAGAATTTCGTGCAAGGTTTCTTGGTCCTCGATAGCCTGCGTGTCGTTCTGCGAAGGGGTAGGAAGCAGTAACATTGCTGTCCTGCCATCTGCGGTGCCAAACATATACGAACTCCCGTCATGTCTCGAAGTGACCTTTACTGGTCTGGACGGATCAATCGGTGTATCATATACACCTACACGAAGTACCAGATAGAACTCTTGATTCGATTGGGCATCGCTGGCCTTTCCGCCCTCAGCAATGGGGACATTAACACTGTTGAGCTCGAGTACGCCACATTGAGATCGACCATCCACCTCGAGGGTTGCTGACGAGAACTTGAGAAGGGTAAAAGCTTGGAATGACATCCCTTGCAATCCCGATTCTGCTGTATGTACACTTGTCCATCGCCTGCCGCCCCACTGAAATTCGGCACAGCCATTAAATAGACCGTCACGTGTTCCAATCAACTCTATTTGTGATGATGTACATATTTGTGTCGCTCCGTCTTGTCGCTGCTTCAGCTTACTGTCACATGTACATAGTAGCAGTGAAGCGTCATGCAATAATATTGGTGCGTCGCCGTTTACATGGCTCCATCTAGAGACCGGCGCACTTAATCTGATCTCGTCGTTGCAGTGTGCACTCGGTATCATCAGATCAAAGATACCGCATATGGGTTTATTAAGTCTGTGTACATAAGGTGTCCGAATTATCGCGGTGATGAGTGCTGAACTGCCTACTGAAAACCACCCTCCAGCTCGACACTTAGCCCTCCATCGTAAGCAGTTTACTCCCTCATAAAGATAGTCTCGAGGAGCTCTGTTGATCATTGGGGTATTGCCTAGCACTCACAAGCAGTTCCCCACAATGGGACGTCTCGTTCATCGATCGAACCAGATTCAACCAGGTCTTATCACCACAGAGACAACAGATGCGAGTACCAGTGGTGGAGCTCAGGAGCCAGGAGAGTGATCCAAGGTGGTTATGATGTTGGATGTATGTGAATGCGACTCCTATTATTGTGGTGATCCTGATGGATCCAACAGACTCAAAAGGAAACCAACAAACCAGTATCAGAATCCATACCAGCTGCAGTTGGCAAGGAGGTCATTGGTGGTAGTGATGACATTGTAGACAGTTTGATGCTAATGCTGGCAAGCAAGCAAGGTGATGCCACTCAACAGGCACCAGTTCTCAGACAGGTTCAACTGGTGCTGGATCACAACAATCCATTCACTCAGCTTGGCCAGTTGGCAGGTGATGTTCCTGGATGGGTTCAACATGTGGCTACAAACTTTGAGAGGATTGATGATTCCAAACTTCGGATTCTCAAAGCTTTTATCATCTTTGTTGTTCTTATCATAAACCTTGTAAGGGCTTCATCATTACATCACTTTCACACTCTGATGTCTGCTTGTAGGTTCACCCTGAAGTCCAGATTGCACTGTGGGTTCTGGCGGCCACTTCTCAAGTACATTCCCTTTTGTTTTGGGTATCCCTCATCTCATCTAATCCTCAATACATAGCTGCTCATCAATCAAGAGAATGCTGGCAGTGAACTGTCTGGCCTGTTCAATATCATCATAAACATGTACAAGTGTCTTATGATACAGGATACCTTCAAGAACATCAATAATGTAAAGGACCTGTATCCCAAGACAGGGGCTATTGTTGGTGGCTATATCAAGTCTCTGAATAGCCTGATGCAACAGTACCAAGGTAGTCACACCCATGATGTACAGGCCAACATGCATCATGTATCTGAAGACCCCAACCTTGAACACACATCTAGCATGGGCCTCACCACAACCAAGAAATACCTCCTGTTGGAACATGTGTCCCCTATGTTTATTTGCTTACAGCATACAAGCTTACATAATAATTCTTTGCACTTAGGCAGTTAGTTTTTCCTTGTGTGCCTCAGTCTTCTTACCACAGAAGCCTGAGACCTTCTTTATAGTCTTAATTTTGGCCTCCTCTTAAGACCTCCAATGTGAAAAGCCCACAAAAGCTAAGCTGTGAGAAAGGTAGCAGGCTCCAATCAAGTTACCAAGGGGTCAAGTTTACCTTGTAGCTTGGAAAAGGCCTTGTGAGGTGAAATGGGAGATGATAGGGAAATAAAGAATTTTGAGGTTTGAAAGAGTGAATGGAGTAAGGATATGTATGTACATACTCATGTCTGGCATGTTGATCCAATGGACATCTGGGATTGCTCTTTGGACAATTTCATGCTGGTTCAGCCTGAAGGACAAATTCAGGAGAAAGAAGGCAAGGAACAGTGGCCAAGGAAGCAAAATGGGAATGAGTCAGTGGCCAGCCATGCACTCCCTGGTATTTATGTCACATACCAGAAAAATATCTAATGCACTAAGCAGATAGCCTACTGATGGCCAGGAAATCCCCTGCCTACTAAACAGTTCCCACTCAGATCTTTGCCTATTGTAATGGGAGGATGCAAGAGTACACTGAGATCTGTTGAACTGTGGATCAGTCCTACAATCACATCAGCACATGCCTCTTGCACTATGAATGTGCCATCCACAATTCCAACAGCTATTTGATGCATCACAATTGTGTTTCCAGACCTGCATGGCATTTAGATGACCTTTGTCTGCCAGTCTGTACATCTTACAAGTCAATCTTTATGTCTCTGTTTATGTCAACAGGAATAGGTTGTGAAACAGTAGATGGTGGTGCTGATTTAGACAGGAAGGCTGGCAAACAAATGGTACATTATTTTACAACCAATTCAAATTTGAGAAAGATGCACCAAAAGTTCTGTCATGATTACCCTCATAGAGGGCCATGCTTAGAGTGTCCCACTGTGCATCTTTACTCATGACCAGAATGTCTAGCTTCCCATCATGTGTGAAGTTGCCAAGGACAATGTTAAAAATGGAGGTTGGGTGTTGGATTGACAAAACTTTCTTGAATAGACAATCATCTGCAGAGATTCTTAAAACTGATTTGCAGGTCATTCCAGGGGCAAACAGATAGTTCTTGCCAATTTGACTGAGAGACAGTGCACCCAGACCTTGCATGAGATCTCATATAAACTAGATCACTGGACCACACTTACAACTGAAGTCATCAAATGCAATTATGCATCTGCCATTGTAAATGAACTCTTTGAGAATCATTTGGTTGAGAATGGCCACAAGTATCAACAGGAGCAGTGCTGGTGCAGTTGGATTGGCACAGCCATTGATGAAGCTGCTTCTCTTGTCATCACATAGTAGAGTCAATGGCATGTTTGTGACATTCATGTTGTTACTTCCAACTGCAATGACATGGTAGCACTACTCCCAAATGATGACATGTTCACACTCTGATCCCATTAGTGGTGTCTTGCTTGACCATCTATGCCTAGGTTTGTGCAAAGCACCAGAGCAACTTGTGCTGAAGGGCTTCATCACAAATCAGTAGGTGAGTCTCACAGCTGTAGTCACATTTCACTCACCAAAATGAGAACCACTAAGCAACAAACACTATTAAGCACTACGCTCATTAGCCATGGACATACACCAAACACCAAAGTGGCCTACTAATCACCTTAAGGAAGAATGTATCACAAATGAGGTTGTTTTGTATGAACAATGGTGTCCTCTTGGCTTGTGCTCCTGTCATCTGTGCCAGAATATTGAGCATTCCCTGACACCACAAAAACAGAAAGTCTCACATCTTCATTCATATCCATAAGTGTTACACCCCTAGTGTCCCTGACAGCCTCTGAACTTGTGGAGTAGTCCAACACTCTGTCTGCCACACTAGTCCTGATCACAGCCAGGGAGACCCTTAGCACATGGCTCTGATGCTATTAGTTTTGGTGAGTGCAAGCCATCAGTGGCTGCAATGATTATGAGACCAGGAAAGCCATCTGAGTTGGTCCTCATAGGTGGATAGGAAACAGAATAGGAGGCAATGTGGAATTGACAACATTGATGTGTGTGATGCAGATTCCAGGAATGAGAGTATTGGAATCTGTGAAGATATCTCACATTGTTATCCAGACTGGTGCTAAGATCATAACAGAAATTGGGCCCTGTGCCACAGAAGTCCACAGGCAGTCTACATATTGGCTGGCCTGGTTTATTGACAGTAGGTGAGATCATGGAGAGACAGACAGGTAAGTAGGCAAGTCGATTGAACCATTGTGGTCAAAAGAGATGGTGAGTGAACTGCAAGGGGATACCACCCTCTATGCAATTGCCAATGTCATTTAGTGAGATAACTTGGATTCCAAAGAGAGCCATTCATGCTAAGCCAATATAACCCCTCCTCACATACCATAAAAATATCTGACATGCTAAACAGGCCACCTATTGAAGGCCTAGGATTCCCATACCTGCAAGACACTCCCCATACAATAATGTCAATACACAACATCCATACTCACTGTGGAAACAAGATTTTAGCAGGGGGTATAATCAGATTCTCCAAATGTAGATAATCTGACCTTGATTTTTTTTGTAAGATATAGCCATTAGTCTGAGTAAAGTCTGATTCGATGATTTTTGAGTAACATATCCAAATAATCTGACATAGGCAAGATCTGAATATAGGCAATACACCAATAGCCTGACCTCTCACACATGCATTTCCCCACCCCAACTATGCTTGACTCCATCAGCCATAGTCCAACTATAATACCATCGGAAGAGTGGCCCTTGCCACCCTTGTGCCCCTCAGAAAAAATAATGGACTTTGCAAAAATTTTCCTTGGTCTCCAAGTTCAGTGGTTTGCCATGCACATCATGAACCAACCCAAGGTATATGGTACTTGAGTCCTCTGGCCTATGCACTCACCTCCAAAAGTTCCATATTGATGCTAACCAGGTGGTTCCAACCTCACAGGCCAACAAAATCAACTTTGTTGGTCCCCTGACAGTTGTCAAATGTAGACCACATGTCCTTCAACTTCATGTCCCAACCAGTGTCCAAAATATTATGCTCTCTTTTGAGCCACACTCCCAAGGCCCTGTAGTACATGTGGCTAATTACTGTTCATGTGTCTTCCACTCACAGCCATACACCAGACCATAGAAATCTCCCTAACAATGATGTCACCAGAACTTGGCAATGATACCTTTCATGCAACTCAAATGTGTGTTGTCAACTTCAGTGCTAATGTTGGTACTGGTGGGATTAAGTTGGAGTCTGCAGATGCCCATGTTTCAGCTGTCTCGTAAGTCATCACACAATTTATTTCCTTGCTGATGGTGTTACATAGGATCCTCTACTCATGAACATCAAGCCACTTCCTGCCATGCAAGGATCATTCAGATGTATTCCAGACCACCTCCCACCTGCCAACAAAGGCCAGACAAATGCTGAGGGTGGTACTGCCCTGCCTATCTCCCCTTGCATTCCTGTCATTCATGAGAGTGAAACTGACATCCCTGGGTGTTCATCTAACCACCTCTCATCTACCATCACCCTGAAGACCATGGCCTTTGCTGGTGGCATGTTGTGACTCAAATGCTTTGGGGTGACATCAAAGACCCATTTGTGCACCTTCTTTGTGGTCTTGCAACATTTACACTGTGGTTCCTGATTTGTATTGCTAGTATTCATATTCAGGTCCTCAGTTACATCTTGCCACTGCTTCATGGCATGCAAGCTGAGATAGCACAGAAATGCAACATACTAATATGGCCACATTTGTGAGTTACCTTTGTCACCCAGATATGGATTTAACTTACATCAACTGAGCGCCAAGCATGACCTACAACCCAGTTTGCAGATTGCCCAACCTCTGCATCCTTCCTTCACTGGAGCATGTCATTGCTAACCTCATTGTCATTGCAGCTGATAATATCAGATCTGAGGTCAGTAAGGATGAGGGCTTCTGTGCCCTGATGTCCAGTTTCTGCTTCATACTGTGATGCTGCCTTGCATCTAGCTGTTGCAACCTACCAGTATGTCAGGCACACTCAGGTGCAATATCTGTGAGAGTTCAAGTACTGTAACATGCCAAGTTTTCTGATGATTCTGTCCCAGCCTCTCCTTAGTCCTGTGTGCACCTTGATCACTTGTTTCCTCTTTTACCTTTTTGCAGATCATGTGGAAGTATGTTTTTGCACAATCTTTCATTATTTTGAGGTCAAAAGACTTGTCAGGTATGGTTTTCAATTGGAGCTGTTCCCTCTGGCTCTATTCATGTCAGGTGAGCACTTGCAATTCTCATATTATTCACATGCTACCAGATGATATCTTTTCATTATTAAAGACATGCTCAGCAACTGCTTTAATGAACATGTCATTCAGTTTGTCATCTACATTGCTGAGCCAGTTGGGGTGCCAAAGACATGTGCTGTCACTCATCAATATGAAAGGTTCATCATTCTTGAGTGGTTTGATAGCAGCAAGGGCTGCAATGTGGTTTCTTTTTGTCCCTTCACACTCAATTCCACACATGTGAGAGAAGAGCAGCTGGATAATAGACTGATGCCTGGTGAGTGCACACTCCAATACTGAACAATAGCATAATGTACCTTGAGAACAGAATGGTCATTTGAATTTGTTCTTGATGAAGTATGCTTCTGTTGATCCACACATTTCTCCTGCAGTTCTCCAAGCATTTTCTCAACAGTTTCAAGGCATGAAATGAGAGATTCAGTTGCCTCCCTGATGCTGGTAAGCTGTTCTTCCATGCTGGTGTTGACCTCACTGAGGTGTTTGACATGAGCCATGAGCTGTGCAACCATAGCATGCAAGCTAAGCTGGTCTCCTTGGTAAGATCCAGTTCAAGAGCAGGATGCTGAATATAAAGTCTGATAGTCTTCCATTGGCATCTCACTATGTCCTCTGCCATTTGACTGACTATGGGAAGGTCTTCCAGCATATGAGAAGGATGTTTCATCATGACCATTGACACCCCCATGGTAAGGAGTGAAGCTGATATGTTGACTTGATGGATAGGATACCTCATCTTGCATTCCCTGCAAATTGACAGCACCAGTTGGCTCCATATCAAAGGAGAATTCAGGTGACAAGAGCTTGGCAAATAAGGTGAGTTGATCAAGTGACAACAACAATTAGTAGTGACTGACTGATGGTCCAGCATTGTCTCTTCACTGAGTGGGGCTGAATGGATCATCTAGGCCTGGCACAGAAGGGAGGTGAGTGCCCTGTGGGGTGTTTGAGGGCACCATATTCATCTGTGGTATGTGACATCCACATGTGATGCTACTCTGGCTCAACAGCTGGGATCCAGGCATCGCTCCACCACTCAGAAGCCTCTGGTGTTGAAGGTGCAAGGAGCTGGAGGGTGTCATATGAGTCTGGGTCTGTGGTATGTGACAACCATGATGAGCTCCATCCTGGCTCATGAACTGGGACCCAGGTGTCAGTGGTGGGGCACCACCTTTGAGCCTCTGCAAATGCATCATATCCTACTGTTCATGAAGGAGGGGAGCAGGCAAATGCAGGTGATTTTTTTGCATGGCTGGGGGTGCTGGGCAGGCATTTTGGAAGCACACATTGTACTAGGCACCCATTGAATATAATCTGATCTGGTTATCCTGAAAAACATGACTGAAGGCAGGAGGATCAATTGCATTTATACAATTTGACTCAGTGTACATAGCTCATAGTCACATTGGAATCTGATCTGATTATTGTCACAAAGGTGAAAATCACCATGGTGATAGGCATGCAAATCCAACCAGATTATGCTCTGAAACAAGAACACTTTGGCACTATATTCAGACATATTATTAGGAGTAGCTACCCTCAGGATATACAACAGTTATTGTTATTAACCCAACTATCTCCGGACCTGATTAAAAACCCGTTTCCGCAGTGACTGCGGATGTGCGACCCGCGAAACGAACAAGGGCGCCTCACTGTTCGATGACTCGCATAGGATTTGGGGACCCTTGTCTCTCAGTTGGTATCCCTAACATGTCGATCTTCATGCTTTCATTTATGTTGACAAAAATAGACTGTGGGAGAATTGATGGTGGTGAGAGGCTGATACATTATTCTACAACGGATTCGAATTTCAGACGAACGCACCGAAGGTTTCGTCATGAGTACCCTTGTAAAGCCCCGTGCTTAGAGTAGCCCGCTACGTGTCTTCACTCATGGCCAAAACGTCTAGCTTCCCATCATGCGTGAAGTCGCCAGGCACAACGTTAGAAATGGAAACCGGATGATGGATCGATGAAGTTCTCCGAGATACAAATTCATCTGTAAAGATCCTTAAAACTGAGACCGGAGCTTCAAAGCAATGTGCATAGCGTGACCCCAGAGGCGCCCGAAGAATGTCCATGTCGACGAGATGCACTTGCATTGAAAATGGAAAAACGATACGGCCGACTGCAAAGTTCAGGCCCTCGCAGGAGGAGGAGCACAGCCACTGAAGAGGCTGTCACGTGTTCTTATTAGGGTCACTTAGTACTCCATCCGCATCCACGATGTCCCGCCCACAGGATGACCGCAACCAGGAGGCGACCGTGTACCTGGTGGGTATCAGTTCATATGTTGGTGGGTAAGCAGTTTAACATTTCCAGGGAAATCTCGATGAACGGTGTACGGACGCTCTCGTCTGGGAGCTCATGCTGCAAGCGGGTCCAGTTGGCGAGTCCACATGCCGTTCTCAACCGTATCTGGCCTTCATCTTTTATTGTACAGTGAACGTTCACCTGCCCAAGGACCGTGTATCAATGACCCATCAGGGTTACGGGTTCTGTGAATTCTCGACCGAGGAGGATGCAGAATATGCGTGCAAAATTATGAATCAAATCAAGCTTTGGGGTAAACCGATACGCGTCAACAAGGTGAGCGACCTATATCCAGTATGTAGATTCTGACAATGGCAATGTGTTTTCAGGCTTCGTCTGACAAAAAACAACTGGACGTCGGTGCCAATCTCTTTGTTGGAAATTTGGACGAGAACGTCGATGAAAGGCTCTTGTATGACACGTTTAGTGCGTTTGGATTGATGGCCACGACAGCCAAGGTACGAAGTTCTGTTGACACATCTGTCCATGACTACTTGACCCGATGGATTTCAGATTGCACGGGACCCGCAGACCGGACAGTCAAAAGGCTACGGATTCGTCGCGTATACAGATTTCGAATCGTCGGACGCCGCCATCGAAGCGATGAACGGTCAATTCCTGATGAACAAACGCATTACCGTTCAATACGCCTTTAAAAAAGATGGCAAAGGCGAGCGACACGGGACAGCCGCTGAACGTCTCCTTGCTGCCCAAGCACGTAAGAACAATGCGTTACCGGTTAGTGCGCGACCACCACCGGCGCCGATGGGCGCTTTTGGGGCTCGGCCGCCTGTACCAGGATTCCAAGGACCGTATCAGGGTCAGTTCGCGGGAGCATTGGCGCAGCCACCACCTCCGCCTGGGTTTACGCCTCAATCCACACAAGCGATGGGCGTACCGATGGGGATGCCACCTCCACCCCCACCTCCGAACATGGGGATGTTCCCACCTGGCGGGTTTGCTCCTCCCCCACCGCCTCCTGGATTTGTTCCCGGGCCTGGTATGCCGCCACCGCCCATGCAGTTCCAGTAGTAGTGTTTAGTCTTCTTTCGTACTGCAATGCAGTGTTGACCTGTAGTTGGAGAGCGTTCCCTAAGGCTTCGTAGTTGACATTCCCTTAATTGCTCATGAATTACCTCTGAACAAAGAGCCTCGTCCGATATCTACGATCCTGAATTTAACACTAAGTAGTGCTGCACCCCTACTTGACGGCATGTGTATTACTCGAGTTCCTACCCCGGCCGATCCCATTTAGGGGCGGTCCCATCTGATCCCTGTCCCATCGCTGTTGTCGCTGTTCCCCAACAAAGATGGTCCTCCAACCTATTGCCGCAGTATACCAGTACATCCTCGCCCCTGTTGCGCCTTTTGCATGGTTCGGGCTCAAGACCAGCACGCTCGATCTGCTCGCGACAGTCCGGCTCTGTCTTGCGCTCAGGCAGATCAGGGAGAGTTTGAGGCGCGAGTATCTTAGACGCGCGTCTGGAAAGAAGCTGCAAGATGCTGTCGCTGCAGTAGAGAATAGGTCTTTTGTTAGAGACGCACTGACCACCCTGGTGGTGGTGTACGGCGGCGAGGCAATGATATGTGAGTTCAACCGTTCGACTCTGTTTCGTCGGCCGATACATGTAGCTGAGCTGCTCGTCACTGGCAGGTCCATATATCTCGGTGCCGGCGTCGTTTATGCTCTCCGGTGCGACGCCGCTTCTCTGCGTCTTCACACAAGCTCTCGTCGAAAGCATCCCGGCATCCATGATACCCATCCCCTCGTTCAACACAGAACTCCCGTTTTCGATCTTTGACGCATATAACCGTGCCTTCTTGCTCTGCAGCATCGTTCCACCCGTTGTTTTGAGCAGCCCCGCAGCGGGGGCATCCGGATCACCATGGGCACTCGTTCTATCTTCGCTCGTAAGTCTTCACCCGCTCGTGTAAGTGACGGACCCAATATAAATATAAATTCCGTCGGACAGGTCCTAGCCAACGGCGGATTCTTCCTCGCCAACTTGTTCTCTCTCCTTCAGCCAACACCCCTGGCCGTGTCCACGCCCCCCGAGCTTCTGCCCTACGGCTGGACAGCCACTGATTTGTGGAGTGCACCGCTAGTCGCAGCACTTTACGCCACCCTCACGCATACCCAGCCGTTCTGGGCTGACGTGCATGCGGTGCTGGTGGGGTTGGTCGGGGGTGCGGTGGATGCTGAGGGTCTGGCAAAAGTCGAGCCACTTGACGCCGAAACAGCGAGAGCAGCATGTGCGTTGGTCCTAACGGGATTGTTTGTTACCCGGACGGCGAGGACGTTTGGAGTTTCTTTCAGGAACGGTACTCATTCTTTGTCCTGTACTGGTGCTCCGTTGCTCACTGCGTTCTGTTACCTACGTGGCAGGGATCGCCGAAAAGGTCAAGACCAATTAACGTTTGTTCCTTGGGGTCTTCTCCGGGACTCAAGTTTTCCAAGTTACCATCATCAGAAACATAGATCTTTCTGTCGAAACGATTACCCTCCAACATCCGGATGTACGAGATTATTTCATGATTTCTTGTTTAGACACGTCTTCGCCTATGGAACGATACCAACGACCCTATTGACGAAGGATTTCATATCGATATTCAGAGCTCTGTTAACAGTACGCAGCGAGAGTTGCAATTAAGATAAAGAAACCCGTCTACACAATGCAAATATATAGAAGGTTAGAAGAACATTCCATCAACAACGATACAGTGCTGTTAGCTATGTGAAAAAATAACATGCAAAAGATCATCAAGCCATACAAAACGATCATAATCAAGAAATACAAGTCATGAAAAGAATCAAGGGAAGGTCATAAGAGCCGTAACGGGTGGCAGTGTTGCATTGCGGAATGGAGGCGACCTGAAAGATTGGAGGTCAGCGTGGATCACCGAAAGCATCACTCACCGTCAAGATTCAAAAACAAGGAATCGTTACCAATGATATAGTCGCTGTCCACTTCGACGTCGCTTTCCAAGTCATAACAGCTGTCAGTCTCGATACCCTCTGTCCGGTCGCGTTCGAGCTGAGTCATGGCACGCGCTAGCTGCGCTTCTACAGCGGCTCGGTCGGCACACCCAACGAGATGACTGTCGAACTTAGTGTATATAAATCTGACGACCGGGATGCGTGGAACCGTCTTGTACGGTTTGAACCCTTTGAAGAGATGTGGAGCTTGGTCATACAAATGGTCCTTAATCTCTTCCGCGATATCGTTCCATGCTTTCTGCTTCATGTACATGTTGTCCATGTATTGCATCACGAACGTGCCGAAGTAGTTGACGAGAGGTTTAGCCAGACCTTGGTTGGGAAGTCTTGGAAGTTCGACGAAGAGGTTGACTGCGAATTGGGACATGACGATGGAATGGGGAGTGCACACCGCCGAACCATATTGCTGGCTTTCGGTGACAACTTGCAAGCGCTGACGGGTCTTCGGGTCGGTGGCGAGAGGCCTGTAATCCTTGTCCACCCCGCGTTCGAGAACGGAAGCCCAGATAGTATCCTCGCTTGGCACTATGAACGCCCAGGAGTCTTGGCCTTGCGCTAACACGCTACCACCCACATAATCGAACGGCCTGAGTATGACAATGGGAATGGGAGGCGGCATAACATCGGCCCAATCTGTAGCCAACGTTTGTTGGAGAGCCTGGATGACTTCAAGCGGGTATTGGTAACCAACTTCTCCTCCAAAACGACGCAGTTCGGTGTCGGCCGGCGTGAACGAGTAGTACTGGCGTGAGGCTTCGTCCACAGCCGCAATTCCAGTAAGTGGCGGTTCGAAAGCCATGGTAGTATAACCGGGATCTTCCAAGTTCAAAGCGAGGTAGGACAAATCGCGTACTCTTTCTTTGTCGCGCCGGCCACGAAAGATCATTTCCCGGACGGGATCTTCGGTGAGCGGCTTGGTGAACGGACGGGTGGGGGGCTCTATGGGCCAGGTTTGGAGCTTGGGGCTCGGCTCTGGTGTTAGAAGGCTGATCCGTTCTCGCGATTGGCTGTCTACGAGATCCGTCACTTGGGCAGGTACCGAACCCACTTGTTCTTGCGGAAAACTGTAAACAAATTCGTCCGTCTCGACGACATGAGGGGTAGGAACGTGGTGTTGTTGAGTATCGTCGTTGAATTGGAATCCAATCGCAGTTGGGGTGAAAAGAAAGGTCGAGTCAAGAGATGTCTCCTGCGGTATGCCACCGTAGTAATCATCATCCGACACGTCGAAAGGGACGTTCGCCGGGGTTGGGGCGGTCGGCGGCAGGGGTGGGTAGCCGTCGACCACGGCGGTACTGTGGTAAGACGAGGTCACTGCCTCGAGGACGGGTGACGACCGACGGTTGTTCTCGTCTTGGACGGACATAGATCCGCCATGGTCGCTGTAAAAAATGGTCAGATGAGTGTCATATGGCGGATAGCGCTGCTGAAACATGATCAAAGACAAAGAGAAGAGGAGAAGAGGCGATGGGGATTTTCATCGTGGACAGGGGGCGTTTTATACCCAAAGGACAATGGAAGGCCACTGATGCGGTGGAACAGATTTGTCTCCGAGGCAAAGCGTAGACTAGCTTTGTCCTTCATGAGCTCAAGCAGTTCGGATGTATCGTCGGCCCCGTGGCTCAGCGGCTGTAACGGTCCTCCATCGGGAATGCGAGGTGGTGTACGTCAGCGAACTCATCCACGAGTGCGCTAGTTCAAGACTGTCCCCTCCAGAAAACTTGGTTGTCATTTCGTCTTGTGCCTCGTAAGAGGTATTTGGACATGGAATAAATTGGACCTTGTCTGGCCAGGGAAGCAATTCCGCATCCAGCAGGTCCTGCCGAGTTAGTCGTAGGAGATCAGGACACGTCGTCAGCCGCGCAGTGGATCGTCGCCCTTCGCAAACCTTTTTACTCGTAATTTTTTTTTTTTTTTTTCATTCGAGACACAGTGCGTTTCCCGGGTAACTTGTCGGTGCAACAATTCACTGAATGTAGGGGCGTTGCAGCCAGCGAGACAAGCACCCCTTAATACGATGCGGGTCGCATAATAACAGCTCGTGCTCAGACAAACATTGCTACTATTGCTACTGACCGTGTCGTGCTAATGGAGGTGTCTACAGGCAACTGCAATGTACGAACCACGCCACCGTGAAACTTTTGATCCACACACTCTCATCGACAATGGTCACGATTCTACGCATGTGGTATGCTGCCATTGGGGGCACCAGTGGCGCCAGGTCACATACGTCCGAATCTACCAGAGTCGAAATCGGGAGGTTCTTCAGGTGTATTTTGCACCGCTGAGACCGCTGAGGCGTCCAGCGAAACACATAGACACACCGTCAATTGTGCGCTCGTGAGTTGCAACCAAGCCTGGCTTTAACTGTTCGAAAGGGTGGGCACGACTCATTTTGACTTTCATTACTAGGTTTCATGAACACAGCCGACAGCCGACAACTTTCGCCGATGGGAGACACAAGACGACGCAAGGTCGTTTGTTTCATTTCAGAAGTATGGGGCTTGACCTTGACCTGAGCAGGCTCGCGATCTCTGGAAAGCAGGGTCGGCTGGAACCCGCGGATTCAAGGAATCAACCGTCCGATCCCTTTCTTGGAGCGTGATATTTGGGCCGCTGAAACGAGTACCGCAGGGGATCGCGATGAGTGATGTTTACTGAGGACAACATGCTCGGGGATTGAGATCTTTGAGACAAGAACGGGATGTATGAATCACCCCACATTATTTCAGAAGTCAAGACGAACCGTTGTCCATCGTTGTGGACACCGACGTTCAGGCCTTCAAGCTGAGCGGTCGCGTCATTGAACAAGCTAAGCGGATTGGTCAGATCATCAAAGCGAGCGGCCCTATGTTGTTCGACAATCCGTCTTTCATCGATACTGCTGTGCTTCACTCCAGCTCAAACCGGAATCCGCAGAGGAATATAAGAGCAAGTACGGACCATCTTTCCCGCACGCAGCAAATCAGACACGTCTTCTCCCTCCATCGGTAGGGACGCGAACGAACAAGTTTGACAAACCATTTCCAGGTGTAATCGGGTATGAGGTGACACAACGTGTTCGCCCAAGGTCGCTTCATGATTGATGAAGGAGGTGGTAACTGCTCAAAGTTGGACCAGGTCAGCCCTATACAGAGTCAGCCACGGCGTCCACCGGGCTACCAAAGCGCAGCGGCAGTCCGTGAGAAGATGTACCTTCTGCTCGTGTAGGTGGGAAATTTCAAAATAGATAAGCGCCCCGTACTATCAATCGCTCCACGTCGTCGTCGAACAACTTGACAATTTGAACGTTGAACGTAACGTTTGAACCTCACGGGCACAACGCTCGACGCTGATTACTACAGGCCTTACTCACCAGTAACATCTTATACTTGTCGAATCCACATGGCCCCCGGGCGTGTAAAGAAGTTTCTGGCTTCCTTGCCGTTTGGCAGTGCTGCTCGCTCTCGTCGCTCACACGAGAGTCACAGTGATCCAGTTACCGCTGAAACTGCAGCTGCAGGTATCGTCATATTTACTTGCCGTCATTGGTCAACTGGTTGCTAAAATGTGAATGCAGAAGATAGTAATCCTATGATAGGTATGCCTACGGTTATTTGGCGGACGTGGGTGTGGTTGACGTCGAGGAATAGAAACCACTTCTTCACCTGCCACATTTCGTATGGATCCTGAAAAGGCCAAGGAATACATTGGCAAAAATTGAGAAATTTCGAGTGTTGGTGATGGGCAGAGCGAATTCTGGCAAAACAACCATCCTCCAGAGGGTCTGCAACACTGTAGAGAAACCTGATATCTTCGATGCGGAGGGGAACAAGGTATGTTAGTGTGGAGTTTTTAACACTTCTCTAACAATTTGCAGATTGACAGTGTTGTCGTGCAAGGCAGTCTAGGGGTAAGACGTCATCTTGGATTTCAGCAAATAAAGTTACAGCTGATTACCTCCAGCGTGGCTACCATAATATTGAACATGAGCTAGTGTTCAAGAGCAACCCAGGGTTTATATTCCATGACTCTTCAGGTTTTGAGGCAGGATCGGCCCAGCAGTTTGATGAGATGAAGAAATTCGTTATTGACCATGCAGCTGCAAGGACACTGCAGAAGCGCATTCACGCAATTTGGTGAGAATTACCTTTGGAATGATTACTGACTCAGCTGATTACCAGGTATACATAGGTATTGCATCCCCATGACTGACTACCAAAGGACAGTCACTGCTGCTGAGCAGAAGTTCTTTAATGAGTGTGACACAGGACATGGTATGTTCACCTCTGGAAATGTGGCTGTCACTGACCAGCATCTGCATAGTTCCAGTAGTAGTGTTGCTAACAAAGGTGGATGCATTGCATCTTGCTAGCCATTGAGGAACTTCTGGATGAAGGGTTGGAGATGGAAGAAGCAAAGAAACAGGCCACAGAAAGGGAAACTCTGTTATTGGAAAAGTGGCAGACACACATCAAACAGATTCTGGACCAGTGTCAATTCCCACCTAAGATGTATCTTGCACTCACCAGTAAGCATTGCACTTTTGACAGATGGTTGTGCTTGATGCAAGAATTCTTGACAGAAATGCATAATGAGAGTGCAGATTGCACCACTTTGATCCAGTCCACAGCAAGTGCTTTGAATGAGGAAGGCCTGCAGAGGTTACTTATATCAACACAGCAGTCAAGCATTGGATTATGTATTGAATATGCCTGTATACTGGTAAGCCAGCAGTGTGATCTCATCACAAATTCTGATATTCTGAAGGGTGGTGGGAGGAATGATCAGAGATGTAATTGAGAGGGGGGAAAGATATGACATAGCAGCTTTTGAATCTGCTGTGCTCAGTTGGTTTCCCAAGCATTCAGTGAGTGTCTGATTGTGGTGCCACAGTAGGTGCTGAGTGCAGTGCATGTCCTCATATGTTTTGCACATATCCCTGGCATAAAAGGTTGTGAGTAATATTATGACTGGAGTAGCTATCTTGTCTACTGACCAGTGGTGCACATGCCTTGCATTTTGCTGATCTGACAGCTTGTGGGTGATTTCATGGAAGGGTTGGCTAGAGGTTGGCTAACCTCATGTGGATTCCACTTGTTGGTGGCATAACAGGAGGTATGAGATTTCATGGCAAGGTAATCTGCACATTGGGAGCTGACATACACTGCACATATCACATGAGACAGAATGTCAGTGACATCATTGTGGATAAAGGTGGATGTCTAATGATTGGTGACACTTGCATTATGTATGGGTGTGGTATGACAGTTTGTAAGTGATGGAATGGCAGGTGTACCAGGATGCTCACTGATACATTGCATTTATGATATGCATCATTGTGGTGTGGCAGGCTGTGAGGTGTTTCATGGTGGGTTTGGTTGGATCTTTGCTGACTCTCCCCACTTGTACTGTGCTTGTTTGTGCATGACAGGATGTGAGTGCTTTGATGGTAGATTTGGTTGGATTTCTACTGACTGGCCCCAATTACACTGTGCTTATTTGTGCCTTGACAGTTTGTGAGTGACTTGATGGCAGGTTTGGTTTGATGTCTGCTGACTGGGCCATTGACACTGCTTGTTCATGCCATGATAGTATGTGAGTGACTTGATGGCAGGTTTGGTTGGATGTCTGCTGACTGGCCCCACTTGCACTGTGCTTGTTTATGCCATGACAGGATGTGAGTGATTTGATGGCAGGTTTGGTTGGATGTCTGCTGACTGGCCCCACTTGCACTGTGCTTGTTTGTGCCATGACAGCTTGTGAGTGATTTGATGGCAGGTTTGGTTGGATGTCTGCTGACTGGCCCCACTTGCACTGTGCTTGTTTGTGCCATGACAGCATGTGAGTGATTTGATGGCAGGTTTGGTTGGATGTCTGCTGACTGGCCCCACTTGCACTGTGCTTGTTTGTGCCATGACAGCTTGTGAGTGATTTGATGGCAGGTTTGGTTGGATGTCTGCTGACTGGCCCCACTTGCACTGTGCTTGTTTGTGCCATGACAGGGTGTGAGTGATTTGATGGCAGGTTTGGTTGGATGTCTGCTGACTGGCCCCACTTGCACTGTGCTTGTTTGTGCCATGACAGCTTGTGAGTGATTTGATGGCAGGTTTGGTTGGATGTCTGCTGACTGGCCCCACTTGCACTGTGCTTGTTTGTGCCATGACAGCATGTGAGTGATTTGATGGCAGGTTTGGTTGGATGTCTGCTGACTGGCCCCACTTGCACTGTGCTTGTTTGTGCCATGACAGCTTGTGAGTGATTTGATGGCAGGTTTGGTTGGATGTCTGCTGACTGGCCCCACTTGCACTGTGCTTGTTTGTGCCATGACAGCTTGTGAGTGATTTGATGGCAGGTTTGGTTGGATGTCTGCTGACTGGCCCCACTTGCACTGTGCTTGTTTGTGCCATGACAGCATGTGAGTGATTTGATGGCAGGTTTGGTTGGATGTCTGCTGACTGGCCCCACTTGCACTGTGCTTGTTTGTGCCATGACAGCTTGTGAGTGATTTGATGGCAGGTTTGGTTGGATGTCTGCTGACTGGCCCCACTTGCACCGTGCTTGTTTGTGCCATGACAGCTTGTGAGTGATTTGATGGCAGGTTTGGTTGGATGTCTGCTGACTGGCCCCACTTGCACTGTGCTTGTTTGTGCCATGACAGCTTGTGAGTGATTTGATGGCAGGTTTGGTTGGATGTCTGCTGACTGGCCCCACTTGCACTGTGCTTGTTTGTGCCATGACAGGCTTGTGAGTGATTTGATGGCAGGTTTGGTTGGATGTCTGCTGACTGGCCCCACTTGCACTGTGCTTGTTTGTGCCATGACAGGCTTGTGAGTGATTTGATGGCAGGTTTGGTTGGATGTCTGCTGACTGGCCCCACTTGCACTGTGCTTGTTTGTGCCATGACAGCTTGTGAGTGATTTGATGGCAGGTTTGGTTGGATGTCTGCTGACTGGCCCCACTTGCACTGTGCTTGTTTGTGCCATGACAGGCTGTGAGTGATTTGATGGCAGGTTTGGTTGGATGTCTGCTGACTGGCCCCACTTGCACTGTGCTTGTTTGTGCCATGACAGCGTGTGAGTGATTTGATGGCAGGTTTGGTTGGATGTCTGCTGACTGGCCCCACTTGCACCTGTGCTTGTTTGTGCCATGACAGCTTGTGAGTGATTTGATGGCAGGTTTGGTTGGATGTCTGCTGACTGGCCCCACTTGCACTGTGCTTGTTTGTGCCATGACAGCTTGTGAGTGATTTGATGGCAGGTTTGGTTGGATGTCTGCTGACTGGCCCCACTTGCACCTGTGCTTGTTTGTGCCATGACAGCTTGTGAGTGATTTGATGGCAGGTTTGGTTGGATGTCTGCTGACTGGCCCCACTTGCACCGTGCTTGTTTGTGCCATGACAGCTTGTGAGTGATTTGATGGCAGGTTTGGTTGGATGTCTGCTGACTGGCCCCACTTGCACTGTGCTTGTTTGTGCCATGACAGCTTGTGAGTGATTTGATGGCAGGTTTGGTTGGATGTCTGCTGACTGGCCCCACTTGCACTGTGCTTGTTTGTGCCATGACAGGGTGTGAGTGATTTGATGGCAGGTTTGGTTGGATGTCTGCTGACTGGCCCCACTTGCACTGTGCTTGTTTGTGCCATGACAGGGTGTGAGTGATTTGATGGCAGGTTTGGTTGGATGTCTGCTGACTGGCCCCACTTGCACTGTGCTTGTTTGTGCCATGACAGCTTGTGAGTGATTTGATGGCAGGTTTGGTTGGATGTCTGCTGACTGGCCCCACTTGCACCGTGCTTGTTTGTGCCATGACAGCTTGTGAGTGATTTGATGGCAGGTTTGGTTGGATGTCTGCTGACTGGCCCCACTTGCACCGTGCTTGTTTGTGCCATGACAGCTTGTGAGTGATTTGATGGCAGGTTTGGTTGGATGTCTGCTGACTGGCCCCACTTGCACCGTGCTTGTTTGTGCCATGACAGCTTGTGAGTGATTTGATGGCAGGTTTGGTTGGATGTCTGCTGACTGGCCCCACTTGCACCGTGCTTGTTTGTGCCATGACAGGATGTGAGTGATTTGATGGCAGGTTTGGTTGGATGTCTGCTGACTGGCCCCACTTGCACCGTGCTTGTTTGTGCCATGACAGCTTGTGAGTGATTTGATGGCAGGTTTGGTTGGATGTCTGCTGACTGGCCCCACTTGCACTGTGCTTGTTTGTGCCATGACAGGATGTGAGTGATTTGATGGCAGGTTTGGTTGGATGTCTGCTGACTGGCCCCACTTGCACTGTGCTTGTTTGTGCCATGACAGGATGTGAGTGATTTGATGGCAGGTTTGGTTGGATGTCTGCTGACAGGCCCCACTTGCACTGTGCTTGTTTGTGCCATGACAGGATGTGAGTGATTTGATGGCAGGTTTGGTTGGATGTCTGCTGACTGGCCCCACTTGCACTGTGCTTGTTTGTGCCATGACAGGATGTGAGTGATTTGATGGCAGGTTTGGTTGGATGTCTGCTGACTGGCCCCACTTGCACTGTGCTTGTTTGTGCCATGACAGCTTGTGAGTGATTTGATGGCAGGTTTGGTTGGATGTCTGCTGACTGGCCCCACTTGCACTGTGCTTGTTTGTGCCATGACAGGATGTGAGTGATTTGATGGCAGGTTTGGTTGGATGTCTGCTGACTGGCCCCACTTGCACTGTGCTTGTTTGTGCCATGACAGGCATGTGAGTGATTTGATGGCAGGTTTGGTTGGATGTCTGCTGACTGGCCCCTACCTGCACTCTGCTTGTTTGTGCTGTGACAGCTTGTGAGTGATTTTATGCCAGGATTAGCTGGCTATGTGCTGACTTGCTTCCTTGTACTCTCCTTGATGGCATGATAGGATGTCGAGTGATGTGAGTGGGATCAGCATTTTCTGGGTGGACTCACTCACATGTGGCTTTCTGGTGTATTCCCAGCTTGTATACCATTCCATGACATGAAAACTGAATCTCCACTGACTTAATTTTTCCTGTCATCTTGGTTGTGATTTGCCAGGATGTGAGTGGTTTGATAATTGGTTTTCATCCTGGCTATAGGCATATCACTATTGTGCTGACCTCTTTGCTGCTGCAACATCAGGTTGTAAGTTCCATTTTGGCATGGGAATACCCTTATCACAATGTGACACATGTAATCACAGCCTCAAGTTGCACAAAAAGGCAAATACAAGCTGCCATTACCCAAGGTCACCACTTCTCTCAATTTCTGAGCATGGAGTTTGTGAGTGGTAGTCACCCTCTACATTGGGGATACTCATTACTTCAGATTGCCTGCTCATTTTTGAGTATTGTTACTTTTTATTGCAAAATGGAAAAGCACCTAACAAGAAAGATGTTATTGCTCTGGCTGTCAAGGAGTACAAGAGTTCTGGCATTAAAGCCTCCATCCACCAGGCTGTCAAATCTGCTGTCCAGCAGCATGGTCATAAATTGCAAGATTTGTGTCAGACTCTTGTGCAAATAATTTTGGAGAATCGTCTATGTGAGTGCATATGTTTGATCTGTCCAATGCTATGATTCAAAAAATTCTTTCAGCTCATAAAATAGTCATTTAACAATGTGACAAATTCCTTGTGCTATTTCCTATGGTCATTTGAACACTTAGTACTCAACCTTCAAAGCACTCCCATACTGGTGGGTTTTGCAGTAGCCAGAGATCCATGTACATAAGCACAGGCTATCATAGCTGCCACACAAGCTGTCCATACACAGGCTATTAGTAGTAGTACTCCCTGTCATTTGAATACAAAATGTCAATGTCCCTCTAACTTTGTAGTTCTTGTGTCAATGATATCATGATTACCTATAATACACCACTTGATATGACTTGACACAGCTGTAATGGGAACATGTACTTGGAATAACAAAAACATCTTTACTTACCACATTGTGAGAGGAAGGTGTCATTGTCTTGAGAAAATGTGTATATGAGCATCATAAGCAGATACATGTGCTGTAGGGAGTAGGCTAGTATTCATACAACAATGTAAGTATTTATCAAACTGCTCAACAAACTTTAGGTCACCTGTTACTGTGACAGGGAGTAAAAAGTTGCTGCTGGTCACAATCCCATGAACCTTCCTTGGGAACACTTGCATCCATGAGATGCAGCCAGAAGAAATCATCTGGTTCACTCACCTTCATCCTTCGGAACTGCTGCCATCACAGCTGAGTCCCCAGGCATACAACATAGTCATGGGCATTCTCACATGCATTTGAAGATGGTAGAGAAGGTTGCTTGACAGTGAGCCTACTGAGATCAAGCACACCAAAATTCTCAGCTGATGAATTGGGTGCACAGTTGTGGAACAAGGAAAAAACATATTTATAGTTAGGTTTTTCCATATAGGTGAGAGAATGGGTATACTTGAGGAAAGTGGAAAAAGTTGTGAGGTAGACCTTTGCAGAATCCATCAACTGAGATATGTTTTTTCAGCTTCAGTATGGTGTTGTTGGAGAGAGTAGTATTGATGCTGCTGAGCCAAGGGAGCAATCCTCACAGCAGGTAAACCAGTGTATAGGTGAGTGACTTGACACAACACAGTTAGCAGAGTTTAGATGTAGAACAAAAAGATATCCATCTAAAATTTTTGAGACAACATTTATATACAAGGAGGCATGTGATACTGAGGTATCACATGCCCATACTAAGTGGATCCTATTTTCAGGGCATAACCCCTAACACCCTCCCCTGTAGGGCTGACCCAGGCTCAGAAAGTAAAGAGAAAGGAGAAAAGAAAGAGAGAGGAGAAAAGGAAAAAGAAAGACAATTGTACAAAGGTTAGGCTTTGTGAACTAATACTTTGAGGGTTAGGCCTCAAAGTCCAAATGCAGAGAAGGGGTGTTGAACCCAATCCTTTAATTGGAGAGTTGAGTCTCCAGAGGGAACACTCCCTCACATTTGTGACCTATCCTCATCCTTGAACAGGTTGTCAGTCATTTCACCCTCCTTGGGCTCAGGGGGATTTCCCCTGACAGTAGATGCTCCCCCACAAGGACAGTGGAGAAGGTCATAGATAAACACTGCAGAGGCAAATGTGGAGATGATCTACTGATTGTCACCCTGTAAGGGTGTATGACCTGGAGGGACCTGGTTGATGGTGCAACCAATGGCTTGAGCCTGATGCTTGTACCACTCCCTCAATCTGACATTGCTTGGGGGGCAAGGTTTGGCAAGAGCCTTCCTCAGGGGCTTGATTTTTGCCATAACCTGAGGGTTATTCTCCCCTCCATTTGCAATGATGCTGTTGACATACTCTTGACCAGCTTGTTGAGCACATTGTAGTGCATTGTCAGCATCATATGCACTGACTCTGTTAGTAGCAAGATACACTGCAATCAAGGCCCTATCAGCTGAGGCAGTGAACTCACTGTCTCAGGGATGTGAAGCACCTTCAACTGGGCTGACTTCCACCCAGTTGGGAGGGACCAATATCATCCCCTTACTGTGAGTAGGCAAGCCAACTCATGCATCCAGACATTTCAAGCCCTATGGCTCTGGGAAACTGGTGCCAGGTGCTTGTAGAGGAGGAACCCTTGGATGTTGTGCAGAGATGGAGGATCAGCCTCTGCATTGGAGTCATCTGGCCTGCTCAATGTCCCCAGTACCCCTGGGAGCATGGCCATGAGTGTGGACTTGCCATCTTCACCCCAGCAAGGGTGCCTCTGTTCTTTGTTGATGAACTCCCTCCTTTTGAAGGATGCTGTAGGTATCCTCAGTAGTGCAACAAGCTACTGATGTATTAGACCAACCTGTAGGTATCTACAGGATATCAGTAAGTATAATACTGGTAGTGAAAGTGAGCTTACCCTCAGTAGTGCAACAAGCTACTGAGGGGACAGTGAATAAACTACTGTAAAATGTGCGCTCTAAGGTGGTAAGCACCCAAACATCGCACCAAAGTGAGCAGAACACAGGGGAGAATATATCTCCAACACCTCCAAGCTTTGACAGAGCTGTCGAGGGGAGGGGCATTTGATGGTAGCTCAGGGATACCCCTAGACTTCCCAGCAGAGGGCTTGGCCCCTTTTGCCTTGCAAGGAGGTTGAGTCCTCATAGAGGACTGAGTTTGGGAGCTTGGCCCAGGCCTTTGTTCAGAGACCTGTTGAGTCTCATGCAGTTGATGAGAGCAGGGGTAGGAGTTGATCCTACATCAGGCACTGGAGCCGAGCCCAAAGGAGCATCTGCTATCCACTCTTGCAGTGATGGAGTACCTCCAGAGAGGCCAGACATAGGTGGGGGTATCACCACAGTGGATGCTTGCCCCTCCTCCCCTTGGGGTCAGACTGCCTTCCCCTTTTCTTTGAGAGCCTCTCTCCTCTTGCAAGATTTCTTGGAAGACCATGCAGGGGGCTTCCATTCACTCAGTGCAAGGTTGATGACCTCATTGGACCCCAACTTGCATCTTTTCCACAAGTTGAGGTAAGTTATAAGGTCCTGCACCTTTTGGATGCAGGGAGCCTTATCTTTTGGCTCCTTTAACACTCTCATGTAGAGCTGGCAGATATCATCTGGGGTGTTGAAGAGGGCAATGGGCCCCAGGATGCCTCCTTCAAATTGGATGGCCCAGCCATATGGTCTCTTGCCCACCAGGACCAGTGGGACAATGCACAACCTGAGGTTGCACTTCACACTGTCAATCTTTTCACCCTCATAGGCATAGAGATTGTTGTTGACCCTCATGAAGAGGATTTTATTCTTACTGTCTGAGCCTTTGCCCAGACTAAGCACACAATGGGGCCATTCCATCCCATTGAACTCAGGGAACATTGTTCCCTGTGCAGGAACAGAGGGTGCACCCTCATCCAGAGTCATTTGGACATCACTAGGGATGTCTGGGAAGTTGACAGCATGGTCACTCATCATCACATCCTCTGTAGGAGGATGGTGAGGCCATCCATGCTGTGATGAGGGTTGCTCCCTTGAAACATGAGAACCAGCAGGCTTCACCTGCACCCTCCCCCCTGAAACAAATGTCACAGTGGGGAGGGCCATCTGGGATGTTGAGGGACCAGCTCCAGGCTGGTCAAGGATGCAGTGGTCAGGACCACCAAGGGACACAATTCATGCATGTTCAAAATCCTGTGCCTCCTGCTCAACCAATGTGGGAGCTGGGCATGTACAACAGAGTTTGTCAATCTTGTCTTGTAGGTGACAAATCTTGTCATCATGGTTGTTGAGGTCATTCTCAAGGTATGCAATGTGATGATGCATGTCATCATATGGAGAATGGCAGACAATGCATGCAGCTTTGTCTGCAAGGTTGAATATTGCAGGAGTGAGGCCTGCTTCAGAGAGGGCCATGCCCTGGGAGATGTGCAATGCATAAGCATTGCATGTTGTGCAACTGGAATCATGATGCTGGATAAACAGCAGTTGAAGGTGGTACACCCAGAAGGGTCCTAAAGAGTGTTTGTCACAATGATCATCATGCTCTCGAGATGAGGCATGTGACAATGTGACAGATGGGGAGCAAGCATGTTTCTGGCCACTGCTGACCATACACATGCTGCACTGAGCAGCAGGGGATAGCAAGTGAGGAGCCTTGCTATCAGGTCATGTGCCTTGATGTGCAGAGAGCTCACCATGATTGCATGTGGCTGACTCCCTGTGAGAATGGTGCAGGGAGGGCTGGGGGGAGCATGAGCTCTGGGTGCTGTTGTTGTTATCATGGGAAGACATACTTGATGGTTTGTTGTGTTGGAAGGAAGTGGTGCTACTAAGTGGTATGAGTGAGGAAGAAGCAAGAGGAAAAAAGGGAGGGCACAAGGCATAATTAAAAACTTAAGTAATTCTCAACAGAGAAAAAACATGTGAATGAGGAGTGATTGGTGGGTGGCTACATTATACTATCTACCTTTGACAGAATGCAGTGTTCAGTTATTTTTAGGCTTTTTTGATCTTTATCTTTGTTATTTTATTTTAATTTTTATTTGACTTTGTTTTTTCTCTGAGTCCATTTGGTTCTGTTAGTAGTACATGACTACTCATAGCCACTAAGTGGCTACTACATGTTCTTGCATATCCTGTGCCTTGTGAGGCAACTGGTGTACATTCCACATGCCTTGAAGTTTGAGGTACCTGTCCAGGGCCTCAAGTTTCTTGCAGTGGGATGTCAGTTCCCATGTGGAGTCTCCCAGATTCCACTTGACAAGGAACTCTACCTTGTTTTCAGACCACCAGTGGGTGAGTACCTTGTCCACTATCCATTCATTGTTGTCAGTCATACTGATGTCATAGAAGGCATGTGTGTCATGTCTTGGAAACAGTAAGTTGTCATTTGGCTCATACTTGTGCAGAAGCCCAATGTGAAATGTTGGGTGTATGTGTCTCACTCTTAGTTGCTCTGGTAGCTTGAGTGTATATGTATTGCTTGCACTATCACAGCATAGAACCTTCATTGGCCCAATGAACCTTGGTACAAGTTTACAAGCTCATCCTTTGGGCATGGTCAGGTTCTTTATGGAGAGATACACTGAGTCTCCAATTCAAAGGTGAGTTCCTTCCTTTCATTTCTTGTTGGTGTGGTCATCTGCACCACCCTACTCTCAATTATGGTGTCATGCACCATTTCTAGATTTTCTAGCACTTGTCAGACAAACACCCTTACCCCTGGGGATGATCATGTTGTCCCTTTCCGATGCATTGCATCATTACAGGCATATGTCCATAGTTTAGTTCAAATGGGGTGAACCCCATAGAGATGTTGATGCTTGAGTTTATTGCAAACTTGACCATTGGCAGCTTCGACACCCAGTCCCCCTGGTCTGGACAGACCATCGACTGTAGCATCTGTGCTACATTGCATATGGCTCATTTGGATGCACTGTCCATCTGCAGGTGAAATGCAGTTGACATTAGGAGCTTTGCCCCTAGCATTCTGTGTGTCTCATGACAGAATGTTGATGTAAATTTTGTGTCTCTGGTAGCCCATGCAAGCAGGCTACTTCTTTTATGAATATCCATGCAAGTTCCAAAGCTTGCACTGTCATCTTCACCAGTATCAGGTGTATCATGGACATCAGATGGCATAGGACTACCCACAGGTAGTCATACCCTTCACTCAGTGGGAATGGTCCCACAAAGTCCATTGTTATTGACCCCCATGGTTGTCTTGGCATGGGTAGACTGTGCAGTAAACCTGGAGGCCACTGGTTGTTGGCCTTCATTGTTTGACATATGGGGCAGGTTCTGCAGAACCTGTCCACTTCTTGACCAATTTTTGGCCACCAGTACCACCTGCAGATGTAATCTGCTGTCCTCTGGGATCCAAAATGTCCCAGCATCCTGTGCACCTGGTCTATGACCCATGCAATTATGTTGTCATTCTTGTACTTTGCGTGTGGAAGGCACAACACTGCCTCTCCACCATGATTTTTTGTGCAAAGCAGGCCATCTCTCTCCTCAAATTGAGGGTGATGTGACAGTTCTGCTAGTATCTTCACAAGCATAGGCTCATTCTTGTATCCCTTATGGATGGCATCCAGAAATTCTGGTGCATCTCTGTAGGTTACAAGGGTCTCTCACTCAAAGGTCCTATAGTTTTGTTGAGCATCACTCAGCTTTTTTGACATGAAACCTGCTGGTTGGCAGGTCTTCCATTCAGGTCCTTGCCCATACAGTACACCTACTCTGTAGAGTGATGCATTGCAGATGAGCCATATTGGTTCTTCCTTCCTTGGATCTATTGGCCACAGTACTGGGTACTTGCAAGCCAGGTCCTTCATCATCTGGAAGTATCAGTTGTAGATTTCCCTCCACAGGAATGGATGTCCATTCCTTTGTATCCCAGTTAGTGGCATCATGTATGCCAAAATATCTGGCATAAACTGTGCCAGGTATTCTATGAGACCAATGAACCATTGAACCTCATTGAGCAACTTAGGTACTCTCCAGTTCCTAATTCAAGACATCTTGTCTCTATCTGCATGCATGCTGTAAGGAATCCACATTCCTTGGACACATAAACCCCTATTGTCGACCATTCCATGACTATTGTTACATTCCTGGACCTCTTGCATCCACCATTGTTCATGCACTACCTTCCCACACCCTCGCTCCCTCTCATGCAATGCTATACATGTGGCTGCTGTGCTTCAGTCACTTCCCTTCCTTTGGACTCTTTCCTTTAACACAGTCTCTGTTCCCTTTTTGTTAGTAGTATACCCTCAGCCTCTGTTCTGGCCTGTCTTGTATGTGCATGCTGTCACACAGCCTTCCTTGTACCTTGTCTTACTTAGGTTCCAGGTTTGCCCAGACTATAAAGCCCTGTACTTAGGTACAGAATGATACCTTTTGGCACTTGGAAGGTCACTACAAGTTTCTTTTCCACTTTGTCTACACTGCCCATCTTGCATACTGCCATGCATGAACTATGCACACTGCTCACATCACCAGTACTACACTGCAGACCATGCCATGCATGCCACAAATTGCTACTGCTACAAAGTGCTGAGTCCCACCTTCTAGTCTTGACAGTCCAGAATCCCTTTGGATGAGCAATTTGTTTCCTTCATTTTATTGTTGTTTCCTAAAGCCATCTAGCTCATCTTATACAGCTACTTGGACTTTTCCTACAACTGGAGCCCACTGAGGGATTCTGCTGTTGCTTCCAGAAGGTTGCTCAGGCACACCACTGAATGCACCAAACTAGAAAATTTATGCCTTCACTTCCACAACTTGAACCTGTCAGAAGACTCTGAATTATTCTGCCCAGTTTCACCTGAAGTGCAGAATCACATGCAATTACCTGCTGACATCCTGTGGGTACTACCCATGATCACTCCTGATATTTCGGTAGATTGGATATCTGTCATGTTGGATCACCTGGATCTCACTGCCCCTGATTTTCCTGGTGGAAAGCATACTTCATTTGGTGCCATTTATATGGTCTGTCACAATTTACCCATTCACCTACACTATCAACTTGAAAATGTCTATGTCACTTGCATAATCCCTGGGCCACAAGAGCCTTCATACTACTGCTTAAACCACATACTCCAACCATTAGTCGATGACCTGATTCACTGCTGGGAACTGGGATTGTTCCTAGCACACACTGCTATTTGTGTATTCAGATGTTTGGTGCACTGTGCAGTAATATTACTTGTTTGTGACTTGTTGGTGGCATGAAAGACCACTGGATTTGCAGGGCTAGGGCATATGCAGGGAAAGTTCTGCTCATTTTGCCAGCAAAGTGGCTCAGAGTTTTCCAACACCAACATATCAACTTGGCCATGGCAGACCTGGCAGGAGCATCTTGCAATCGCAAAACTGTGGAGGGATGCACATTCAGAAGGGATTCAACAACATATATACAATACATTTGGAGTTAGATGGTTGGAACTGTTGCATCTGCCTTATTGGGATCCCACACACTTCATGGTTGTCAAGGCAATGCACAACTTCTTCCTCAGAGATCTCCAACACCACTGTCATAAAGTGTTTTGTATGAACACTGATACAAAATCCACTGGTGAAACTCATGTCCAACCCCACACTCCCAAGGAACAATGGCAAGAACTCAAGGCTGGAATTGAAGCTATCAAGAAGCACTCATTGACAGCACTAACAAAGTTGAGGAGGGGCTATATTGTTGCCCTTGCCCAAGCAAATAATGTTCTACCAGGAGTAGGCATCAGTGGTGACTCCCTGGTGAGACTGAAGAAAGAGGATCAGACATTTGGAAAGGCAATTTATGCCCATGCACATATTGACTGGATGAGCTCATTAGCCTGTCATGAAACCATTTGGTTACCCTCTTTCAAGCATATACAGCTTGGCAATCCAGAAATACACTGCCCACACATCTTTCCTCCCCCTGTAGTGGACCTATCCTCAGTATGGTCAAATCCCATGTCAACAACTATCCTTGATCATTTGGTGTTATCAGAAGTATGGAAAGACATGGCCAGAACTACCTTACCATCATGGGTTGCTTGTGCACTGTGAGTCAAAGTGTGGAAAGGTGGTGAAAACCAACCAAAACCAACACCAAAGACAAATATGAGCAAGTGGTGGTTTACCTCCATGGAACCTGGAGGGCAGAGAAACCTAAAGTGGGGGAAATTTCAATGGCAGGTGCTCCTAGCACAAGTCGATGATGAGTTATGCAGGAGAAGATGAATGAATGCTGATTGAAAAGGGGATGCTGAACAGAGTGAAGGTGTTCAGCTGAAAGTACTTGGGAGTAATGGACTTCAATAGAATATGCTCCTGGCACAAGTTGGTGATGAGTTATGCAGGAGTGGATGGATGACTAAGCAGACTTGCTGACTAAGTGTGGATGAAGCTTCAGATAATGATGGAGGTAGATAGACCTCTTTGTAGAACCTCAACTACCAATGATATGAATGAAGACAGATAGACTCTTCTGAATGAGCCTCAACTGTTGACAATGAGTTATGCTGAGCTGAGCTGAACTGACTGCTGAGTGAATGGCTTCTGGTTCACTGGGGGTGTAGCTAAGTACATGGGGGTTTATATACTGTGGGGGGGAGCACAGCTTGTGACAAACAAGGCACAAACACTTGGTAAGTAATGAGTAAGTACTGAGTAATCATGATGAGTAAGCAAGAAATGAAAAGTATGCAAGCAAAGAAGATTGGCAAGTATTGGCAATAAATGAGTCAAGGACAGTCAAAATATCACAGAATGAGTCAAATGGAGTCAGAAACTGAGTAAGCACACTGATATCACATTAGGGGGTGGTGATGCAAGTCAGATCTCAGTGGAGACATCTCTAGACCCAAAGATGGCATGACAGATGGATGGTGTTTCCAGATAGGGAAATATTAATTCCAGAATTGAAGGGCATGAGTCAGGTGTCAAAGGGGCTAGGGCATTGGGGGTCTGTGGGGCAATGGGAGCATAAGTGATTGCATCTCCCACCCTTTCATCCTCTCAGCAAAGTTAACAAAAGCTTCATGAATGGGGCTCTGACAGAGGAGGAGGAGAAGGGGGGACATCTTCTGCTGGATCTTGCAGTAAGAAGGCAAGATACATGTCATACTCATCATGAATGTGATCAGGGAGGCTGGAGAACAGTAGACTATGCTGCAGCTGTCGCAATGCAGGAAGAATGATGGATGAGATTGGAATAAAGATGGTGCATGGAGCAGGGAGGAATGATCCATATGCTTCATCAAGAGGAGAGACCAAAACAACCACATAAGACCTTTCTAACTGAGTGACAGACCTGAGGCAACCAAAGAACATCCTTCTGGAAGTCATACTGACAAGGAGAACACACTGACCAAGCTGCATGGGATGAGATGGGGCTGACAATGATGGGATGAACCAGGGGGCTTCAGGATGGAAGCTGGTTGGAATGCCTGGCAGATATACATAGCCACTGTCTCTGGAAAATGAGACAAGTGAGATGATCAACAAAGAGGCAGCCATGATTGATGGACTTAGCAAAATGAGCATCTGATGGATGGAGTGCTGTAGAAATGTGCAGGGTGTGAGGATCCTCTCCAAATTTGGAAGGCAGAACCACATGGCTGAGCACTTTAAGTGAGTGTGAGAACAGAGTTGATATCTTTGGAAATGGTGGAGATATGACAAAAACTGGAATGCCATACATGGGCACTAAAAACCTTTAATGCACACTTAACTCACTTCCTCTTTTCTCTTTAGCACTGACAACTTGTTCTTGTGTGAAGGACGACTGTTAACATCCAGCAGTCTTTCTACACATGAGGCCTTTAGTCTTCATCTGCATGGCATGGGCATTGCGTGCAACTTGTTGACAAGTTAGGCAGAGTCAGCTGTAACCATGTCCACAACACCTTTGGTGTGTGACAGTGCCCCACAACTTGGTAATCCAGGCCATGGAAAACTCAAGGCTGACCAGTGGTGCACAGCCTGTCTAGTTAATCTGGTCATCATGTTATGTAGGTTATGGGGTAGCAACAATGCAAGTGAAAGGGATTCAGCACTATTGCACAACTACCTATCACTTGTGACAGCCATCTGCTGGGCAACCACCTGCTTGACTTCTAACCAGCACACCAAATTGTCAAAAAGTATCTGGTATATTATGTACACAGCACTTTGCAGATATTTGGTCCTCAAGCACTGGTCTATAATAACCATGCGTCTCTCCACATGCCTGAATGCCTCCATGCATTTGGTCCAGCCCATGGGTGGTGGGCACTTCCCTTTGAATGATACAATGGTATTCTGCAGTGCTTCAACACAAATTCTAGGATTGGTGAGACTTTGTCATTTATGCTGGGGGGTCAGCACTCACAGCCAACAGGTGAGATGGAACTCACCTTGTTGAAGGCATTACTCAGCAAGACTGATGTGTTGGATTCCCTTAACAGTCTTCAAGAAATCTTTGCACAATTTTTTGTGCCCATGTCACCAAACTTTCAGGGTGGTATTGAAGGCTTTGACATGCATGGGAATGTCATACCAAACATTACAGAGAGCCCCAACAGTTTGCCAATGCTTTCCAATGAAACATATGAACGTCTCCTCAGCTGCCTCAATGAAGGTGTTGTCCCTGAGTGCTATGTGTCTTATCATAATGATCCCCAACCTAGTACCTGGGTTGTCCAGCCCCATGCACAGGAGCAGGACTCAGTCAAGGTTCAGGGAGTAACCTTTGCTCACTCCTCGAAGCACATCAGAAACAGTCACATCCTGTTTCACCTTGCAGGTGAATCATTCCAGTTCACAGGGGAAATTCAGCACATTTTCTTACATCAATGGCACAGACCAACACCATTGAGCAACATTGTGACTGAAATATTCTATGTTGTGCAGCAATTTCATGAACTTACTAGTGAGCAAGCTGTGCATGACCCATACTGACAATTCCTGCTCCTCTTTATGTGTCTATGTTGCAATGAGTTTGCAGGGGAAGAACAGGTCATACAGTCTCACCATATCATTGGTCATTTCATTGGCTGCCCATATGAGACCAAGGAACTACCAGGGAAACTCCTTGTGGTATTGTCATTGAGCAGGTCCATCTGTTGGTTCCAGGGTCTAGCAAGGATAAATGTTTATTTCTACTTTTCCATGCAGGACTGAGGCAATTCAGATTTACTTGACTCGTTTCAGGAATTGGCTGGCTATGCGAAAATGAGATATCATATTAAATGTCCCCTTACATAGTTTCTTTTCTGCCATCCATCTATAGATACTGTCTGTATTATATTTGTACCCAGCTGCTTTGTAGTGTCACTCAATCATTTAAGCTTCACTGTTACCTTTATTGGGCTGGCAAAGCATTCACATCTCCAATCATGATTTGTCTCAGATTGGCATGACCCTCCTTTGTGAAAATGGGTAAGGTTGTGGTGTCAACATTCAAATATTTGAGTATAATGCTTTGGTATGGTCTCGTTCCTTTCTATTCACAACTCACTGATCCAATGAAGGCACCTACACATGAGGCCTCCATCAAGTCTCATTGAGAAGATATTGCACCATATTGCCCATACAGGCAGGTAGAAACTGAGGTGCACCTTGCAACCAACCACTATGTCATACACTCATTGGTCAAGCCACTGCAGGCAGTTCCAATACATCAACAACCATTCCCATTACACTGATGTCTCCAAATCAAACCTGCTATCACTGTCAAATCATTGGATGTCAATGTAAGTAGCTGCGATCACTATCATTTCATTGGGCACAACTGACCACCCACAGACTATTCCCATCCATCAACAATGATTTCCTCTGATAGTTCAAATATCCTTGGCAGTATGGAAAGGTAAGTTCTAGTCAACATGTGAAGCAGAGTAGCATTAACCATGAACAGATATGCAACAATAGTGAGTCCTAATTGCCAGCAGCAAAAAATTCATAATCTAGAAGTCATGATGGGACAATATATAACATACCACCAACTTCCCTTGCAGCACCCCCCACCTTGTCCCTGTGTAATGCATGGAGACCTCAACATCCACCACTATGGTAATAAAAAGGTCCAGATCTGGTTGAGGGAAGGGGATCATTGGATAGCTGATGTAGTGGATGGCCATCATCACCCAATGCTGCCAGACTATCGCCTCTTCATTGCCAATGGCACAGAGCCCACCTGGGTAACAAAGAAAACAAGGTTGACCTACAAAGGGAGCTTCCACAGCCAACAGAAAGATCCTAAGGAGGACTGAGCAAGATTTTTGTCTAGACAATGTGCTACATTCACAGCATAAGTGCTTCTTTAGTAGGTCAGGTGGCAGTCTCGTTGAGGAGTGAATTCCAGATATATATATAATCTACCTATGACATGCATTTCCCTTGTACTACAGGTACACATGTGTAATATTTGTCAGTGATGAGAAAAATGATTGGTTTGTCCACTGTGACATTGGCAACTTTCCAGGCTTGCTCGTGAGCGGTCCTAGATGTTGAGCGAGTGTTGAACATTACACTATAACTGGTACTGTCAGAACAATATCCAAATTGTAACATTATTACTTGGTAAATGAGTGATTTAATAGGCCAGGCAACAGTTGAACTCTAAACCATAACTGGCTCGCAGTCAGTGGGATTTCACTCAGGCTAGCAGTGACCAGCCATGGAGTTACAGGCACTGCAGTGGAACCAGATCAGCCATCAGTGGTGTGCTGCAAAAAATGCACAAGTAAAGCATGGCAACAGCACCTATACAAAGAGAAACAGATGATGGTGTATACAAGCCTTGTAAGCATTGCTCTGGCTTCAGGTTTGCTAGGTAGCATTGGATGTAGTCCAGTAGAAAGTAGCTTGCCACCATCCAACAAAAGACAAGTGGCTCAATGCCTTGCCCTGATGTCACATATGGAATCAAGGTTTTGTGGCAAGGATCTCACTACAAACTTTGGCCAGAGTCTTTCAAAAAGGAGTCTTGTGTCATCATTTTCAGTTCAAATGCAGCATGATTAGGAGGGGGCCTGTGATATATTGGCAGATTTGAAGTACAGGGGTCATCAGAGAGGTCATCTTTTGTGATGATGATGACAAGTTGGTTGCCTGATTTGGGAACCTATGACATCAGACTGATATCTTCAACAAAGATGCTTGGTTAGAGGGCTAACTTTTGTGACTCACTCTTAAAATTCATGTATTCCATCAGAGCCTATTTACATTTGTTCATACTCATAGCAATCTTGGAAGATATTTTTGAAGGATGCTGTAGGTATCCTCAGTAGTGCAACAAGCTACTAACCAACGTGAGCAGAACACAGGGGAGAATATATCTCCAACAGATATGAAGCTAGAAAGTTACATACTATTGACAAATTCCAGGGTGCTTCGAGGCACTCATTCAGCACTCCCAAAATTTTTTGTTGGAAGTGAATTTGAAGCTCAGATTAGTGGCGAGGTTGCCATGCTTTTACCTGCGGTGTGAGTCGTGAGTGCGTGCATTGTGGCTGTGCTGCTGTGTCGTTCTCGTTTTGGTAATATGCGACTTGTGTGCACATTGTGCCTTCGAGCCTGTTCAGAAACCGGTGTACAACCCATTGCTGACACATGTGTCAGTTAACATGCCTGGGATGCTCCATGAACTACAAGGCAGAGCTTCAACCTTCCTTCCAACTATGCAATGATGATCACTCATCAATATGATGACCTCAAACCCATTATTGCTCATATTGCTTCTGCTACACTTTGCATTGTACATGTTGCTGGACTCCTTGTTCTTTTAGAATCAGATCAGGAGCCAGAAATGATGAGTAGTCACAAGTGGACTGATTCAGAGACTCACACTCTCCTTGACTACCTCATTGAACACTGGCCAGAACAAGGCGATACAGGCAACTTCAAATCCAGTGTATTTTCTAGTGCTGCTGTGGCAATCGCTCCACCTAACTCACCCCCCACAAGAACTGCTCAGCAGATTCAAAATAAATGGCAATGGGTAAGTGCATCCTCCTCACACTGATAGCCTTGACTGATATCATTATTAGTTGAAAGGGATCTATAATTCCATCAAAGGCTTCATTCAACGCTCTGGGTCTGGCTCATGGGATGAACATTTTGGTGCCAATATTGTCACACCAGCTGAAGAGAATGTATGGAATAGCTATGTTGCAACCAATGTATGTTGTCCCCTATCATCGAGTGTATCAGTTCATCTAACATGAATACATCAGAGTGGATGATGTATCCTGCCCTATAAAAATGTGGGATGGCCATTTTACACAAAGATGGCACAGATCACCCCATCAGGAGGGGCACAAGGTGCTAATACATATGCACCATTGGAGGCCCCCTCATCCAACTGGCCCCAAAATTGGCTTGAGGATGAAGATCAAGAAATGTGGCCAGGTAACTTTGACGAGCCTTCCAACAGTAACATCAGTGGCATGAACCCAGCTCCTGATCCCTCATATATCAACTTCATGGCTGAATTTCCCACATTTTTTCCCAACCCTTTGCACCCCAATCCACTGATTCCATCTGCATCGCCCAGCATCTCAGCACCCATTGTGGTCCTGACTCAGGGGGTGGGCACACCATCAGCCAGCATCCCAGCATACCCTCCCTTCCCAATAAAGGGGCTTGGCATGTCTTCAGGGAGCATCAGTAGGGCTGGTAGGGAGAGATGCACATTTTCTTCTGGGCCCTATCCAACTTCATACACTTCTACCCCACCCCCATCACATAAACCATCTCGTGGGTCTGGTCGGTCATCTGCCTGGTCCTTTGGTCCTCCTAGGAATCAACAGCCAATTCCACCCAAACTCTCAGCTGGGACTGCAGTGTTTGGTCTGACTGGTGCTGTCAACCACATGACCTATGACACAAAAATATGTTTGATAACATTGCAGGCCAATGCATGCTGCAAGTTGAACAATTCTTGCTTGTTCACAGGCCTGCAGTTTTCATCAGTAGGATGGTCAGGGGATCATAAGTGTGATTACTTACCTTACACTAGCATGGCCCCATTCAGCTAAATGGTAGCATACACCATGGTATGGAACAAGCAACATTCGGTCTGCAGGAAATCCAGCATCTGCAAGCATAAACTTTCCTTTGGGAATCCTCAAGTCATGTGTGGTCACATATTCATAGACACAGGTGTCTGCTGCACTGCCCTCCCAGCCCATAAGAGAGTATATAAACCATAAGTTGAAATCACATGCAAAGAGACAGTTTTGGGAAACATATCCCTTGTGGTTCCAGTAGTTTGAATGTATGTAGGTGGGGGGAGATGCATGGATATGGCTTCCATTGATGGTGCTGATAGCATTGCAGAAGTATGGCCAGAATTTTGGGTTGTTTTGGATCTTCAAAGGAACAGTATCACCAGCTGGAAATCGAATGTAGTCCATATAAAAAGGTTGTGTTGCAAGCATGGTGAGTATCATATGGAAATAACTGGAAACTCCATGCAGTAGTTACATCGGAGGAGTGTTAAATACATACCATGAAATCATATCATTCGATCATTGAAAGTGCTCCCCTGCATGCCTGAATGGCAGGCCAGTGACACATGTATACAGGAATATTGCAAGTTGTTCCTTGAGAGAAACCAACCTTGAATTCTTGAGTCAAAGCTGCTGCAAAGTGATGATAAGCTGCTGGAAAACCTCCATGTGCATCCCAAGTTTGCAACAAATGTGTTCTGGGTGACCTGCAAGCAGTTCCAGCATCCAGTCTTCACCAGACAGGCAGGAGGTGTGGTATGGCTGAGGTTCTCACCCAAGATCTGATTCAAGGAGATGTGTGACTGCACAGAGAACATTGCTGAGGACCAACACAATATACTTTACCAGACAATGGTGTTGTTCTAGGCTGAGAGGGTGCATGTAGGGTCACATACTGTAGTACATGCTGATTTGATTATCACTATCGGCAGCCCAGCACAGATTATGGCTCTGACTAAATTTCGGCATGTGCCATTAGACTCAAGCGAGCCAACATGAGTCAATAATGCTCAGCAATGCTCTGCACCAGTTTCCGAACTGGCTCTTTGCAACATTGCTGTGTGACTGCTGTATGGCACTGTGAGTGGCCGTCAATGGCATGTGTCAATATAGAATGCACCCCCTGCCATAGGTAGGTGCTAGCAATGTCCGGAAGGGTTCCAAAAGGTTGCGAGGGCATTTGTGAAGTGCTTTGATATGCCTCAAAGGCACTGCTGGTGGTATAGTGCATGCTTTGGCTCATGCAGGCTTTTCTGACTTTTTGCCAGTCTAATTTGATCTTCCCACATTGATGTTGAGTCCTGTAGGGTCGAGAGACTTGGGCAATAAGGCCTGGAGGTGGTTCAGGTGGCACAGGTAAGCTGTCTGGCCATTTAATCTCTCGCTTTTGAATGTTCTGACTCTGGATGTCAGCCAGCAGCTTATTCTCTGTTCCATTCGAGCAGATGGTGTGGCTGCTCGTTGTGCCATCCTTTGCACTGCTGTAGCACTTGTCATCAGCTTCCTTTGGCTGAAATTTGGCATTTGGTGAGTCACCTCATATCTCGGCTGTTCGAGTGCTGATTGCTCTTATCATCAGCTTCATCGATGCTCTCCTGCCATCTCGACTATCCTCCCAGTAGGAGGTACCCCCTCTGTGCTCGCCTAGCCCACCCATCTCGTGAATTGAGATGTTCTACACATACCAACCTTGGTAGGTCCCATGTCAAACCATCTGCATGCGATCTCGCCCAGGTGGGAGCCATGCAGCCTCTTGCCAATCCTCGAGTGGTTTCGGCTTGTCAGCAGGCACTCCCTGGTCCGAAGGGGTTGTTTGGGCTTCATGAGGATGTGGTATGGTAATTTCTCCATTAACAAATGTTTGTGCTGGTGCTAACTTGCACTCTGCATCCATGCCACTGCAGATTTGATCTGATTGTTGAACAAATGGGTTCGGCACCACAGTGTGAATGTGTGGAGGGTCAGGTACATTAGCAATGGGGTCACCGCATGTCTGAATATGCTGATTGTGTTCGACAGGCATTTGTGAAGTAGTTTTGATGACATGGGCATTGTTGAGATTGGTAGAATTGATTGCGAGATCAAAAGTCTTGCTGTCAGGTTCAAATAGATGTGGATCCCCTCTTGTTGTGTCTATGAGTTGACCATGTGTGCCTATAGCGCTGGTCTCATCTATATGGCTGTTTGACACTTCCAGGTTTGTGTCTTCAGGTTCATCCATCTGGCCACTGCCTGCTTCACATGGCACTACCTCCATCTCCAGCTCTGAAGGCCCATTTAGGGCTCATTCAACCTTTAGTGTAGGTATGTTGATGCTTGAGGCTTCAACTTGTATGTGCTGACTAGGCATGGCTGCTACAGGCTTGGACAACAGCTGTGCATTGTTGCTTTCACCATCAAGGGTGGCCAATGGGTCAAGGAGGATATTTTATGGAGTTGCACTAGTTTTGTCTAGTGTGAGTGGAGGTTCATGCAAGTTGTCACTTTGCATAGTACCTTCAACTGTCTTCTTTCAGGCCTTGGGATTGAGCCATAGTGAGACTTGAGGTAAGTGAACATTTCATGCACAGACTCTAAATGAATTATGCTGCAGAGGATTGAGTCAGGTAGTCTGCATATAATGAGATGGGAGGCAAAGCTGTTGCACTGCTGCCAGGCACTGTTGGCAGCTTGCCAGGCTGCAACCTGTTCTTGTTCCTTGTCAGTAAGTGGTGCCCATCCTTGACCATGTCCTTCCAGCTCAATTGGATCAGTAGGTCATGTTTCAGACCCATTTAGGAACCCCATCAAGCCTTCTTTGTCAACTGCCTGCAGAATACACTCCCCATAGTGGTTCCAGTTGTGGCCATTGTGTGCAAGCTTGGGTATGTCCATGATATAGATTCCAGTAGCTTTGAGAGTAGTAGAGAAGACTTGTGTAGTTGTACTTTCTTGTAGAAGACTTCAAGTCTCTATGAGTTGAGGTCTTGCCTATATGAAAATTTTCACTGTGCTAGGCAGGGCTCATAACCTGTAGAAATATCTGTGGGCTACCTCAGTAGTGAACAAACTACTGAGATATTAGATTACCTGTAGGCTACTACAGGATGTCAGTATAGTAGAATACTTGTAATATGAATGGACTTACCCTCAGTAGTGAACAAACTACTGAGGGAATACTAGTAGAAAATACTACAAGTATGTACGCTTTTTGTGCTTATGTAAGCACACTAGCATCGCACCTAAGTACCAACAAACAGTGGCACTTTATGTTCCAATAGTGTTCATGGTATCACTCACTGGGAATAATCTGTTGCATCTTCAGGAATGTTGATGCCAGGTTGGGGACATGCTGGACAGAATAACACTAATTCCCCTGGGCTGGCATCTTCTGCACTCATGTGGGATCCCTGCCATTTCAGTAGTTTCAGGAGCTGCCACATCCTAGTAACTCTCAGCAGTTCCCTGTACCTATCCTATCATCCAGCTAAGAGTTGTGTTGCAGTGATACAATTCAACAAATAGGATGCACTGGCACCAAATGAGGAAAGGCATTGGAGGTTATGCAGTGAAGTTTGCTGTAGAAATTCATCACTGAGGTACCACATTCCACATTGTCCTGAATGAAGTCATCAAGTACTTGGAAGGTAAATGCAGTCCTTGTGGCCTTTGTGGTAGCAGGAAACATCCCAGCCTGCATCAGCTGCATGTGTGAATCCTCTGCCCCAGGGCATCTACAATACTGCACATTGCAGTAGTGTATTGCATTGGTGTGCATGATAATTAGACAGCTTCAGTTCTTCAGGGCCTGCAGATTTGGTGGACACCCATCTTGATCCACATCCTCCCAATCATCTTCCTCCTCAGTTGTGATTTCATCATTTGAACAACCACTGGTGGGGCAGTGCTTCCCACCCAACATGCAGTACCAAACCAGCCTGAAGGGTAAATACAAGAACAACCCTCATGATTGAGCTGCTTACCAGCTGCAGGGATGATTCCTCAAAGAATATTCCATTCCATTGTTCCACCCTGTGGAATGGCCAGTGCTTGTGTTCTGCCTGGCAACACATGGTGCAGAAGACTGGCTGATGGGCACACTCAGCTCACTGGAAAATGCCATCCACTCCACACAGGATACAGTCCCTTGGCTCAGGTGGGGCCTCCATGTCCAACAGGATGGCTAGATAATGCCATTGGTGCAGCAACCACTGCTGCAGATAACTATTCTACAATTGTGTGAAACTGTCATTGCAGGTTTGTTGGGCAATGCAGCATTCCACACACCTGACTTTTCTGAGGTTTAGAAGGTGTTGCAGGCAATACATCATTATTGCAAGGCAGTTGCACACCTGCATCATCCAACAGGCAGTCCAGGTGATCCAGGATAACAGAGCCAGGCCACACAGGAGGCTGAGTTGCATGGCCTGGCACCTGCTTTCTGGGTACTACTTTTACCATCTTATCCCTATATCCTCAGGTGGTTTTCACTCTTTGCCAGGTCACCTGGGTCACTCTTGTAGTGGGTCCCACTGGAGCAATCTTTGACTTCCCCATGATGAATGTTGCAATGCAGAAGGGTTTTGATTGCAACAAATACATGCAGCTGACATGTGCTAGCAAGGTCTGACCATCAACTATGGTCATGCTGTCTTAGGATCTGGCACATGATTTCAGTGCTGGCACCTGCACATTGCCTAGAGATCAATCAAATCAATGAGCACTTGCAAAAAGCTTTGTCCCACATCATGCCCATGGTGCCTATACCATCCACAGCATCTCACATTGCCCAATTACCAAAGATCTTGGATCCATGAAGTCTGAGAGGCACCACCTATGCATGTGGCTCAGGGATGGAAATTTCATGATTGACTAACAACCTTAGCCATCTTGGGAAACTGTCCAATCAACTGGCATGCAAGAATGGACTAGACACTGGAATGTAACCTTCATTGACATGGGAGAATGCTGGAAAAGTCTATTCTCTTCAACAGACATCATACTAGCTGTCCCAAGAAAATTTGCACACCAGCACCTCCATCCTCAATGGCATCCAGTGACTATGAAAGTGACTCTTTCTCCAACAACACTGAACCCTCCCCCCCATAAAAGGGGACCAGTCTTCAGCCAGCTGAAATTGAGATTCTTCTTGAGGCTGAGCTAGAGTCATGGAAAAATGCTGACTGAAACAAGAGGAGCTCCATCATGTTAAGAACCTTGATGCAAATGTGACACTGAAAACACATGAATGGGTTTGGAAGAAGGTGTGCCACACCTGCCATTGATTACCTGGCATGTCCTTACCATTTCCAGGCAATTCAGACTTGGTTGTACAACCATGGCTGGAGCTGTAGTCAATGGGCTCTGATCAAATATGGTGGCAGTTGGACACTGAGGAAGGTGGTCATGCACCATCAAAAGAAATCAATCAACAAAGTGTTGGAAGAAGCCATGATCAAGCAGGGATCTGCAGAAATGATTGAGTTTTATCAGAAGGTTGTCAACACTGTCATGAAGTCCCTTACTGCTGAGGAGATTCAGGAGGCTGAGGCATTGGCCACAGAATGGAATGAGAAACAGCCACCTTGGGATGTTCAGTCAAAGTAGGTACCATTTGGCAATGCTGCCCATCACTCATGAGAAACAGAACTGCAGAGAAGAAAGGCCATAAATATGCTGAGAAATTTCGCTAAGGAAATGTGGAAGTGGAGTGGGGCCAGGGTGGTAGTGATGGTGGCATGGGAAGATGCCAATGGAGAGGTGATAGTTGGCATGTGAGGAATTTGTCCTTTGTTCAGATTCATACCACCAGATTTTGACCAACTCATCCAGACATGATTTCAATGATGAATTGGGTAATGGCAAATTATTTGAGGAGTTGGACAAGTGCTGGGGTAAATTCATAAAGTATGCATGAATGGCATTTGGGAATGGTGGCACTGATGCCAAGTCACCAGACAAAGATTCTGCTCCATGGTCAAGGCAGAGAAAGAGCAATGGGAAACCTAAAACCATCCTGCTGGTCAGCAATAATGGCACACCATACATCCCAAACATATTGGACATGCAGGCACCAAAGTTGAAGGATATCATGTGGATGTTTGTGACATTTCATTATTGTATGTATAACAATAGGAGAAATACTATTCATTGACATGCATTACAGGGAAGGCCTGCAGGAATTCACAGGTGACTTTTCCATGGAGCACAATAATGACCAACACTGCACTTTATATTGCACCACAGTTTCTGCCACCTGATGTTCCCTTCAAAGAGCCAAGCTGACTTACCCAGGACAAGTTGACAGCAATCTTGGAATGGTGGAAAGAGTGAAAAGAGCAGCATCCCAACAATATATTCAGCTTCAAGAAGTGGAGAGATGCTGGAGGGTCCCTCCAAATGCCAGTGGCAGAGACCAACAGCAGTGGAGTGAGGATGGGTGCAAAGCAGGATTTGGATGGGACCCCAGACCACTCAGCAGGTGAAAGGATGATGGATAGAATGATGCAGGGTAAGAGGAAGCAGTGATGGCAAACAGGTCTGAAGGAATGCATCTGGAACTTAAATGTCTGGCAATATTATCTAATGGGTGACAAAGTTGTAGGGTCTGATTCCAATGATGAATCCAATCTCCATCAATTACCACCAACATTGCTGCCAAACAGAAATGATGATACAGGAACAAGCATGGTGGATGAAGATGCCACAGAGGCAGTATTACTGCCAGATTCCCAGCAGCAGATTGCCAGATGCCAAGTGGCTGATGGTAACACCTGCCAGCCAATTGGTAAGCCAGCAGGATCACAACAGCTGAATGTTGTTAACATTAATGGCTGACATGTTTCAGCCATTGGCAAGGAACCACCAAATGCCTGGCAGCAGGTTGTGGGTGGCAACACAAGCCCTGTGCAACCTATGCCAGAAGGCCACCACACTGATTTGCCTGATTCTCTCCAGCTGGCAGATCCTTCAGCAGTGCCAATGACTATCAAGAGAGCCCATAAACAGGAAAATTCAAAGCACAAGTTGCCCATTCCATCAATGAGTCAGTACTTGTGCCACAGTTGCTGAATTGTTGATTCAATTCATCTCTCAATTCTAGTACCCATGCACCAGACCAGCATAGACAATGTGAGGGCTATGTGGCAATCAAAATGGGTGTGGAAGACACCAAAGTGGCCTGATGATGATGTTCCTACTCCTAGTCCCTCTAAGAAATGTAGGCAATGTTAACATTTGTATTTTACATGGCCATGGAATGTGATACTACTTTTTGACAACCAATAGCTACAATTACAATAAATCCTCATCCAGTTCCAATTCATCCTTGCCATCCCAATCACTGGTCATCAAATCTTGTATGTATTGCTGGGTCCTTGCCAGCTGTGCTCTCCTTGCAAGCAACAGGTGAAACTGGATGCTTGATTCCACCAATATATTGCTGTAGTGGTTGTAGGCCACAACAATTGGCCCATTTGTGGTGGTGTTAAGATGGGGCAGGTGCTCATCAGCTGGTCCTGAGAGAAGAACTGCAAGCCACTATGCTTTTTCCACTGCTGGATGATTGATATATATGTGAGGGATATCATAAAACAACTTACATGTTGTAATTGGCCCTTCATCATGAATTCCTTGTATACCCAAGTCACTGGCAAAATGTTGCAGTGCCAAAAAGCAAACAAATACACTTACTACTGGCAGCAACAAGAGATGACATGGCACTCACCAGCAGCAGCATTGGTGGCCATAGGCCATGGAGATGGTTGCTGTGATGTAGCCAGGATGGGCTGTGGCTCAGAGGCTGCTGCATCATCTGACTGCTCATCCATCCATCCATGCTCTGGGGGAGATGGCACAGTTGGTGGAATTTGTGTGGATGCTGGCAATGATCTAGGTGGCAGTGAGACTGCCAGGGAAGATGTTGGTGAATCCCAGCTGGGGGCAATGGTGGCCAAGGATGGCATGGAATGACTTGCTTGTTGTGCCTCCCATTGTTGATCAGCAGCAGATGGCTGGACCTCTGGTGAAAGTGGTGGGGAGTCCCAAGATGGTGCAAGCATGCTGAGCAATGGCTAGGAAGGGCCAGCATTTGGTGGCATGGAGGACAATGGCAATCCTAGCTGATGGCCCCAAGCTGTGGCATTTGTGGCCACTCTGAACAGTAGAAATGCTGGTTCATCTACAGCCATGTCTGTATCCTTGCAGCCTGGTAATACCCACAGTTTCTTGCATGGAGAGATGACTGGCAAAGATTAGCAACAGTTGTATGTTATAATGACTACTTACATTGAGTGTCTGGACTGCCTGGCCTCCACCTTACTGACTTTTGCTCCATGACACTCAGTGATCTGTACAATGTTGATAAGTTGATTGAAATATTGTTCAATTGTGTCACAATGTTGGATTTGGCTATTTGGGCTTGTTTGTATACTGGCCAGTGTTGATGCTGGAACAATGGTTCATGAAAATATAAAATACAGCTGTGCTTGCTGACACAATTGTCAACTATCACTTGACTGCACCCCTCTTGCACAAGTACCCCACTTCCACAAAAATGTTCCAACATGCTGAAACATCCCAAACTGCCACTGCTGCTCCCTCTGTCACTCTCCCACATGAAATAGTCACTAATGCTGCTGACATAGTCATGGCAGAGCTTTTGATGCTCCATGACCACAGGAACAAGCAATACTGGAAAAAAGCTATGCATGTCATTTGGGAACAGTTGGTTCATGGCATGCCAATCTATTTATCCTCTGATATTTACAACATTCCAGACCCATGTGCACCCTTTGGTTGAGGAACTGCCCTCAAAATTCACCATCCCCACCCACATCATTGCTGCTGAAATGATTATGAGAGATCTGGTGGTGCTTACAGCATTGAAAGAGTGGCCAAAATTTGACAGGATCAGAGACACAATGGATGCCAATGTTGCAGACCATCTGTGGTACCAGATTGGAAGGCCTGTCAATAAGGGTAAAGGGCACACAGTTCCATTTAGAAGCACTTCAGATAAGTGACACCACTGCTGCCACTGCTGACACTTTGGAAGAACCCTGCAGCTGATCAACCAGTCATGCTGCTCCTACTGGCACTTGTCCCAGAAGTCAGAGGCCACAGAAGCATACAAGGTCAGTGGCAGAAAGTGATGCCAACATTTCAATGGTGAATGCAGGAGCATCCACCAGTTGTGGCCACTCAATTGCAGCTCTTGCAACCCCTGCTGCCAGCTATATGCCTGTTGCTGAAGAAGACTGATGCAATAGGTGCATGGAGAAAAATCTGCCATGTGCAGTCAAGCCAGGTTCTGCATGTTGGCAGTGTAGCTGCCAGAAGTATAGGTGCAGTATCTTCACCAGAGTGAAGGCCATGCAGTCACAGTCAAGGTGGCCCCACAGTCACACTGTGACTGAGGTGCCTGATGGAGCAGTGGACCATCCCCAAACTGTTGCAGCCACCAATCCCCCCAGCTGACACTGTCCTCAAAGCCCTTCACCAGGGCCATCAGCCACAATATCCTTGGAACCCACCACTCCTGTGCAGCAGTCCTGGAAGCAGCAGGCAGCCACTAGAAGTATGACACCCACTGCTGGCAAGACAACCACCTTGACTGCTCCAAGCTCCTGCAGGCAAAGTAAGTCCTCCATTTCTTTCATCCAGCTATTCTTATTCAAGCCTAACATAGTTTTCAATGGAGTGGTCATTGTCACTCCATCCTGGTGGCAGTCAGGTTGGCAGACATCAAGCCCAGCATCCCAGAGGGCAGCAACATCCCAAAGCCATCTCACTACCCCATCCCACCCTGTGACCCCCAATGCCATCCCCATGGAGTGTATGGAAGAGGAGATTGTGGCATTGTGGCAGCAGCATATGGAGACAGTACAAGATCTCCTGGATACCTGCCACAAGCTTGCTGATACCCAGCAGGCCCTTGCAGATACCCAGACCAAGTTGCAGATGCTTTGTGATCTTGTTGAGGCCTTATGCCAGCACCTGTCCCCATTGTCACACTCCTCACCCAATGCACCTGGGCCCTCCTGCCCCTCCCCCATCAGCTTTGCAATTATGAGTCATCAAGCAGTCCTTCCCACTGATGGTGCAAGGATACTTGACCTTGCACCCACTACGATGGTCCAGGAGGTTCCAATTGATACCAGCATCCTCCAGAACCTCCCAGATGATATGCTTTTAGTCCCTTCTACTTTCCTGCCACCCACCCACCATTTTGCATACTCATCCACCCCTGGAATTGGAGAAGCCCAGGCCCCTATCTATGTCTCTTTGGGGGCAGCTGCCAACCATGCCAGTGGGGATGATGCCAATGATGAGGATGCCACTAATTGGATGGATGTAGATTAACATGTCCATAAAATGTACTATTACTGTTTCATTGTGACTATTGCTGAGAATGATCATCCCTGCCCACTTTTGCTTTACATGGTGCAATATGGTCTCTCTGGTGTGTGCCATCCCATTTGAGTCTGGCCAGGCAACTGGCCTTGCGATTTATAAATCCACTGGTACAGCTAAGCTAGTGCACACTGGCAGCACCCTCAAATCATGCATGGTACTTGCCACATATGTCCTGCACAATTGCAAGGGTTTAACCCTCTGACCCAGGTTGAGGCCATGCAATTGTGGCCTATGCTACTTAATGCTGATGTTGCCAGTGAATAGAGCTTGACATTGCCCATTCCCATCTATGCCACTTGATGCTGGCAACACCTGGCCCCTGCTGCTACCTCATATCCATGCTGCCACACCATTCCTGTGTATGCCACTGCTCATTCCCCTCTATGCCACCCGATGCCATCAACACCCACCCCCTGCTGGTACCTCACATCCATGCTGCCACCCCATCCCTGTCTATGCTGCTGCTCATTTCTGTCTATGCCACTCGATGCTGTCAACTCCTGCCCCTTGCCAGTACCTCATATCCATGCTGCTACCCCATTCCCACATATGCTGCCACTCATTCCCATCTATGCTGCTTGATGCTGTCAACACCCAGCCCCTGCCACTACCTCATATCCATGCTGCCACACCATTCCAATGTATGCTGCCTGATGCCATTGACACCCAGCCCCTGCTACTACCTCATATCCATGCTGCCACACCATTCCCATGTATGCTGCTGCTCATTCCCCTCTATGCTGCCTGATGCCATTGACACCCACCCCCTGCCAGTACCTCATATCCATGCTGCCACCCCTTTCCCATCTGTGCCACACAATCCCACCACGTGCTGGCCACTCAATGCCACTGGCTTCTGCTCCACACTAGTGATTACTGCTCCCTGCCTGCTACTGTTGTGTCATGCTGGTGAGTTCTGCTGGCAATGCATGTTGCACTCTCTTCACTACCCCACCCTATCTTTATATGCAAAACTATGCCAATGCATACTAGTGTATGTAGCCATATGCTTTTGCATCTTTCACTGGCTTACCACTTACCACACTGTCAGATGCAAGAAAATGCCACTTTTGCCTCAGTCATGCTCAGATGGTCCTTGCCACTGGTACTTGCCACTCCAGTAATCCACCCAGCATTTGCTGCAATGGCATATCATGTTTCCACCATGTGCTGGGAGTTGCTGCTGTGTGCCACTGTATGCCCTTGACATACTGTGTTGTCATGTTGGGCTGCCCTATGTACACAATGCAGATCTAGTCTGGGCTATGCTATATATGTCCCTATGACAGTGTCATGCATGACAATACAATTGCAGCTGATCCTGAATGACACATGACAACATAATCACAGCTGATCCCTATGTTATGGTGACAACTCATAGGTTGGCTTGACCTCCACTGGCCCATGTCACAACCAATTGTCAACCTCTGCTGGCTGTGTCACATGGCCTAACTAGGTACATGGGCTTGGCAATCTCATTTATAATGATTGCCCTGGCAATCAAAGCACTTGATGTGGGAGGGGACAGGGCAAGGAGGGAACTGGGCAGCACCTATTTCCATTGGTGTGCCATGACAAGGTTGAGTTCCAGTTGGAGTAAAATGGGGGAAGGAGGAGGGACAGTTATAGGAGGAGGAATGGGGGGTGGGTTGATTGGGGTAATGGCCATACAACAGTTCAAAATGATCTTGGGCTAGGGCTGCTTCTCAGAAAGCAACAGTCATCTGCAAATAATTGCCCTGGGTATATCCCCTCCTTAGGGCCTCCCTGATGATAGCTGGATGGACCACATTTTCCAGCAGGAAGCTGGCCATTTCATCAGTGACCTGTCCCTGCACCTTTAGGGACTCAAACTTGGCATAAAACTCTTCATAGTGAGAGTTACCCTGGCGCATGGTGCGCATTTGTGCTTTAGCCCACTCAATGTCAGTTTGAGGAGCAAAGAACCAATCTATATCCTCAATCATCTCAGCCATGTCTGGCCATACTCTGGTGACAATAGTGAGGGAAAACTTAGCCTGGGAAAACCTTCCAGCCACAGGTCCTGTCATGTGGGACCATACCACAGTACACTTGTCTTGGGCAGTTGGGAGTGCAGTCCTATTCTGTGCCACCCATACCTTCACCTTCACCCACCACTCTGAGAACTTGGTGCAATCACCAGAATACTGACCTGGGTCAGCCATCACTTCTATCTGCCTCTGGATGACATTGGCAGGGAGAGTGTTCCACTGACTATGTTGTCCTTCAATGTTTGCAATGGTTTCCTGAGTGCCTCTCAGGTCATTGTTTGGCCAGTAGTTTTTGTCTCTTAACATGTCAAGTGCCTGCTGCAACTTGGTGATCTGATCCTGTATTCCATCCATAGTGTTCTGGGCATTTCAACATTTGACAGGGTCAGAGGTTGTAACAGGGTTGCTGTGGTTCAGCAGGGAGCAAGCAAAGGAAGATGTTGGAGGGAAAAGGTGGAGGCAGGGGTAAGGGGTAGAGGGAGTGGTCAAAGAGCAGGGTGAACAAACCGCACTCAGGAATAAATGGAACAAAGAGATTGGGATCTGGTTGAGAGGCTGGGGGACTTGGCAAGTACACCCATGAGCCTTCACAGAGGAAACAGGGAATGGTGACAGAGAGTGGTGTAAGGGTACAATGAAAAGAAGCTAGTTCCCTCTGGTGGGAGATGGACTTTCCCCTCACTAGACCTTGACGAGGTCCAGAGGCTTGGTGTGGTGGCTGCCCTACTGCCTAAGAAGTGAGTTATATGGGTGAAATCCCCATCAGGTGTTCAAAGTGAAACTAGTCCACCCCCTCCATCTGAAAGGATGGGTGTCAAGCCTCCCTGAGCCGATGCTAAAAACAATCAGTGAGCCTTTAGAGGTATGTACAGCCAGGGGTACAACCCCAGGGCACTGGAGGGAGCTGTTTGGTCTAGGCCCTTCTGCAGGAGGTTTCTGTTGGCACAGATATTCAGCCAGCCACCTCGCTTAATCCTGACACCTTCGTATACAAATCAGAGGTAATCCCCCAAAGAGGGTGGCAAAGGCACACCAGGAAGCATGGTGTATGGCTGTTTTGACCCCTCTGGATTGGCTCCCTGTGTGGTCAGCAGTCCCGTTGTCAGGGTCTGTGTTATTGACTGGGAGGTTTTTAGTTAGTCAGGCCCCTTCAACACCTTGAGTGCAATGCTGTTTTCCTAGCATGGGTAGCCCAACCTAACATCACTGGGGTTGACAACCAGTACTCAATTATGAGTTTTCCTCCTACCTAAACAAAAAAAAAAAAAAGAAGCTAGTTCAAGTGTGACAAGACCTAACAACAAGGTCTGTTGTAGGCTCACACCAAGAACCAAGAAAGAGGAAAAGAGGAGCAAGGAGGAGATGAGCTTAGAAGCAGGTGGACTTACATAGGACTTGTAGACCCAAATGAACTAGCTTAGGGCTAGTTGGGCAATTGAGCAACAGTACTTATAGTAAGGTAAATGTGGCAGTGGTGAGGCATACATGAGGTCCATGACATCATAGTGATGTCATGATGATATCATGGTGGAGTGGAATGTGCTAGAAGATGAACACATGGCAGCAGTGAGGTGAGGTCTAGACCAGAGTCCAGACTGAGTCCAAGAAGAGAAGATAAGAGGAAAGATTAGGTAAGATAGAAAAGAAAGAGAGAAAAAGGAAAAGTGTATGTATCATAACACCATGTGTACTGGCTAATCTATTTAGGTGGGCCTGTCTTGGGGTCTATATAAGTGCTGGTGTTTTGGCACACAGGCTGCCCATGTGTTGTGACTAAGTGTGACTACACTATGTGGAATATAACTATTTACCAGAGTGAGGCAACTTGCCCCCACTACCAGTACAGATGGAATACAGGTCTCAAACCAGACATTTGAAAATAGTGGTAAAGATGTATGTATGTAACAAAGTCATTCACCAGAGTGGGGTGACTTGCCCTTGCTGCTGGTACTGCTAATGTCTTGTGAGTGGGCAATGAATGGAGGGTCATTGCACAATGATTGTGCTGTGATCACACTATGAATATAAAATTTGCACAGTATTTGAAATTCATCTTTACATGTGAGCCACTGTTGAAACTTCGAATTTTGCAGGATATCTTGTTGTCTGTTCATACTTGAAGCACATGCCAAAATTTTAGTGCTATTTGAACTTAAAGTTGTGCTGGTATTTGTATGTGAGAGCAAAACTTGAAATTGTGCCCAATATTTGTACTGGAACTGAGGTCAAAGTTGGAACCAACATTCTGACTGGGACAGAATGCATGCGAAAATTTGTAGACTCAAACATTTCATGGTGCATTTATGCTTGAAATATGGTCATTCATCAAATGATAAACTACATTTCAAGTACAGCATTCACATTCCATTCATCATTAAAAGTGGCCCAAAATCTCAGAAAATCTGTGGTGACTGGCCATGTCACACAGCCTAACTAGGTACATACATGGGCTCCTCTGTTAAGTCTCAGTCTTCACTGGTCCAAGGCTGGTCCAGAGTCTGGTCAGGGGTCAGAGGATAATATGAGATGCTAAGGGGTTTGGACTGTTGGACTTAGCAACTGATGGTGCAGCACTATTCCCTTGTGTGGGCTGTAGTCTGGTTGAGAGGCAGATCAGAAAGACTGGGTTAGATGAGACTAGATTGACTTCAGACTGAGGGTAAAACAGATTATCCTATGGCTTAAATACTAGAGGTAGCCTAAGTGTAATGTAGCACTGGAGATCAGTCTGCACTGGTACAATGATGATTGGTAAACTGATTGGTAAGTAATGTTACAAAGAATATTATCAAGCAAAACTATGAACAAAGGATTTACCAGGAACTGGGGCAGGAGTTGTGGCTGGGCTGGGTGTTACACTGGCCTGGTACTAACTGAGCAGACAACTTGATTGGACACTGCCTTGCAGTGTCTCACAAGCTAACATGTTTCTGGGTCTAAGGGTAAAGGCTGGGACTGGGGAAAGGGTTGGGTGAGACTGGTTGAGACCAGGGTAGAGCTGGTCTAGAGTGGTCTGGACACAGTCATGACAGTATCCCCCTCTTGGAGCCAAGCCCATGAGGCTCCAATGAGGACAATGCTGAGAATGAAATTTTGGTGTCTGACCTTGAAAACCAGTGGACTTAAGACCAGTCCACTTCAGGTTTAGTTCTTCACTTTGACATGTTTATCTGCCAGTCCCAAACACCATACAACCAAGACCTCTTGCCTGACCTGACCCAGGTGACAAGCATTGAGCTGCAGGTAGGCAGTGACAATGACAAACAAGTGGTCCAGGGCAAGCTGGCTGAGTGCAAGAGGTGCAAAGCAAAGGTGCAGGAGGAGGCCTGGCTCACTGAAGAAGCCCAGTTGGAGGTGGAGAGACAAGAGCAGGCCTGGCTTGAAGAAGAGAAGGCACATGCAGAGGCTGAGGTGCAGAGGGTAGAGGCTGCATGCAAAGCTGACAAGGCCAGAAGGGCAGAGGTGGTGGTCAGGGTTAATCTCCAAATTTATGGAGCTCAGTGACGAGGGAGGGAGGGGGGGTTCCATAGAAATGTCACATCAAGGGCCTTCATCCTCTCCAGCAGTGATGGCAGTAGAGGCAGAATTGGTGGCAGCAGACATGGAAGGTGCATTGAATTCACCAGTGGTCAAGGTAGTAGACATGGTGGGGGTGGCAGATGTGGGAGAGGTGGCAGATGGAGCTCAGGTAGACATACTGGGAGCACTGGCATCAAATGCATGGTGACTGCTTGCAACACCACTTGGCATGATCTCAGATATCATATCAAACAGCAACCATCCCCAATTCCTGTATGGATGAAGAGATTTGTGTGTCTAAATTCATGGCTGTCAGTCAGTATCTATAGATACAATGTAACCAAAGAAATATTTGACCTTTGTATATTCATCCCAGACCTGCCCTGCATCAGTACCAACAATCACAGCACTGTTGTCATTGTCCCAGTGTTTTCCAGATGTACAATACCTTTGAAAATATTGGGCACTGATCAGCATGATGAAATAGATAACAAAAAAGTGTGACCTACCGCCCTCCACTTGTTCTTGCATTGCAATGGTGTCTTCACAGGAGTCCCAGGCATTCGATAGGCTGCATTAGCAGCAGGAAGGTGGTTGTACGTTTGTGGCTTGAAATTCCCTGTTCCATCTGTTGCCTCTGCACAATGGGAGTGGAGAAACTTGACAAGTTTCTCTTCTTCTACTGGCATCCACTGTGCCACTACCTTGCATTCACTGTTGCTTTTGGGAGGCATCAGGAAGTAATGCACATCAATCTCCTGAGCTAGGTGGCAAAACTCATGCAGGGTTCTTGGTTTGCCAACCCAGCAGACCTCATCTTTGATGCAGTCAGGAAGACTGGTGTAGAAGAAGTGGTGCAGGGCACCATCACTGTATCCCCAGACCTGGGAAGCCAAACAGTTGAACTCAACCATGTACTTGTTGACCTGGTGATTGTCTTTCATCTGAAGGTGGTCTAGCTGGCTTTCAGCACCAGCCACCAGGTCATGAGGTCCAAAGGTAGTTTGAAGTTCTATGATGAACTCTTTCCAACAGTCCATCCAATAAGGCTGCTCCTCCAGGTCTTCAGTCCCAAGTAGGTCTGCTTTGAACCACTCAAGAGCCATCCCTTTCAGGAATGACTGTGTGAAGGTGACCTTGGCTTGGTCACTTCAAAAAGCCCAGGGCCAGTCCTGGAAGTTGAGTTCACACTGCATAAGAAAAGTGCACAGCTTCTTTGGGTCTGTCCCATTAAAGGTGTCTGGTTCATGCAACTTGGTTCTAGAAGAGGATTTGGAGCCAGTGCAAGCATTGCATGCAAGAAGCTCAATGGCTTTGGAAAGATTGTCAAGCATGGTTACACCAGGCTCAACATCATCTTCTGGGATGGGTTCTTCATCATCATTATCTGGGTCATCTCCCAGCCCATCATTGCCAGGACCATTATCACCAGGGTCATCACCACTGGGGTTGAAGTCATCTGGTTCATCCAGGTCCAGTTCATCATCTGGATCATTAGTGGGTGCAGGAGGTTGATTAGGAGTGGGAGTGGTAGACTTGTTGGCTGAGAAGCCCCTGAAGTTGTTGACTTCACTGGGCAACCTTCTGGCTGTCCCTAAGGACACCAGGGCAGCAGTGTGGTGCAAGTTGACTGCTGAGGTGGAATCTGCATTGGTGGTAGCATGTGCCTGTGCTGCTTGAGTTCTGGTTTGGGTAGGCATGCCAAGAAAGTATTGTTGAGACTTGGATGGAAGGGTAGTGACCCACACAAGTGTGAGTCTGAAATACTGTTAAGTCCAGGTCTTCACTGGTCCAAGGCTGGTCTGGAGTCCAGTTGGGGGTCAGAGGATAATACAAGATGCTAAGGGGTTTGGACTGTTGGACTTAGCAACTGATGGTGCAGTGCTATTCCCTTGTGTGGGCCATAGTCCAGTTGAGAGGCAGAAGACAGAGATCAGAAAGACCAGGTTAGACAAGACTAGATTGATTTCAGACTGAGGGTAAAACAGATTATCCTATGGCTTAAATACTAGAGGTAACCTAAGTGTAACATAGCACCAGAGACTGGTCTGCACTGACTGGTACAATGATGATCAGTAAACTGATTGGTAAGTAATGTAACAAAGAATATTATCAAGCAAAACTATGAACAAAGGATTTACCAGGAACTGGGGCAGGACTTGTGGCTGGGCTGGGTGTTACACCAGCCCAGTACTAACTGGGTGGACAACTTGATTGGACACTGCCTTGCAGTGCCTCACAAGCTAATGTTTCTGGGTCTAAGGGTAAAGGCCAGGACTGGGGAAAGGGTTGGGTGAGACCAGTTGAGACTGGGGTAGAGCTGGTCTAGAGTGGTCTGGACATGGTCATGACATCCTCACATGTATCATACAGCTACCAGTATCACACCTTTCCCCCTCCAAGCTTGTACAGCTATGATATGCAAAGCCACCTGTTAAATCTGAATGTGCATGGATTCATTATCTCCACCATCATCATATCAACCATTGTCCTGTTGGCATGCATCTGTACTTGTAGGTTTGTTTGCTTTGCTTTGCACCTCAGTCATTATGTCTACAACACTGAGGTGAGTATGATAGCCCCTGAGGACCCATCAACATACTCATTCTCATAGCATGTCTGATCAGGTAGAGTTAATCCTAGTTGTTATGTCTACAATGCTGAGCATGTCCAATCAGTCTTTCTACAGGTTATGAGCCCTCTTCAAACCAACTGAGAATGACATGATTGTACATTCCACATACACAGTGCATATACTGCATATACCTGCCTTTACTGCATATTTGTGATATCCCCAGTGCTCATTATGGGCAAACTCAATCATATGCCTGAGCTCACTGATGCCTCAACTTTCTTTGCCTGGAAAACTCAGATACTCCTGGCTTTAGATTGTGAGGGCGCATATAGCCATGTCAGCGATGGCATGGACCCTTTGGACCCTATTGAGTGCACTTCTGAGCAACCACAGTCTGCAAACCCAACCAAAATCACTGATGCTGAGAAAAAGGCCATTCTCAGGTGGTCCAAAGATGATGCTGTAGCTAAGGACATTCTGTGCCATTGTTTATCACCAGCTGTCCAATGTTTCATCCCCCAAGAGTGATCTACTACTGCTCATGACATCTGGAAGGCTCTTCATGACAATTTTGACCACATTGATGTTGGCTCCCATCATCTTGTTTGTGCAAAGATTCTGCACCTGTGAATGAAGGATGCTGGTGATGCAGCCCATTACCTGTCAGAACATTCAGCTGCCCAGCAGGACCTCATTCACATGGGGGCATCCTACTCTGATGAGGAGGCCATTTTTCACCTTATAGAAGGTCTCCCAGACACCAGCACCTGGCCATCTCTTCACCTCTTCCTATGGACCTCTTGCTTGACTACAACCCCCACTCCTGCAGCATCCATAACTTCTGCTTCCCAAGCAGGTTCTTCTGTCTCTGCTGTGCTGTCCACAGGCTCAACTACATTTGAGAGTGTGTCTGTCAAGATTGCAGCAGAAGCACACTGTCTTGTCCAGCAACTCTCCTTATCATCAGTTGGGTCCAAGTATGTCAATGCAGCAATGGCCTCACCTTCAGTTGGTCCACCCAATGTAAACCCAGCCACAGGTCTTCGCAAGATGTGCAATAATCCTTCTGGCACTTACTGTGACACACCTCTTGGAGACAGTCTCATGTGTGGGGCCAGCAATCATGATTGGGCACATTGTTTCAAGCCTGGAGGTGGAATGGCTGGTCAGTGACCTGCATGGCAAAAAGTTAAAGGCAACAGTAAGGACTCTACCAAACCTGCCACAGTGGCAGCAGCAGTTTCTACACCCTCACCCACTACTCAGCCAACTGTTCAACCTGCTCAGACCACTCCCATAGCTGCTGCTGCAGTCAGCCTCTCTTCCCTCTGGGATGCTCACCCTGGAGACATCACCTGTGTGGTTATCACTGAACTCATTGACAGTGATGACATGGCATACCCCTCTCCTGCCCTACAGGCATGCCTTGGCATGTTATCTGCTTCTAGCCTCCTCAACTCAGGCACCTCCCACACCCTTGTCCATGACTGCACCTTCTTCCACACCTATGTTGCAGATTCTACTGTGACTGTCCAAACTGCAAATCTTGGATGCCTACCTACTGCTGGATATGGCAAGTGTCTTGCATTTCTGAGCATTGGGAACAACAGGTATTGAGTACATCTTGTTTCTGTGGGGTGGATGCTTTGTCAGGGATGGGGCTGCAACTTTCAGGGTGATCCTGCTTGTTGCAAGCTGTCCCATTGTGGGCATCCCTTGTGCAGTGTGCCCCTGCAGTTGAACAACCTCTGCTTCCTAGACCTTCAGTTTGTCCACTTTGATGTGCCATTGCCACTCACCATGACTCCCATCCTCAGTGCCTTTGCTTGGGTACCAGTAACCTTTAACCTGTGGCATGCATGGATAGGTCATGTTGGAGGGAGGGCCACAAAACAGCTCTCCTCTATAGCTGAGGGCATCAGCGTAGACTTCCCTGGTCCAGAGTCAGTTTGTGAGTCTTGTATCATTGGGAAGCATGCTTGCTCACCATTTAAACCCTCAACCAAATGCATTTAGTGAGATGATTAGCAAGGTAAGGATAGCCACAGTGGCTGTGCTGAGACTTATAGCCAAAGTCCAGGTGACCAGCATGACTGGAGTCAGACACAGGATTTGTACAGTAAGCAGAGTCAGACAAAAGGACCAGACCAAATATAGTGCAAATAAAGGAAAACAGACTGGAGTTATGTCTGGGTGACCTGGACATGGACCTGGGAGGACTGGGGTGGAGCAGCACAGGGCTGGGAGGCTGGAATGGACCGGAGATAGGGGTAAAATACCAGGCTTGAGTTATTTAGGCTGGAGTTGGGTTATCTAGGACTGGAGTTGTGTTTTCTAGGCCAGAGTTAGGTTCTCTAGGCTGGACTAGGACCAGACTTGACTGGAGTTAGGGGCTAGGGGTCTGGACTGGACTGGGATTGAGTCTGAGAGTCATGGATATGACAGGGAGAGGCAACACAAAGCCAGGGTCAAGGCACTACAGTCTGATAATGGAGGGGAGTTCCTTAGCAGTGCCTTCATACAGTCCCTAGACTTGCAGGGGATCACTCACTGTCTTTCCACTCCATATATGCACCAGCAAAACAGTGTTGCTGAATGGGTCATCAGTACACTGGAGGGACATGTCCTGGCCATGCTTACTGCTTCCTATCTGCATAATCACACAGGGTCACACCCTATGAAATGTTACATGGCATGCATCCATATCTTGGCCATCTGAGGATTTGGGGCTGCCGAGCCTTCACTCATGTCCCTCTGGAGCTTCAATGGAAACTAGGACCCAAGTCCAGATTGGTGATGTTCATGGGCTATCCACCCAGTGTTAAGGCATACAGGGTATGCAATGAGACCACCAAACAGTTTTTAACGCCAGGGACATCATCTTTTGTGAAAATGTTGCTATGTTGCCTACCATGACTGGGTCAACTGATCTACCATTACCTATGACTACCAACAGTTCAGATTCAGACAGTGATTCATGATCCCTGAGTCCCTCACCATCATCCTCCATCCCCACCTTGACATCTCTTCCATGACCTCAACTGGTGGCACATTGGTCTGCTAGGGTCAGGGTACAAACAGAGGCAGGAAGAGCATTCACAGAGCCCCTTCAGGATGCACGAGAGTGTCTGGCTGTATGGTGAGCTCAACCTGTTTCTC